TTAATTGCATGTGTCAAAGAGGGAAAGTTTCTCTTTTTCATGAGTTATTGCTCCACGTGCGGATGAGAAAATAATTACAAATTGGCACGCTCGCAACAAAAAGGTTTCTCTTAAGAAGCAGAAGCTTCACGCCAAACCGCAAGATCAAGTTCGGCTTTATTGGCTTCTTCACTCTTCATCTCGGCAAAAAGGAAGATCCAGAAGACAAGTCATCAAGAAATGCGTCCATTTCGCAAAATCAAAATTTAAATAATAAATAGACAAACAAGGGAGAACAACAATGAATATATTTATACGAAAATGATATGTGAAACACGAGGCCGAAATTGAATCATATCTTGAATTCATTCAAAATCACTTTTGTGAAGGCAGATGTGTAAATGTCGGAGTCAGATTCAGCCGTAAAAGTGACAAAGTTTCTCCCTTATATTGATGCCCGACTCCCAATTATGTTGAGGCACACATTCGGTGGATTTCCTTCTTTGGAATCATGACTTTTCGATACAAATTCAATTTGAACCCTAAATTCCAGAGGAAAAGGTGGATGACAGAAGATGGTGAAAAGCAAATGGGTAAAAATTGGCAAAAGTCGTCACACAATTTCGGGGCTGTTTCTCTCCATATATCTCGAATATATGTATTCTTCCACTTCAGTTGGCTTTTATATCAATGGAAGAATTTCAGCATGGAACAAACATCCATTCACCAGGCGTCAGGGAAAGTGGTGAGAATGTTGGTGAGAGTCGAATGGAAATTTCCTTAATCAAAGTGTGTTGTATGTTTAGATAAATATTGGTTTATTTTCGATTAGAAATTCTTAACGGAGAGAGCTCGGTTAATGTCTGTGTGTTATTTTTAAAGCACTTTTTTCCCTCCTTCACCGTCTATGAATATTTTAGTAAGCTGTGCGCATTTATTTTCTCTACACACAGACCCATAATTTATTCATCAAATCACATTCTGTAATATTTATGGAAGTGACTTGTGAGGGAATTCCAGGGAATTTATTGATGGGCCCTCAATTGACGACATCAGAGACCTAATTGTTTGTGCACACCCGTGAATACTGTATTAGCTGTTCGCGAGATGTTTCATATTGATTCCCGGAAGGACCCATTAACACAATTAGAATTGGGCCGCGCGCTCGGTGAAGAAATGTCGGAAGTGTGTGAACGCAAACACCGAATCTGACAACCATAAATTCATGAGAAATTAATGCATAAGACTTTCAACAGGTGTTGCGTGTAATAAACTGTGTCAGAGCTTTGAGCTTAAAACCCAGCATGTAAAAGTTTCTTTATGTGATAATTTATAGCACAGCAAATACATCTGATGCTGAGCTAAGGGTGGATTTTGTCTGAAATTGCCGCATGTTTTCTCCAATGCAAAGGGATGCTAAAGCAAAATAAAAGCGCGCGCGTCTTTAATATATCATCATAAACATAAAAGAAAAATATCAGCAATATATTCTGCATAAAAGTGTATTTGCAATTCCACCATGAATCGTAAAGAACACAGAGAGAAGTCTTACGATTTCAATTCATAATACGAGACAGACACAATAAATAAAGTCAAAATGCAAAGTATAATATTTTGTAATTTTGCACACGAGTTGTGAAATCAATATTCATCATTCTGGGTAAATTTCTCCGTCAAAATGCATTGATATTCATAATGTTATTTGGGCCAATATTCACTCAAGTCATCAAATGAAGGGGAGTTAATTTAAAGTTACACAAAATGCGGAAAATGTGTGGAATAAATTACATTTTATTGAAGTGAATGGGAGTAAATTTTCATATACGATAAAGAGTTTAGCAAATCGGAAATGAAATGTCATTTGAATTATTTATGACACCACAACAGTTGTCATAATGTCAAGCCCAGAGGCAATAACTGGCGCGATAATGAGATGTAGGGTTGTTCCAAGGGGCAAAATACTCGAATACTTGCTCTGCAGGAGCTTCTATTGCGACAAATTGGGGCATTTTCTAACTTATTTTGACTAGAAAAACCGATTATATTGCTTTTTCTAGGTTATGTGATTGATTTAAAACAGATTCTGCTGATTAAATAATGCTCCAAATCATGAAAATTGTATTTAATCTGGATATATTTATCATTTTCTTGGTAAAGTTGAGTTTTTGTACTTAAAATAACTTCACATTTAGGTGAGAAATGTCTTTATGCTTAGTTATTTCTGCGGTTTGTGTCTAAAAGTAACAAAATTAACGTCATTATCTAGTAAAAGAACTATAATATATGCCATATTTACTCATCTCCAAGTGTGAAAGGGTGCAAATTAGTTCAAATACGACGGATTCATAACCTCACAATTTAGTCAGAATTTTTGTAAGCATTTTCCCGAGATAAACCTAGAAAATCAAGACGGAAATTTGCCATGAACAAATCCTGGGACAATAATAACAATTTTTACAATCTTGAGAGTTCTTAAGAGTTGAAGGAGTGTAAAAAATGCATTTAAAGACGTTCAGAAGTGGCTGGAAGTGTTGGAGATTCTGCACATAAACTGTATAAGTGTCAGGAAGTTGTGTATATATATATTCAAGTCATATTATCTCCCCCTTGAGTTGTTCAATTACGACGTAGTCAAAAATTACCTCTTTCAGCAACTCACCAGCACTTTGTCGCAGGCAAACTACCGAAAATTCGGAAAATTCTACTCATTCAGTCACACACACACAATGAAGGCAAATTGAGTGAATTTTCACAGAGATTATTATCTTCATGGTGGAAGAGAAATGTTTATTGAATATTAATATAGAGACGCTCGCTCGTGATTTTTCACGTCTGCGATGCTGTACATTTCTTTTTGTTATTCCGGAACATCATTATCGAGTGTCACCCCCGAAGCGGAGATCTGGCTGTGGGCGTCACGGGGTGGGTGGTGGATCGATGAAGAGGGTGCGTGAAGCGGTGAAATAAATTTGGGTGCGAAGCTTCATGTAATCGACCGTTTATCACTTGAGCATTTTTGCGGCTGAGAAGAGTTGGGATGTCTTGTGAAAGCCGCAGGCACTTTTCCCGGGATTTACCATCATGAACACAATGAGGGATATCCCTTAAAGTTTCCCCGCCTACCCCCAAAACTTTCCACCCGCACCACCGGAAACTTTTCTCGCCTCGTGCCTCGAAAGACAAGGGCTTTCTTGACGGTGTTCCGGTGTGAGGGACTTTACACCTTCCATGTAAGTATGCCATTACAGCCATTGGATGAATCCCTGAGGGTATTTTTCTGATTCATCTCCCTTTTGTGTCTGTATTCCATTAGCCGTAGATTGCGCCACAACCTCTTTATCAAATTAGATTGGCAGAGACACGCGAGCAAAGTTTTTATCAGGACAGGGAGGAAATGAAAATATTTGCTTCATGTCGCATATTTCTGGGAGAGAAAAGTCACACTCAAATACATAAACACACACAGAGCAAATTCCAAAGTGTGGGAGATATAAAAAAGAAATCCTCTGCAAATCCTTCTTTTTAACACCAAATGGACATGCTGCCTCTGCTGTGCATCACCGCCCACGCACAGAACCCTATAAAATTAACGACAACACTTTATTTTATGCTTCTTTATCACTGGTAAACGCGTTCACACCAGACTCTTATTTATCGTGGGGGCCGAAGAATTGGAGCCAAAAGCTGCTACACAGTCTGTACACACGATCCCTGATAAATCACACAAAGCATATAGTGTGATATATTTGACAATCCTTTGGGATTTTCTAGGGCAATATCCAAAATTTTCGTCCTGAGCTCTTCGACTGTTGATTCTTTGCCAGCGCCAGTATAAGCGAGAGAGTCAGAGCAATTTGTGGTTGGTGAAATTATAGGGCAAAAGCATTATGAGTTTGTCATTCATTTCGACATTAAATGAAAGTGTTGGAAATTCTCATGATTGCGCACAAATTAGACGCAATGCCACAAAAGGATAATAACTATAATTCCCATCTGTGACCTTCACCATTGCGAGCAATTCGTGTCCTTTTCTCCTCAATACCAATTTATCTCACAACAATCAGGCAGTGACTTTTCAGGTTGTTGCGTTTACGCACCATTAACAATACTTTTCAGTCTCATTTTCCCCCTCGGGCACTTTCTCATTATTATTTGTCTTACCTTCACACCGCGTGACCCCAGGCGATAAACTCACTGCGATATTCTTTGTCTGCCAAATGGCATTTCAGGATATCGACAGTCTCGTCAGCCTGAGAATTTTCATAAAATCTCACGTTCTATCGCCTCTGCGGAATCTCTGTTGATTGATTCGAAGAATGCATAATCACAGATCTGCGAAATTACTTTTTAAGTGGAGAAATCTCCCTGAAACGTCTTCAAGCTCTTCAAACTCTTCAGTTGTTAATAAGTAGGTCACAGGCTTCGTTAATGCAATCGAATAAATTGATATTCCCATTCGTAATGAATCATTTGAGAGTTTTATTTGACTTTGCAAGTGACTTTATCGCTTTTTGGTGTTTTTCTTTATAATTCCACCAAGAGGCAGATATTATGGCCGGAAGTGGTGTACAGCTTTAAAAAAAATGTGTTAAAATATTTAGAATGTTAGGTTTCGACAAATTGGGGCATTTTCAAAATGATTTTGCTTAGAAAAATCAATTTTATTGCTTCTGGTGATTAAGTAACCCTCAAAATCATCAAATTTGTATTTAAGCTAAGAATATTTCTTTTATTCACAGCAGAGTTGAGCATTTTTGTTTGAAAAAAGTTCATATTGGATAGAAAACAGTTAAAAAGTCATCAGACACTTCTGGTGAATAGGTTAAGATTCTGCACAGAAACTGTAGAAGCCAAATTATCTTCCCCTTGAATGATATCGACTTCAATTATATTGCGAGTGGGAAGTGTTTTTCGTGATAAAATTGTGCCAAAATTGTATAAAATTGCGAAACTTACAAAAATTCCACTTCATTGTGGTTTTGCGTGAACATCAAGAGCACAAGATTTACATAAAATGAAGTGGTTCTTTATTGTTTTTCCTCTGTGCATATCATACACCGTTCAGTCTTTCCCGGCAGTTGACATGGTTCTGCGCGATGGAAAGTTGCTGTACTTGAGCACTAAGAAAGTATAATAACAATGTTTGGCTTTAATTAAATTATAGTGTGTGAAATTAATGTGTTTGTCTCAAATAGTTGAATTGGCCAAGTGCAGTTGACGCATGTGCGTCACTCGGCATGGAACTTGTGTCAATAGCATCCTTTGCAGAACAGCGAGTTGTGGCGAAATTGAGCGATCAGGTTGGAGGAAATGTCTGGATTGGCGGATACAATTACCAAAAGGATCGACAGTGGCGCTGGGTGGGAAATGGGGAAGTGCTAAAGTACAAATTTTGGCTTGATAAGCAGCCAGACAATTATAAGAATAAGCAGAATTGTATCAGAATTTCGCCAATTCGCGGTAGAATGTGGGACGATCTCGAGTGTACTGCAGCATTGCCATACATCTGTGAATACAAGGAGAGGAAATAAAAGAAATAATGATTTCCAAAAAATATATGCGATGTTTTACGAGCAGCTTAGTGCTACGATTGATTTTCATTGCTGGCATTCAACCGTTGAACGATATAATGAGTCATATAAATTGCCAATTTTGTCTAGAATAATTAACATCACTTCTATGAGCATTAAATGTCGCTTTGGAAGGGAATTACTATTCATTTACCGAATGAGAAGCCCTCCTGTGGCTTCGTGACATATTGCTTTCCATCAATTCAGCGACATTTTTGATTAAAATATTCATAATTATAGATTCTGTATGGAATATTGACGTTGAAGAAATCAAACATCAAGAAGCAATCTTGAGGTCTTCCCAGAGATTTTCTCCACCCACATTGCGTCGTCTTCAATTGATGCGATGAATGGTGATTGAATTTTCCCTCTGTCAGAACAATTGAATACAATTTGGATCAATTTTATTCAATAAAGCCGCTCACCATAATTGATCTCTTACATAAACATTCTGCATGAGCTTTAATCCAGAAATCCACCGCAGAGAATTCATGGGACTACAAAATATTGTGCAAATAATGGTCTTTTGTATGCAATTTTGAAAGTATAATTGAATTTTGCATAGTGTCAAGGTTTGATATTAAAAACTTTTCCAATAGCAATGCGAGGACATTTTAATGGACAATATTTAGCAATTCACAGACTAACTAAACACTCACTTTTCATTAACATTTTCCGCACACGATTAAAAACGTGAGGCGAATTTGTTGGGAAAAAATTTTCCACCACACTTGTAAAGTAATGTTTATACACTGGACGGAAAGTGTTATATTGAGAGTCACTTTACCATCACACATCATGACAATGATACTTTCCAGAATCCTGTCACGTACAGTAGACAATAGACAACAGAGGATTGTAAACATTATCATTATATAGAGTGGAACGTGATGGCGAATCGATTAAAGTGAATTTCCTCGAAAAAGCCCAAAAGTCAAATAAATATATCAATTGTCCAATTATACAAAATCCCTCTTTTTCTGGGGGTAGTTCGACGTCCTCTCGATATCCTTTTTCCGCCTTCAGCATTTAGCCCCGAACATCTGCGATCGAGGAATCATTTTCCACTGTAATTTGCATACATTTGCCATTGACAATCGCTCTTGGCAATGCCTTCGACATTGGAGAATAAAGCTCCACTGACATCGCCTCTGAATGCTTCTTAGTGCGTAAAGTGAATGTAGAAAAAATCAATTTTTATTATTTCTTCCTCCACAGAGCCATGCTGGGGGAGGAAAAGCCATGGGGATGTGATATAAACACAAACGAATGTGACGTTCGGAAGCTGGGGCGAAAGATCAATTTAACATGAGACGATGAGTGTGTGAATGGCTAATGAAAATTCTTCTTTTTCCGGGGCGTCTCGCAATATATGTGCTTTTTATTCTGTCGAGGCGACACTATAAAAAGCTAATGCCAGACTGAAAGCTGATATTCAATAATAATCCTGGCATGGTTGTGAGTAATGTGTCGCCGACAAGGCAATATTTCATGAAGGTGCGTTTCGTATGCCATGTTGGTTACCTCTCTACACAATGTCCTTTTTTTCGCACTCCACTTCCTCACACTCGGGCCGTGACGTCAACCACCCTCAAACAGACAGTGCCACAGGAAGATGAATTGCCCGTCAGACACAGCCAGGGAATGTTCTTCTGCACACGGAGCTTTCATTCATCGCAACCAAGAGCTGGCCCTAAAGCTGCTCAGCTGTGACACGGAGCGCTTTTCGCTGAGTATATATCGTCAGAGTCGCAGAAACATGAAGTCCTCCCTGTCCTATTGAATCTCCAGTAATTGCTACATAATGAAGAAATCGGAATATCTAAGGATAGCCTTTTATTTGCCTTCGGGCCATAGAAATACCACGACACCCTATTCGCCCAGAAGAATTCATATTAATAGCACAGATGGTGACATTGTGAGGGTGATGACTGGTCAGTGATATCCCTTGTTGGCTCCCTCGCGCAGAATGACAACAATGGAGTCGAGTGTCTCTTGACCTGTGGGCCTAATTTGGTTGGCGGGCAGACTGAAGCCATAGCGTCCTGGAAATACATTGAAGGTGTGTGTTAATTAAGCCAAGGCAAGTCGCACAATTCCCCATTATTTTGGGGGTATTGAATTGACAAATGATATATCCACCTGTGTCACGCAGTTCATAGCAATACACCAGTCCTGTACCCTTGACGCCCTTCACCCAATCAATACTGCCGCCAGAGGCGATGTCTGCGGGGGTGGAAAATGAGGAAAATTGGATATTTTTTACACGGATCAGTTAGCCATAAATGTCCATCATTGTGGCCTGTTACACTTACAAATGGTCTCGGCAATATTTCCGTACGTGTATCTGGTGCCAAAGCGCTCCGCCAGCTTCTCCACGGCTTTGCCGCCAATCTCCACCAGATCGTAATAATTGCCCAGACGATCCCTGGTGTGACCGAACGGCACGAGGAGCATCTGACCATAGGAGTGGAAGGAGATGTACGTGGAGATGCCGGAGAGCGATGAGTAGTAGTCGGAGAGACTCTTCGTTTCCACCTCAGAAAAGGGTGCAGTGCCGAGGAAAGTGTCCGAGCAGGGATTCGTGCTCACGCCACCCTCTGGGATGGAAATGGGAAAAGTTCAGCTTCTCGATTGAGTGTAAAGTGTTAAAAAAAGACCACTTTTTCAGGACTTCCGCGTGGAAAATCATATTTCAGAGACGTGTGAGGATTACACCGGGATTAAAGGCGAACGATCGGTTCGAATAAAGTGATAAACCAAGGCAGATACAATGAGCCTCAATCAGTACATCACTTCTTCTCATTTCTTCAGTTATATGCTGAATTTCTGACACTATTTGCATAGTAGCGAAAATTAGGACACCTATGAAATTCGGGCCATTTTTCTTTTTGGTGCTAAAAATTCAATATTTCTTTAAATTTTCGAGACAACTACCCTAAGACAAGAAATTATGAGAATTTAATTATCTTTCAAATAGCGTTGAGATCATGGCAATATCTCAATTCGTGGCCGAGATATTGCAGAATTGCAGAGAGATGTGCGTATAAAGACAGCGAAAATTAAGTTAAGACATCATGACTTTGGAATGTGTAGAAGACATTTTTCACTGTGCAAAAATTAGAGAGTCTTAAGATTGGTCATTGTAATATCATCGCCTTGTACTAAACATTTTGATAGTGTCGAATTTCTATAGAGAGAATTAGGTCACTACTTAAGGGTGAGAAACTTCCCTTCGTATCGGGAATGTCGGTGAGCTTTGTCGAGGGCTTCAAAATACGAGGTATTTATTGGCACTTACGATTCCAATTGTATCCCCAGTTGCGATTGGCATCAGCTCCGTAGCACACTGATGACGATGGTTTCCTGGTTTTCCTCCAATTCCGATTCTACAGCAAAAACCACAAGCATTGAAGGACGTTCTGGGTGTGTAATTGAAATGCCAATGATACTCACAGTGGTGTGACTGTACTCGTAGCCATCGGGATTGACAACGGGAAAGATGTACCAGTCGTAGTTCCTGGCAATATCTTGAATGTCGGGATTAGTGGAGGTGAGGAGCTCATTGATGATGAATGTGGCTGTGGCATCGGCAATCCATTCTCGGGCATGAATTCCCGCCTCGATAAATACACCGGGATTTCCTGATTTATGTGAGATCCTCAGTCCCTTAATTTCTCGTCCCTCGTGACTGATTTAAGTGCAGCCCAGAAATTCCGGGGCAAAGGAATGGAGAGGTTAATGAATTGACCTCTCGTGGATTTGTTTGGGGGCAAACTCACCTCACTCCGCCCACAACAGTTCTCGCCACCGATGAGTGAGCATAAGCCATAACGTCCAGCCACTCGTATATCTCGGCCAGTGTGTGATAAGAGTCCCAGCCGAACATTCTGGGCATTACTTTGGGCTGCTCCTCGTCAAATTTCCTGGAACACAGCAAGGTCAAGCACGTAAATATTCTCCTATTCACCCAAATAAACAGATATCTCTTCTGCTTATGCCCAAAATGCAACGAACATGAAACATGATTCTCCTTTTCAGCCCATCTGTTAAGAATTAGACCAGTTTTCTGCCAACAGGCAATTTATTGCGACTTTTGAGGGAAGAAAAACAGCAAATATTTCACACGTGGTGCGGATTTTCACGCGAATTACTCGGAAATTTCTTCAACGGACATGTCAATAATTGTGTGATTCGTTGGTAAATGTTATTTTTCACAAACGGAATGAAGAAAATAAGAAATTTTTGTTATTTCAACCATCTTAAAGGTTGCACTTGCTACGCAGAAGGTAAATAAACACATGAACGAAGAGGAAATGAACTGCTCCGGGAGAGAGAAAAAAAATCAGAATGATTTTAGAATCATCCTCAAATTCAATATTATGGACTTGTTGAAAAGTTCACTGATTGCCTGAGGCGGAGAATCTCTCAAGATGAATAGCGTTTGGTTCTATACACAAGTTTTCACCGCGCTTGTGAATAGTGAAAATCCACTCGGAATGCGAATCACAACACTTTCGCAACCCCACAAACTTCTTCGGCCACAATATATAGTGGCATTTTTGGGGGTGGGTTGGGAGAGCAACATTTATGTGACACTCTCGAATCAATATAAACTGCCTCGGACTGGAGAGAATGGGCGTCACGTGGGGATATTTGGGGTGAATTGCAGTGATATTTGTCCACTCACTCTTGAAGATTTTCAATTTCCAGACGAACGTTGGCCCAATTGGCGGTTAATTCGGCGAAATCCGCTCTCTTGTGGGGTGGCACCATGACTGGAATTGTGATTCCGACGGCGCTTGGATATTCCCACAGCTCGTACTGCGGAGGAGAGAGGGTTTAGCCATGGGTCGAGGGATTAGTGGTTCCTGTTTTTACCCCATTTGGATGTGAATCGATCTGCTGGAGCTGCCGCAATTGCTCCTCCGTCTCAATTGGCACCGAATACACGCGGTAATGGTCAAAGCGGGCCTTCTCCACACACACCACACTCGCCACCAACGCCACCAGAACAGCCAACACGCCAAGGGATCGCATTCTTGCCGCACTGCGAGAAATCTTCGCGAACAATCAACCACCTCACGTCAATCCAACAGCATTTGTCGCATGTTGGCGGCGAAATCGCTTGTATAAATACATTCGCCTTATCTTGTTATTTATTTCTTTTTTCAAGATTTTACGACGTTTTCTCCCACACAATTAATCACAATATCTGTCAATAGGGAGAATTTATTTTCTGCTTGATGGAATGCTTTATCAGATCTGCAAACGGGAAAATTGATTGACTCAAAATATGTAACATGGTCAACCTGTTGGTCATTGAGCATCTCAACCAGACGTCCTTGCAGCACGACCAATTAGTCCCTTCTCTCTCTCCCTCTCTCTCTGTCTTGCAAAGTTTTAATGAATTTTCCCACACCTTGAAAGTCTCTGTACAAGTTTAATCACTTCCGAAAAATATCTTGCGGTTGTAATTTTGATTAATCTGCCAAGGAGGTTGCCGAGAAAGGTTGCCAAGAGTGTTTAAAGAGTTCAAGATGAAGGCACCGGTGAAAGTGTCTTCTTCGTTGTTGGTTTGACGAAGAGCAGCTCCTAATTGTGATTAATTAACACCTTTGCTCACCCCGAAAACTTCTCTGTCGCTGAGACTCCTGACAAACCTCACTTTTGAAGGAGAGACTCACACAATTAATTACATCGTTCACTATATTGTTGGATGCGGAAAGAATTACTTGTTAAGTAATCAAATTATGTCCCCAACATGAGAGTCTTATCAGTGAAGAAAGCGATGTGAATCAGATAAGACATGCAGTCAAGATGAGAATGTCTCGAGAGGGTTTTTGTGCAATGCATTGTCGAAGAAAATGCAATTTCTCACCCATGATAAGAAAATTGCAGCTATTCATGCAGAAGTAATGTGAACTAAGTTGTTTTTGTGTGAAAGAAAGCCACCTTTTTCGTCACAAAGAAACCCAATTATTGTGAAATGGTTTAACTGGTTTAACTGTGTGAAAAGACTGATAACTAATATAATGAATGACCTTCTCATCGATCAATGAATTTAAAGTTATCAAAGACCCTGAGACAGAAAGTATATTTTGAATAGACGATAAGTCAATTGACACACCGCTTATTGGCATTATTATTATTACGTTTTTTTTTGTGATAAGGAAGTGCTTAAGATATGAAAAGTAGCTGATATAAGAAACGTGTGAGTTAATAATGAGATTTTATGTGCATCAACGGAAGTTACATGTGAAAATTGTTTTGATGGAAAACATGATATTCGAAGCGAATGTTGTAGACAAACAAGCTGGTTTCTTAACCCCTGGAAACATGAGATTCTGCCAAAACACTTCAAGGTATAAAGACATGAACGTTGAGCTTAAATGGGATCATTTATGCATGAATGTAGTGTAAATAAAACGTAGATTCTCTTCACGCTTCGACTAAATGAATTTAAACGATAATAAGATGAAATCACGTTGGCAGATATGTAAGTGAAGCTCTATGTTTACAGTAAAACACCCTTCTGGAATATAATAATTGTGTTAATTTAGTTGTGCATTTCGCTGCGTGAATACAAAGTTTCATTCATGCGCACAGAATTCTCTGCAGCGTGATATTAAACAAGTATTGTTGGTCACAAATAACTTTCAATTAATATTCAAGATATGAAAAACATATTTTCCATTGGAATTACTTAATTAGAAAACCCAGCAATTAATTAAATTAAATTGTCCACCCACAGACTTTCTCGGTGTAACAAAGGCTTCGTGAGATGGACTCGAAATAAGAAGATTACATTTCTTCACAAATGATATTTACAATGTTTCTCAATAGACTGATGGGACAGAAATAGAAATTGTCATGCGATGATTGGGATTTTTCGGAGAATTTATGGCAATAACAGGGAATTTTTACAAACAAAATAACTTTAACTTTGAAAAAAAAAAAAACATTTCTGTCAACATCTTCAAGACAAGTTGAATGCTCAATTGATACATTCTTAGGTCTGGCATTCAGGGGAAGTGTGAGCTTTTAACGAAAGCTCTCTGACATGGGGAAATTCCCCTCCAACAATCGCCCACGCACAATTTCCGCTGTGGCCCAAAAGTTTGAATGTGGAAAAGCTGTTTGATATCAACACGTCAGTTTTTCCAAACACCTCCTCCGACGAACATCTCGCGGTTGTCCGCCAAGGTTCCCCAATCGGAGTATATTTAACAGTGAAGTCACTGTCGCGTGAGGATACACTCTTGTTCTGTCTGCGAGAGACAAAGGAAGTGTTCTTTGGCGGTGATAAATAAGAGTTTACGCTGCGAAATGTACAATCTGTGTTAAAATGTGAAAGAAAGGAAAACTAAGAGAAAGAGAGTCTCCGTTCATCCACATTATTTGTGATCAAAATTTACGTCTAACGCAGTGGTGGAGTTAATAAATTGATTTGTAGCTAGAACATCTCCTTCTCCTGCAGCTTTTAATTACGAAATGCCTTTTCGTGCGATAGTGATATAAGTATAGAAGGAGTCTTTGAGTGGCTCTCAATACTGTGTTTCACCATTCAGCCCAGTGCTCTTTTCATGTTTGCAGCGAAAGAAAATGGTGTTGTGCTAAAAGGCCAGAGGAATGCCTCTTCTTGCAGTGATTATGTGGTAGTTAAATAACCGTGATAGGGAATGGTCAAATGTGATTAAATCATGGCAGATGCTTTAGATGCTAGAGCAGTGACAAATTGCACAATATTGGCTGTGAATCGCTTCCCCTGGTCAGCTCCCCTGCTGTACAATGAGTCGTCAATCTCCTCACTCAATATCACGACAATCTTCGGATTGCTCCAGGATATGATAGACATCAGTCGCCAGGATGATCCGCAAGAGGATTCAGTCAGGTTAATTGAGAGATTTCCCACCCTCGCGCCAGGCCATCTCATGAAAATCCATCCACCCTTTTCCTCAGACTCTTCGTGAAGGAGTGCTTCCGCTCTGCGACACAGGCCTATGAATTACCCTGGGAACAGAAGGCGATTTGGGGCGTAATCTTCGGTGCGATGCTATTCATTGCCATTACTGGAAATTGCATAGTTTTGTGGATTGTTCTCGGTGAGTGTGGCTCATCAAATTGAACGATGGTGCGCGAGGGAAAAAGCTTCCGAAGACCAAATTTATGAAATAGCCATTCGGAGAACTATTTGCACATTCTGTCGGGCTTCACTTCGTTAATTAAATAGTAATGAAACAGTGCCGAATACCTTTGATTAAGTCATTGGCAAATGAAACTACTTTGCGATACCCTTATTAGATATTAATCCAATTTGGGTAATTCCAATTAGTCCAGTGTGGGAGCTTTTGGACATTCCCAAGAGAGAAGCACATTGAATAGTGATGTTGGCATTCGAATGAAAATTGGCAAATTGTCGAACTCTTCAAGACTGGCTGAATTTAATATGAAGTCTAGTGATGATATTTACATTAGTTTCAACATAAATAAAAGTCACTTCATTGAAGGAGTTGAGTGAAAATCCTTTATTGAAAGTTATTTACTAAAAAGTTAATAAAGCCACAATCCAATAGAAAGTTTCAGTGTTGAAACTTCCGCAAAATCTTTCAATTATCTCTCACTCTCTATGGCAATATCGCACTTTCAGCATCATAATGGTTTTCACCATGAAATTTCATTGAATGCGGAGAAGAGGAACTTTTTCCATAATGTAGCTTTTACTTGATGTGCTGGAAGCGCTGATTGATGAATTGGTGGCGTATTTAGAGTCACTTGTCGGAAACTTTAAGGCCCCTTGAATAAATTATAATTCAAATGAAATTACTTCGTAATACAGTGTGTATAACTTGTTAAATTTTGCCTCAATTGCCAATATAAGTTTGCTCTCAAGTGCCTGCTCCTTGAAACTTCCTCCCCCAAAAGGAGAATACATATCGCGACTGTTGAGATACATAACAGCAAAATATTCCACACAATATTCCACTTCCTCCGCCATGAAATGGAGCTCATCAGCAGTAACTATCGGCAAAATGATGAGAGGAATAACAAGAAATTCGCATACACATCTTCAGGCGAAGAAATTTACCCAATAAAAATCACAAATTTGTTGGGCAGAGAGAAAGTGAGAAAAACTTTCTCGTTTGTGTGAAACTTTTCTCCTCGCGCGGCGCCCAAATTGGAAAAGTCTCTATCGGCACAGTGTGTGAAAATTTTACAATTTTGCATTTCCCTTCTGGGAAAAACTCATTTTTTAGCACATCGCCGAATGCGAACGGTCACAAATTACTTTCTGCTTAACTTGAGTGTTGCCGATCTCCTCATGTCTTCACTCAACTGTGTCTTCAACTTCATCTTCATGCTCAACTCCGATTGGCCTTTCGGACCTGTTTACTGTACCATCAACAACTTCATCGCCAATGTGTCCGTCGCCGCATCCGTCTTCACACTCGTCGCCATCTCCTTTGACAGGTGAGTCCTTGTGTGCGAACCTGCGGTCTAATAGGGCTTAATTGACAAACGACGTGTCAAGTCAGGGACAATTCGCTCATCTCTCGGATTTACCTGTGAGATTGTCGGTTAAATGGCAAATATACGGAAGGGTGGACAATTATTTACCACGCGCTGGAGGCTTTCAACATTTAACTCAGGAGCCAACCACGAAATCAAGGTGCTTCATTACCGCAACTCTGTATCACAAGCAATGTTTGCCACGCAAACCTTTCAGCACGAATAAGCAGGGAATTGCTCGGTTCTATTTCCGTGGCATCACATTTGCACCTCACACTCTTATCTTTAAGGATTCGCCGTCAAGGTGAACATAAAGCAACTAATTTCACCAGGGATATTAATTTGAAATGGAAACATGGAGTACGTGCGGATTATAATGACACGTAATTGTATTTGCTTGTATGCTATCGAAAACTCCATCATGTTTACTACATATTTGTAAGTGATTGTTATATTCCTGCTTGTTTATTATCCTGGGCGTTGTGTTCTCGCCATGACAGAGGTGAGGCTTCAGGGTTGGCGCGATGCAGTATTCATACAGCAAAATCACCCAAGGGGGAGATAATACGGTCAGAAGTGGTGTACAGATCAGTAGAAGCTTAAGGAAGTGAAAGTGCTTCAATTTGTCCAATATTTGGTTCAAAGATTTGATTTCTGCTGACTATTTCACTCTCAGAAATTAATTTTTATTGAAGTCTCAATTTTGACACATTTTTCTAGGTTATGTGACTGATTTAACACTTAATGAGATCTTAAAGTTGCCTAAATTCAAAATATTTCCACTTTTAAGGTAGAATTTGCTTTTTACTCAATAAAAATTGTTATTTTAGAAGCTGGGGACTTAAAAACAATGCTAAAATCAAACATAACCTCAATGTGTCACTTGCCAAATCTTGCAATTTAAGTGCAATTTAGATCAGAAACACGTAAAAAAAGCTATCTAATGTCTACTAATGCAGTTAGAAAAGTCTTAAAATCAGAGTTATAAAACTATCAGTTAGATTTTGGTTAAATTCCAGTTATTAGTTGATTTTAGTCTCGTTAGAAGCAATGTATGAAATCTGAAGTCCTGGGAAGTGTTGAGGATTTTTAATACAAAATGTAGAAGTGTCAGGAAGTGATGTACAGACTTTAGCTACACCATCTTCCCCTTGAAATGACCATTCATTAGTTCTGAGAAAAGTCAAGTCGATCGTGAATTATACAGTATATACTCGGTGGTAAAAAATGCAATGAAACATTGTGGTAAGAAAGTTTGCAGACTTCCTCCTTCTTATGTACATTACTTCCGTAAGACACTGCGAGAGGTAGGAAAAAGGTAAACGAAAGATAGACTTAATTATAGAGGAAACCACACAGAAATAACCACTATGTCAATAAATGTCCTCTTGCGAGAATGACACACTTCCTTAATCACAGCTTCCCGTGAGAGAGAGATGCGCAGATAAGTTCCAGTGTATGCATAATAAAGAATGAGGAAATTACATAACTTCCTGTACGGACTTTTCCCAGAATAGAAGACATTCCACAAGGGTAGGAATTCCTTGACATATATTGGGCGAAAAACTTACAACGTAAGCAAAGTGTAGGATTTTTTTTTCTCTTCTGGTACAACAGTAAGAAACTTTCTTGCATTGTTGCACAAGTTTTCCTACATGGAAGTTTTCTTGGGCATTCGATATAGTCTCAAGCATGTGACAATATGCCACAATCAGAACACAATTCAATTTCCAACTAAACATGTTTGCTCAAGTGTTTCAGCAAATCTTCAGTGATACTCACCCTTTTTACCGAGCCCTTTTCACAGTTGTAGTTGGAGTGTGTAATTTAAGATGTTCCCCCCTTTTTTTTCCCTTTGCTTATGAATTTCTCCCTCAACTGTGCTCGTCAGTTTCCACAGAAGGAGCAAAACAAAGAAACCCCACGCAGAAAATTCCCATGCACCATGACTTTCACTTTGCAAATTCCACCCCCCAGAAGAACATCGTGCTATTGAATGAAATTGTTGGGTGCGGGTTTCCTCCCATTCGTATCTTTAAGTGAAATTATCGTACGCCAAATATTTCTAAACGGCACGCAGCTACTAACGGCACTACGCCCGAGACATTTTCCTTTGGGATTTCGCTGGGGGGTTGAAAAACCCCTACAATTTGCGTACTCAAGCAAATTTTCAACGACCAAGAAATTCCCTTTTATTGCAATTTTCAACACACCAGCGAATGACCCATTTGGATACATTCCTTCGCTGTGGCTCCTCATCAAACAGCACACTCACAATATTTGCCCGTGGAATAAGGAGATTTGCGCAAGAAAAAATAATACTCTCTTTGAGCTCCTTGGCAGTGTCTCTTTTTGTGGGGAAAATTCCAATAATCCCGTAGGGCTTTCTCTATTCTCTTCAGAGACTCTTCGATCTTTGAAACTTCGTAACCGCACCCACCAAACACCCTTGCTTGTATCGCGACTGGGTGGGAATGTAATCAATTATTTTGACGCAAATTCATCATTTTCGGGCGAACAAAATTAATAGAAAATACATTGTGAAGTCTCAGACAACAATATTGACGCCGTTGATCCTGAAATTTTTAAAGCTTTTCCCAGAAAGTTTCAGCAAACAGGGTTTGACTGGGGGTAAATATATCATCTCAGGACGCAAGCGACGTGCTTCCATAAAAGTTTAACAAACTTTCCGCTGTTAGTTTGATTGTCGTGGAGCAAAATGAGTGGAAAATTGTGTGGAAAACATCTCATGTCTTCAAGGACAAGATGAAGAGAGAAGATGTATTAAAAATCAATTCCCCATCAAGATTTTCCATGAATTATCTACTAACAGATTTTCGGAGAAAAGTGCAAAAACAAATTGAAAGATTACATTTCTTACTCTCCTCACAACATGGTTCAATCCAATCACTTGCGATATAAACAGTAAGGGGAAACACATCTTGTGCTGGAAGTATTTTATTTGTGCAAAAGAGTTAAGTTGTTATAAAGGGATTCGCATTTCTCAGGCAAAGTTCATCGTTTTTCCTACGTGCGGTTGGATTGCTGGGGAAGAGCGTCGTTGGAGAAGATGCTGACATTGGCGGTGAACATGTTGGGCGTGAGGAAGGTGTTGAGGCGATCGCTGCCCTGGCGCGGCAGGCGATCGAAGGGGAAGCCCATGGGGCGCCGATCGGGGTAGAGACGATCGCGGACGCCGCAGAAGGAGAAGGCGTCATTGCAGGTGCCCACGAGGTCCTGCTCCACGCGGTCCTCCTCGTAATTGGTCAGCATCACGAACAGGTTGCACGGCATGCCCTCGGGCACACCCTTGGGGATGAGCATGTGCTGCGGCCAACCGCAACCGCAGAACGTGAACTGCGCCTCGGCGTCCGCCCCGGTCGGACGATTGTCCAGATTGCGGAAGGTCCTCTCGAAGGGAATTGTGACGTTGGACTCCGTGGAGCGACGCCTGATTGTATTGGATCCGGGACGACCTGGAGGAGGAGAGCATGAATCAGTGGGTGAAAATGCCATTTGTGCTTATTATATGCACAGCATCGTGTTTCCCATCAAGCGCCAGATGCTGCTGCCCAACCATCTGCAATGGAGCATGAATATTTCAGGAAACTATCTCCGAGATAACCCTTCCTCCCACACACTCCCACACCCCAACGGATGTGTGCGCAAAAAACATCCCCCCGAAACAATTAAGTAATTGTTTTTATCATTCAGGACACCCTTTCTTGGGGGACGCTTCTCCTTTTCGGAGTTACGAAGCTGAAATTAGGGTTGTTTTTTTTACTTGTTCTCCATCTAGAAAACACATAAAATCCCCAAAACGCAAACACGGAGAAAATTAATTTTACACTAATGAAATGAAATGCCACAAATCACAGCCGAGGACAACCTAAGTTTGCGGAGAGAGTCATAAAGCGCAGCTGTTGGCGCTCTCAAAAAATTCCAAATGCATTTTCTGATTGATTTATGGGGTTGGCAAAATGAGGGCGTATTTCATTTTTAGGGCACCGTGCGCTAAATAGCACAACACATCTCCATTTTACATTGATTCCGTAAGTGCATTGTGCAATTGTACGTCAACTAATGATGCCAATGCGATTTACAGAAGGATGAGGAAATTGAATGTTTGAGAGGGAATATTATGCGTCAAACGCAGAATTACACGTTGCAACTATGAATAATCATCCCTTGGCTATAAATAAACGTTTGATGGATGCAAATATACTCACATGCAATGACAAATCTATCCAACTCAATCATGGCGTGGCGCACTTCCCTGAAGCTCATTTCACTGCCGCGCTCATCAAATTTGGGCGAAATGAAAATGCGTGCAGTTGCCAGAATCTGAGCATTATTGGCGTTATTGATAGTGATGGTGTACGTGAAGTTCTCGTGGTTCAAATGTGTGAATCTGAAGGAGTGGAAGAAGATTAATTACACAACTTCGTCAAGTCAATTTTCCCTCACTTTCTCACCTGGCAAGGACATCTCCACGTGGAGTGAAGTCCAAACCGCGCGAGAGATTTACGTCGCTTTGCATGAAGAAAGTGCGGAGCTCATTAGTTTTGCCGCCTTTGTCATTTTGCACTGTGACATTGGTGATCTGGACGTTGGGATACGTGAGCTCGGCCTCAGAGTAGGGCGGAAGTCTGTTCTTGTGCTCCTGGAAGATGTCGTCGATGTAGCTGTGCCACTTGTAGAAGACAGGATCGCGCATGGCCGTGGTGGCATCTCCCATCACGCCGAAGGACTCCAGGTGGCGATGGTCAGGATCGTGCGCGTAGCTGATGAACACGTGTCCCATGTTGTGCAGATCGCCGTAAAGCTGGCGATTGGGCGAGAGAATGCTCGCTTCCATCACATTGCCGAGGACATCGATGCCACGATTGTCATCCAGGGGAATCCTCGTGCCCTGCGGATCGACAATGAAGCCCTGATGGATGGCTTCGAAGAATCTGTCGCGCCAGCGCTCCAAAGTGCCCAAATCCATATTGATCTGATCCAGACCGCGATTCAGATCCCTCAGCTTCGTGTTGGCGGCTCTTCCTGGCCACTGTCGACTGGACACCAGAGAGTCCATCTTCGGGAAGTAGCCCTCCTTGATAGGCTCCCTCAGATTGTTGAGTCTCTCCACCCTCTTCAGCCTGTTGCACAGCCGCTCGAAGTTGTAGCGCGCCACAATTTGCTGGTGCATGTAGTAGAAGAGCTCTCCGCGCCTGTCCTTGGCCACAACGGCGCGCGTGTTGGCCTCGAAGGGATACACCAAGTGCCAGTGCCAGTGGTGCAAGTTGATGCCGATGTCCTCGCGGAAGTACCACAGCCTGTGCTCCTCCTCCAAGTCCGACGCCGTGTAATCTCTGGGAATCACAATCGGGCGCCGAGAGCCAACAGGGACAATCGCAGCCTCCTCGCGCACCGAGGCGAACACCTTGCTGTCCATGAACTTGTCCGGGAAGGTCTCCATGAAGTTGGGGATCGGGAGGTCCTTAGTGTCCGGCCGGTGCAGCAGAGCCACGGAGAGAGCATAGTGGAAGAGATAGGGATTCAAGCGGTCACGAGCATAAACCGCCACGCTCAGCAAGTCATCGACACTTCGCATTCCTGACGAAGGACAATAAAACTGTGGGTTAGATTCGATTAAGATTACAGTGGTCGCCAATGAATTTAAAGCTTGATTCACGTGTTATTGAAGCTAATTTTAAATGCTATTCTCTACTTGAATTAAGAATATTTTATGCATATATTAATTTTGCTACTATTAATAATTCTCTTGTTCTTCTAATTGTGTTTTTGACTGGTTTTAGACTGAAATTCTCATCAAAACCAGGAGTTTTTGTCAAAACCAACGATTTATTCACTATTGAAACGATTTACGTTGGCGTCATTCAAAATTACACACGCAAAACTGTCCGCTTTATTTCATTGACAGTCACTGTGTATGCACAAATTCACGGGTTTGATGATAAATTGTCCGTCTGCGGACATTATGATGTGCTCGACTGAGCGTGAAGAGGAGACAATATTGAAATAGTCACAGAGTTTGATTTCTTTGTTGGCGATATTCGGCGCAAGAGTTGCAAAAGCTGCAAAACTCACCCAGAAAGATGTCGATTAGGCGTCCGGCGTAGACGCGATGGGACGGGATGAAGAGAGAGAACTGCTCGTGACGGCCCAGAGTCATTGGAACCCGCAGGTCCGGCAGCGAGATGTTCCTCACGGGAATCCGATTCTCCGCCGCCTCGCCGAAGCGATTCTGCAGCTCAGTGCCAATGTCACGGTATTGATCGGAGAGATAATTGTCGGGCACGTCGAACACCGTCTTCCGCTCGCCCTTCTCCACGAACACCGGCTCCTGGGGCCGGTCGAAGAGCAACAGGAGATTCTTCTTGTCGGTCATAATTTCCGCTCAAAGCAACTCGTTGAGGCCACTCGTGATTGACACAGCACACACTACTTAGCAAGTGTTATGAGCTCCGGAGAAGCTCCTTAGAGACATTTATACGGTTGAGCTCGAGCCTTATCTCTCGCTTCCCTCTCACTTTGCCATTCCACGTGTTGGCTTTCCCCAGAGGATTTGGGCGAAAACCACTAGACTGATTGTGGCCTATTGTGTAGCGCTCGTGCAGTGCTGTCCGGATGTCCAGCGACCGCACATCGTCTTGTTTACTAACTCATGCACTGACTCCATATCTCACTCTCACTCTCCATTTCTCTCCATTACAGATATATCGCCATCGTGAGACCCCTTCGGCATCGGACATCCCGCAAGAAGGCAAGAATATTCCTGCTGATTATCTGGGCACTCAGTGGGATTCTCGCCTCGCCGTGTCTTCTCTACTCCACCACCGAAACAATGAGGTCAGAAAACTTTTGCTATCACACGCCACAACACCCAAAGATAAATGGTGTGGGTTTTTTTCTTTCCACCAAAATACACACCATGAATCCCAAGAAATGCTCATTGATGCGCGAAAATTCACCATAGATGCTCACATTTGTTTTCATACTTTTGCAAAAGACACCGCAAATGGTGAGTAATCGCCGTTGGAACTCTTTCCAAACGCCATTTAAATTGAGAAATTGGATACATTAATATTTATCTGCATTGACGGTGAGAATACATCGCAAAGTTGACTTGTTGTGCGCTTCCAATTGAGGGAATTTCGCGCGTGTTTCCATTGCTGAATATTTTCAGTCCAATAAAATTCACAGCGCATTCCTGACAGCATCACCAATTACAAATTGTAATTAAAAGGCATTCTTTAAGAGCCTGCAATGGTGGGTGAAGGTGTGTATATTTTAATATTCATAAAGTTCCCTGGATGACAAGGCTTAGGCCTTCTTCGTAAATTGTGCACACGCCCTTTGGCCAGCAGCAATGCGAGAATGGAAGTTTTTTCCCCGCGGAAGAGCAGGTGGAATGAATTTTAATTCAATGATATTTTCCATAATTAGCCCAGAGGTGAAAAGATGATTTAAAACAGTCCCTTTTCCTGACAATGGCACAACTCTCAACACGTGCCGGTTGCGAAATGTTCTTTGTTCACGCCGAAATGTGAATGAAATTCCTCGAGAATATCCATGAATATGCTTTTCCGCTTGCCGATGATTTATTTTAGCAGTCGTGAATGAAGCGATAAAATTGTTATTTGTGTATACATCAATTAAACGGCGACCGAGATTCGTGCGCTGAGGACAACATTGCGGGTGGAAATTAATGTTTTGGGCGAGGAAAGTGGGCCACAATGGTCACCGGTGTTATCAACATTTTATGCGAATGACGAAGAGAAGTATAATGTTCTGCACTACATCATGAAAAATATGGAAAGCTGATAGCAAGGGGCAAATCACAAGGCGATTTTCGAGGAAAATTATTGTTCTCTAGTCAAATAATCAATTATTTGAGGAAAATATTAAAAAAAAAATTATTTTCCCAAGTAAAATAAAAAAGAAAATCATATTCTGAAAAATAAACTAATAAAAAAAAAAGATTATTTTCACAAGTAAAATTACAAAATAATCAATAAATTATCAGAATTTGGATGAAAAAATTGATTTTGATCAAACATTCAGAATGTTAACGAAAAATATTCATAATTTTTATAAGAAAATTCAAAATTTGAATCTAAATCACAAATAATCAAAAAAAATCAGAAATTGTATGGAATTATCGATTTTAATTCAAATATTCGGAAAGTGATCAAAAAATAATCAGAATTTGACTTAAAAATCACAAATAATCAAAAAATAATCAGAATTTTGTATGAAATAATCAAAATTTGAGTTATAATCACAAAGTTAATGGTCTCAATTTGCGAGTGACTGACCCCTTGGCTGATAGTCATTTTCCCGTTTTTGCTTATATTTATTAGCTCCCAACAATAAGTGTTGTCTTCATTGCTCAATGTTTCCGCCTTTTCCTCCCTCTTGGATCACACTCAGCATCCATATTTCATCCCTCGTCCAGAGATTTCACGGAAATATAAATTAATGTTTGGGAATTACAGGAAAAACTGCCTAAATATAGCATTCCGGGTATTTGTTTCGGCGGAGAAACATCGGGAGGGAAGAAAGGAAATATAATATTAATCACATACATTAATGGCGAGAAATGGGATGGAAATAGAAGATAATACCTATATTTGAAGCTATTTACAGAGCACAAATGATCCCAGATTTCTGCCATTCTGCCCAAATATTCCCTGTTCTCAAATATTTGTCGAGTATATACGAAAATCCCAATTTGGAAATTTGGATAAACTCATATGTTTGCGGCCAAGGGGTAAACATGTGGCGCAATCACGGTTCACTGAGAACGCAATCTTCGCAATCCCAAACGCAATCCGCAATCCCTAGTGTAAAAACGCAATCTTTGGGCGCAATCCACAATCTTTGGGCGCAATCCGCAATCTTTTGGCACAATCCGCAATCTTTTGGCGCAATCCGCAATCCTTAGTGTAAAATCGCAATCTTTGCGCGCAATCCGCAATCTTTGGGCGCAATCCGCAATCTTTGGGCGCAATCCGCAATCTTTTGGCGCAATCACACAATCTTCGCAATCCGGGTTCACTCAGAGTGGCACATGTTTACCCCTTGTTTGCGGCCTTGCAATTGAGCATCTTTCTTTTTGAGTGGCTTTTCTAGTGCCTCTCCTCCTTTGGCATGTTTTCCCCCCGCCACGGGATGAATTTTCCGAATATATTATATTTCCACCGTCATGCTCACGCTGTCTTATTCCCTCCCCCCCGCATCGCCCACCCACTGGCACAGATACAACGGGAAGACTCGAACGCAGTGCTATATGATATGGCCCGATGGGAGTTATCCCACATCAATGGCAGATTATATGTGAGTCTCCTGCTTGAGTTACGATGGCATATTCAATTGCGAATCACAGCCATGCATTTCACAGATACAATTTGGTATTCCTCACCCTCACCTACGGGATTCCCATGCTCATCATGATCGTGTGCTACTCGCTCATGGGCAAGGAGCTGTGGGGGAGTCGCTCCATCGGGGAGCACACGGAGCGCCAGTTGGAGTCGATGAAGTCGAAGAAGAAGGTAATCACATGCCATTCGTGCCTCAGATCGCATTACTCAAATGGGACATCCGCACTATTTTCGCAGGTTGTTCGGATGTTTATTATAATTGTGACAATATTCGCCATCTGCTGGCTGCCCTACCAGCTCTTCTTCGTCTACGCTTACCACAATAAGCAGGTGACGAGCAAGATACACGCCCAGCAAATGTACCTGGCCTTCTACTGGCTGGCCATGTCCAACGCGATGGTCAATCCGCTCATCTACTACTGGATGAACGGCCGCTTCCGCGTCTACTTCCAGGAGATCATCTGCTACTGCTGCCTTCGCGTGTGGAAGGCGCACAACAAGGGCGCCGACAATGTTCCCGGCATCCTCGGCCGGCGCAATTCACAATCCGACTTTGCCCGTACGAAATCCTGTGAGCAAATCACCCCCATCGCCCTAATCTCGGGCTAATACAATTTTCCCTCCCCCTCCACAGGTCGACCCAAATCCGTCTCCATGCAGTGGCATCAAACAATGCCGGCAAATATTCGGGTAAGTGAAGATAAGAGTGATGAAATGTTTACTGCATTGCCCGAACTTCTCTGCCAAACTTAAGTTGAAGGATAACGTCAAACACAGTTCACAGAATTACAAAATTACAAGCTCAAGGGGGAGATATTCGCCATAAAGTGAAATCTTTGAATTATTCTGTGAAATGCTTTTCCACATTCAAACTACCCAGAAATTGACCCAAAACTTTTTTCATATCTGATCACAGATTAAATGATTAAGTAGCTAAAAAACTCATCTTCTAACCACACTTTTTGAGATATCAAAATGATATTTTTTCTCGCAAAATCAATGGTCAGAATTTGAAATCCGATGTGAGAAAATTTGCAATATTCAGTTCACTGCATTGATTTTCTATTGATTCTTTTACTCTCAAAAATTAATTTGTGACTTCTTTAAGGCTAATTAACAGCTCAATGTACGAATTAATTCACCTAAACTGATATTTTTCCCATTTATTAGTAGTTTTGTGTGTTTGCACTCAATGAAAATGATTACTATGGAAGCTGAGCGGTGAAAAGAACGCTACAATCAAACATAACCTCAATTTGTAACATAAATTTGTAAAATAAATTTTTTATCTTACTTTTCGGATGATAAATCACAATTTGTCTTAAGAAATTAGACTACTGTAATGTTAAAAGCCTTTAAGAAGAAATGAAGGTTAAATAAAAGGCATTTTTGAGACACAATCGATGTATCTCCCCCTTGACAATGGTGTAAAACATCTGGGATTTGTAGATAAAACTCATTTCCAGAGGAAAATGCAAAATGACAAACTTGTCCGTCTAACTTCTTGCACTTTGCGCATTACTTTCGCAGGCAAGACACTTGAATCCCAGCGGAAACCAGCAAGCCAGCCCCAAGTGTAATTCCACTGTCACCACCCACATGGACGTGCCGCTGGGCGCCAACCACTTTGAGACGCGCGAGGCGCGAAGAATTCAGCCGAGCAACGAACAATCCCACCCCCTGACAGAGGCCCACATGTATCCGAACGGATGCTCTGAGTATTCCTGACACCCTCAGTATGACTGAAATTATCTGAACGGCGGAAGCCACAAGCGCGTCGAGGAAGTGGCGGAGAGTGAGGAGGAGGAGAATGATACCCTCCACGAGGGCAGAAGCTCAATTTGCCTCAGCACCTTTCCCAAGGCGGTGCTGCCACGAGATGCAACTGACGAGATGTTCTCAACGCCATTCCCATTGCATCGAACGACGCCGTACAAGAGTACGCTTGTCTAGCGGCGAAAGAGCAACGTAACGAGCTTTTGCCTCATCCCAGAAGAAGCTTTGCCAGTCAAGGAGCGGCAAAGAGTGATTTAGAGCAGGATATACCAACACATGTTGCATGCAGCGCAAACATCTTCCCGCAAAATTGCTGCAATATTTGTGTATACACAGTAATTGGACACGGAAAGAGTCAGACAACTATGTATACGGCTGAAATTAGCATCACTCAATTCTTCGGGTGAGTTTCTGTTTCATCTCTGAAAAAAAAACCTCTCCTTTGGAAATAAATTTGTTCCCAACTTTGGGGAGTAATCTTACTTCTTCTCTGTACTAAAGAGAGCCTCGAAAAGACTGGTTAGTTCATTAAAAAGTTGTACATTACATGAGAGGACACTCAATTGTAAAGACTCGTGTGAGAGAGAGTTCTATCGTAGGTTTAGGAGTTAAAGTGTATAAATTAAAATTATATGACAACGAAAACTACCGCAGTGTTTTTTTTTTTCACCCCCCAACTTTCAAGTCCTCTGCAAACAATGCTCTCAAAAAAGGGCGTGCGATAAGTTGTGTAGATTAAAAGCTATTATGCTCTGCATCCACTTCACCGCACTTGTACTTCAGCAACACCAAAATTCCCGCTGGTTTTCCATTGCAGGCGAAGTGAGAGAAAAAAGAATGGATAAATTAAAAGTTGTTGCTGGAAAATACGCAGGATAAGTGCGAAGGTGTGCATAAAATCCACCACAAGGTATGTTATGCATAAATGTATGTAATTTTTTGCCAGGGTTTTTTTGACTGATGTGATTTTCTGATCTCTCTCGGTATGAAATGCAATTTGTTCTTTGCGCACCACCAGCAAATAAAGCCAAGCAAAGGCAGAAATATTGAGTAATCAAATGCATAGATAGAACAAGGGGGAAATATGGCCAGACGTTTTCCTCATTTTCTTCACCTTTTTCGGAATATTTTAAGTTTTGAGTGGATATTTTGATGTTATCCAATGTGCAATCCTTCTTTTGGATGCACATTGAATCATAACCTCAAAATTATCTTGAGATTTTCAAAAGAATCTTTGAAACTCATTTGGAACGTTTAAATTCGATAAAGAGCTTAAATTTACTATTTTAGAGTAGAAAATCCAGCAAAAAAGCTCTTAAAACAAACAATTTTCTATCCTAAAACAGTATTTTTGAGGTTATGATTAGTTTTAACATTAAAAGCCTGTGATCCTAATGATTTTTTTTATTATTGTGCCAGTAAATGGAAATTAAACCAACTTAGAAGCAAGTATAAATAATTTTGGAGGTTATTTTAGGCAAAGTTTCTTCTTAATATCCTTATTTTTCGCTAATATTACAAAGAAATCCAAACTTTACACTAATTTGTGTTAAAATTAAAACATCAATAAAGAAATATTGATGGACTTCGACTATGTAAGGTTATAAATCTGGTTAAAAACTTCAGTTGACCATAATATCTCCCCCTTGGCATGGAATGCAAACTATATTATTGAGATGAAATTGAACTTTCCATATCGCTATACAAATTTCCAATCAAGTCATTGTAACTTTTCATTTCCAATATCGTCTGTTAGCGAATCACGTAAATTTCCGTGCTTCGGCAACTTCTAAAAATAGCGTGTGTGTGGTGAGAAAATATTAATGAAAAACCGCATATATCAAAAATATTCGGGTAATTTCATATGAACGAGGAGGAGAAATTGAGTCTTTTTGCTTAGCAATATGACACTCATATTTCGTATCAAATGATGAAGGTTACTCAGAGACGATGGAAAATCCCTGCTCTAATCGGTGAGATTTGCAAAGTTATATCGCGGCACATCAACAGGCGTATGCTCTCATTTACTTAATAGAAAGACGTACGTCTTTGTTTACGCGCAGCACCTAATCCCACTGCAAATAACATCCCGAGTGCTGCTGGGTGATAAAAGTTCAGCGATTAGGGGCTTTTTTCCGCGCTTTGTCAGAGAGAGTCTCAATGAAAATTGCCACATCACGATCGACTGCCTTTGTTGACTGCTGGAAAATCACTTTTCAATCGATGAAAGCATGGCATCGGCAGCAGCTGATGGGCGTCTCGATGGATGTCTCAGTGATTTCTCACAACCGATGCTGAGCATCTTCAGCGCTGGACCGCATGGATCGTGTGGCATGTCTCAAGTGGCTGATTATCTCGGGATTTCAGCGTGAATCGGCGAGGAAGGCTGAGGTGTAATTGGTTGCAAAGTTTGGTGTGCTGATTTGCAACATTTGTCTCACAACCACTTTGCCAACCTCTTGGACAAATATTGACGCTAGCAAGTCGATGTGTGAGCAAATATAGATGACGATTTCTTACAAAGGGATCACTTTGCCAGATTTCCTTCTCACCCAAAATGAATTTATGACTTTATTGTACTTTCATCACGCAGTCATCTTGTTGACTTGACGCCTTCCACAACATATTTCTACCCACTCTCCAGCAGATTCATCTTATTAATTGCCTGATAGTCATAAAGAGACTTTGTGGTTTAGCTCGAGAGCACGCTGAGTGATGAAATATTCCTCTCTCTCCGTTGTGAAAATTGTGAAATTGCTCATTAGAAATTAATTAGGAGCTTAGGAAAAGTGATTAGGGTGCATACTTTCCTCCCAAATTGTGCAGAATTAATCCAATGAGACCGTTCAGTGTGAATCTTCACAGAAAGGCACAGAATGGTTGTGGATGCGAGTGTTGTGAATGTGGAAGTGCTCGGTGGACAGACTCCAACGCCAGACAGGAAGGACACAGCGGTGGATGTTGCGACAGGAAGTGACTTTGAGACGGCAATTGCGGCCACGGGATATGGCCGCTTCAACATCTTCATCCTCGCCATTGCCCTCTTCTGCTGTCTGGGCAGCATCAACGAGAGCACCACAATGGCCTACATTCTCCCAGCCGCCGAGTGCGACTTGAATCTGTCGCTGCAGAACAAGGGAATGCTCAATGCCATCACCTACATGGGTAAGAGTCCTCCTGGGACACATTTTCCCAACCTAAATTCCCCACCAGAGCCAATGAATTCTCGTTGAGAAAGTGTCTCGACACTTTTCCGCAACTTGGCAGCGCTGACACTAACTTCAGATCTCTCCTGAATTTTCATTAAACGCTGAAATATGACGGTGAAAGTGAAAATATTCAATTGCGATGCCATAAGTCTGTGCACGAAAATTCTGTGCAGAATCTTAAACATTTGAGAAGCTGCGTCTTAAGTATTTCACGCCCCGGTTTACATATTAAACAATGATTGAGGCTATATGCACCTTATTAAATTTATACTATTTGCAATTAAGTTGCAAATATATGTGTCACGGAGACAAAAATGAAGAAAACGAGTGCTATTTACTCTACTTCGTACATTACATATCATTATTTGACTCTTCAAATTCTCATAAATTCGTGCAATTTCTTTACAATATTCTATCTCGCAGGCATGATAACATCCGCCTTCTTATGGGGCTACTTGGCGGACACTCTAGGACGTCGGGAGATTCTTGGCTACGGCTACATAATCATGGGCATCTTTGAGACAGCTTGCGGCTTCAGCCAAACCCTGTGGATGCTGCTCGTCTTCAAGTACATCTCCGGATTTGTGTAATTCCCCCCGGATTCCCATCCCCCCTTTTCCACTTATCACTGGGAGATCCTTTTCCTTGACAGTGCCTGCGGACCCTTCGCCGTGCTCATGAGCTACGTGGCAGAGATGCACGGCGCAAAGCATCGCGCCCGCATCGTCCTGACTGTGGGCACCTTCTTCTCCATCGGTAACATAATCCTGCCGTGCATCGCCTGGGCCGTGCTGCCGAGATCCTGGACAGTGACTTTCGTGGCGAACATCTTCGGTATGACAACAAATTCAATTTCCACGCCATGATAAAAGACGCTTCTGAGTCTCTTGTTGTGTAATGAGATGAAAATTGATGGAGAGAAAGAATGCCCGACATTTCTTTTCATCTTTCCGCCACATCCTTGAGGATATTTGAGCTGCTCTGTGGCGGAAGAATAGGATGAAACCATTATGATGTAGTAAACTTTCCACTTTATCCAACAGAACTACACTCGTGGCACATTTTCTTGCTAATTTGCGCCACCCCAAGTTTACTTGGTGGAACACTGGTGGTTCTGTTGCTGCCGGAAAGTCCCAAATTTCTCATGTCCCGCGGCCGAAATGACGAGGCGCTGGCAATCTTCCAGAGGATCTTCCATGAGAACACAGGAAAGGCTGCCCATGAATATCCGGTAATAAGATCTTATCTCCCAAATACCATCGTCAACTCATCTTCTTTATGCTCATCGCCAAGGAAATGTATCTCTCACGTCAAATGAGATGAATGATGCATTTGGGAGATATGCAAATTCGAGAGGATGTACAGGAAAAATGTTACGAGAACATCGAAAGTATTTTTATGGCCTCTTGAGCCTTCTTCAGTAAATTGTAACACTTCTGGCTCAGCCCGGAAATTCTACCGAGCAGAGCATTTATCATATTTCATGGGGCGATATATGTATTTTGGGAGGAACTTTGCGCCACTAGCAACTTTAATCTTTGGCTTACTGAGCCCGAGATAGAATCTTTGGCGTGTTATCCTCCCGATCCATTGATTAATGACAATTTCTGGTCTTTCATTAAAACAAACAGATTAGGGCGCTTATTGACGAGTTGCGACAAAGTGGGTCAGGACAGAAGGCTTTGAGTGGCGCCAGCAGTGTGCCGAAATCAAAAGGATGCGCCGCCCTGAAGGATGGCTTGTCTCAAATTGCACCCATGCTGAAGCGACCGCACTTGAGAAACTGCTGTCTTGTCTTCAGCATTCAATTTGGCGTTCTCATGAGGTGAATTACCACAGAATCTTCTCACTTTACATAGTTTGGTGAACTTTGCCACCGCCGAAGAATTCAATTAGACAATTTGGACTCAATTATCAGTATACTAAATCATCAAACTATTCAATTACAAAGCATTTATTTTAACACCGCAATTTACACACGGCATAAATACTTAACAATGTGTAAATTCGTTGTGGTAACAAAGCGCGGACTAATTTTGATTCAATTACAAATTGTTTGTATTCCAATTTGGCCAGATAAATAATTGCATTTCCTCTTTGCACACCTCATTAATGCGTAAACTTACCAAACGTTTCAGCCAAAATACTATCCGTCTGTGGCTTCCCGAGATATTCCACATGATGGCCGAATATAGCAAAGCATCAAATGATCCTACAAATCACACAACGAGTATGTGCGACATAATTGATGCCTCTCAAAGCATAAAGAGCGCCAATTCCACCCACTTGGCCGGTCAAGCCATTCAGCCTGTGGAATGCACCGCGGTGAGTTGTCACTATGTTGCCAGAATCCCTCCTGGGAATGTAATTTATTCAAATAATTAAATTTTGAATTCACATTGGCACAATATGCCGACCAATTTCCATAATTGAAAGATGGATATGCTTGCTGAATGAAAGCACAGCACCGAATTCAGGCGGAAAGAGAGCCAATTATTCAGTTGAATTTCTGGGTAAATAAATTCTCTTTGCTTATTTGCAGACTCCAGATAGCAGTGTTTACTTCAATGCACTCATTGTGGGCATCGTGTCCTTGGTAGGATATCTAATTGCGGGCTTCATAATTAACAAGATTGGCAATCGAAATCTGATGAGTAAGCAATCATCTTAAATCTAGCTGAATTTCCCTGTTATCTTCTGTCAATTTCTCAGTATTTGGCCTCGTTGTGTCCGGACTCTCGGCCTATTCTATGTACTTTGGCATAAATCTGGAGAGCATTGTCGCAGCGGCGAGCATTTGTGTGGGCATTGGAAGCATCTGCAGCACGGCAATGATGGGCCAAATAGCCATTCTCTTTCCCACTTCGCTGAGGTACGTGAAAATTGCAATATCTCTGAGCTTTATTATGTATTCAGTATCACTTTCAACAACTAATTAATCCCTCTTCTGCAGAACAATGACCATCTCTTTATCACTCATGTTTGGACGAATTGGGGCCATGATTGGAAACCTCGTTTTCCCATACTTACTGATGCTCGGCTGCCTTCCGCCATTTATCACAATTGGATCTCTTTTGACGGGTAATTTATCACGATATTGCGACATGATGTCGCATGCACGCAACATTACCAACAATACAATGTTTACGACAATTCCTTCTTTCCCACAGTTGCCGGTTTGGCGGGCCTTTTGCTGCCACGGAAATCCAAAGCACCCTTGCAATAAAGACAGATTGATTGTACCTTATTTAATAATTTAATACACTGAATATATATATTGACGCCTGTGTGTGTGTATTTTAATAATAAACTTAATCCCCGCAGGACACAAAGTATTACCGGTAATTCCGTCAATTCAAACTCAATTACAGTCTCAATAAATCAATTCACTGGTGTTTCACGCAAAGCTTGTACAGTGTTTGAGTTAATCACAGTGGTTCGTTATCAGGACAAACAAAAAAACCTCAGTTAAATGAAAATTTTACAGCGGATCGTAAAGTATTTTTGCGCTCTGTCCATGAAATTAATTGAGTGACTATTTGTTTTAATTACCACAAGGGAGTTTCTTCGGCATCACGTAAGTAATTCCTCCACAGACGTTGAATTGAATTATTGTCACGTTGTTGTGATTCTCCTTCGGGAACAGATTAATCGGCATGTGATGGAGGTGAATGATAAATTGGCTGTTGCGGCGATTCTCGCCAATGTTCGTCTCAATGGGAATGACAGAAAAACTGTGAGGGAGTGGCTGAAGAGATTAAATCCTCAGAGGGCGGATAAGAGAGGTGTTGTGCAGCTGAAGACTTCCGGACTCAATTGTCTCCTCACAACACTGTTGGATGACAATCAAGTCTGCGAGCCATTCAATCGCCCGCCAATGGACATCGACATGAAGACAGACATTTTCATAGGAAAGGTCAGTTGTGTTAATTTACTCATTCAACTGATAACACACTGATCTATTTGACTAGGCAATCTGACGTGATAACAGGTGATAATTTATCACCATGTCACACTTGATAGGCTGCTGAAGTTCAAAATAGTTGGCAAAATGGGTTAATTATCATGGAATTAGGGTCAATGACGAGATTCCAATTAATGTGTTTTCGCAGAAAATATCCACGCAATTATTCGCAGGACAATCCGAAGGACTCTCGCTAAGTGACATCCAAGACATGGGTCGAAAGTCTCAGCAGTGCCATCACTTCTTAGCTCAGCAGCCAACAGTTGAGCGCGGCTTTCAGGTCACTGGCTCCATGAAAACCGCCCACCATTGAGGGATGTTTACAGAAGAGCAGAAAAAATTAATTGCTGCGGAACGCTATTTATTCTCCTTTATTACATCTGATGGACATTTCATCTCTTCTGCGTGAATGCCTCTGCGCTTCCCATGACAAATATAATTTGGGGCAAGATTTGGGACAATAAAAGAAATCCATCCTGGACAATAAAGTCGTGTTGTTAGACAGAGTTTTTTGATCTCTCATCTACTTTTTACTCTTTTTCTTCTCATGATAAGATTGCGCCCATTATCGTGGCCTCCAAGACACTCGAGAATCGGCTCATTAGAGACACTCTGTGCGTGCAGTGCGAAAGTAATGCTCAAGAACATCAGACTGAAGTTCTCAGGACGACGCGATGGATGATATCAGTGTGAAAAGGGGGCGAAACAGTGAGCAAAAGAAGGTCGAAGGGAGTGATTTTGAGAGCGCAATTTCGGCCACGAAATTCGGTTGGTACAACTATGGTGTGATTGGCATTGGGTGCTTCTGGAACCTGATAACCGTCGTCGAAGTCACAACATTCTCCTTCATTCTGCCCACACTGCAGTGCGATTGGGCGTTGGACACCAACCGCATGGGTCTCCTCAATTCGATAATATTTTTAGGTGCGAAGCACGCATTGAGACTCATAAATATATTAATCAAGCACACTTCTCGCAGGCATGATTTGTGGCTCCGTTCTCTGGGGCTTCCTGGCGGATATCCTGGGTCGCAGAAACCTCCTCTCGTGCTGTATCCTCGCACTGGGCTTCATCAATATTGCTCTCGGGTTCAGCAATAATTTTGCGATGCTCATGCTTTTCAAATTCTTCAGTGGTTTCATGTGAGTGCTAGAAATCTGATTGCACAATCAAGGGGGAGACAATTCGTACATTCAATTAGTTTTAATTATTTCTCGGTTGTTTGTTGTGTAAATGGAAGCCACGCCTTCTCAAATGCCACGCCCATTTGCATTATTCTTGCACTTACGTCACTCCTTTGTCAGTCTTTAAAATATTCTGTTCAACTTTTCCATCCGTAAGTCATGAATTGAGTAAGAAGAGCTGACAATTTTAGCAATTTTTCAGTCTGAATTTAGACATGTGAACTCCAAACATATTGTAAAATTACTACAAGTTATAAAGTAGCTGAATATTTTGGAACAAACACGGGTTTTGTGAGTAAAAAGCGAGTACTTTCTCACATGTATGCTGTATAAAGTTAACGAGTTGTCTGTCCCCCTTGATTGCAACATAAAGTTTGTCTGCGCATTCAACTAATCTGGCCCTCCTCTGTGCTTATTTCAGCAATTCAGGACCGATGTCAATTATAATCTCGTACATGAGTGAAATGCACGGAGTTCGCTATAGAGTGAGAATTTTAGTCTTTATCGCCATCTTTTATGGTGGCGGTAACTTTGCGACGTCCCTTCTGGGACTGATTTTCCTCAGTCGCCCGCTGGAAGTGCACTTTCGCGGAGTGACTCTCCACTCTTGGCAACTGCTTCTGCTGACGGTTGCCGTGCTGGATTTCGTGGGTGGCACATTGGCTTGTCTGCTGCCGGAGAGTCCCAAGTTTCTCATGTCTCGCGGGAGATGCGAAGAAGCCCTGCGGGTCCTCCAGACAATATACAGAAGAAATACGGGTAAACATGCAGACACATATCCAGTGAGTGACTCTGGCGTGTCGATGCAGAAGAATGGGCTCATGTATTATAAATCGAAATTGCAGATCAGGTCGCTGGCTGATGAGGGTGGACGTGAGGGGCTGAAGACAGTGTCGGGGAGCGTGGAGGGGTCCAGGGCGGCGCTCGGATCAAATTTTGATAAATGCGATGACTTATCAGGCAAAGTCAGGAGAGCTTTTACCCAAATTGCACCCATGCTGAAGCCACCCTACGTCACAAAGTGCCTCCTCGCCTTCGGCATCGAATTGTTTCTGCTGCTGGGGTAGGAATCATGATTTATTAACTGCATCTCCGCCCCCATTGTGCCCCTCTTTTCACACTTTGCAGGATGAACTCAATGAGACTGTGGATGCCGCAAGTGTTTGCATTCATGGGCGATGGCGAAAGTGACTCTGACTTTGATATTTGCACCAAAATTCAATCAAATGATGTGCGCAGAGGAAATGCTACGGATTCCGATGAATGTTCAGCCGTGAGTAATGCAGATTTAATGGATATTTTTTCTTCAATATAGCTTCAAGACTATGCTTTCTATTCCAGTCACGAGTTCTGTCCGAAGGCATTTTCTTCAACGCCATGATTGTGCAGTCAGTCGGCATTGTGGGAACTATTCTGATTTGCATATTCATCAAAACTATCCACAATAAACTCATGCTAGGTAAGTTTCATTAAAATTGCATACCAATTCACCATCCATTACATCATGAAAAGCAAACCATGGAATGGATAAATATTCATTACAATTTGTAATATTCGGAGCTTTTCACTTGTTTTTCACATTCATTCCCCGTACTTTACTAAATGAATAAATATTTTTCTTCTCACTATGCATAATTCAAAATCCTCCAATGTTCAGCATATATCACGAATTACTCTGGAAAGCAAGTTTGGGAAAAAGTTGAATTAGAATCAAAGTGGAATGCAAGAGATACGCGCGCCACTCGTGATTCAAAAGAAGATTAATATTGGGCAAAGTGACATGGAAAGTTTCTCTGTAATAGCATCATTTTCCACATATTTGGAATAACTTGGGTTGTCTCCTTGGCGCTCTCTCGGGGACTGAAATCACTTCGTCGAGTGCAGAAAAAAGTGTGTTAGGGGTATTCGTATCATAAATAAAGGGAACTCCTTTCCCCAAAAGCGTCACCCACCCTGTATATAGTCAATGTGTATTTGAAAAGTTTTCTCTCTCGCATGTTACGTACTTCTTTTTTTCCTTCTCCTTCACGTTACGTATTAAATATGTATAAAAAAAAGAGAGAGGAGAAGAAGAAGAGTATCACAAGCTCACAATGTTTTCTCAATGTACTTTGAAATGATAATGTATCTAATGTGCGAGAAAAAAAACAGTTATTTCATGCTTATCACACATGAGAAAAAAAAGTGTAGAAAAATTGCTTCGACATTATTCAGAATACACAATTTTCCTGTTAAAATAACACAATTTGTGGCGCCTCTTAGCTATCTTCTTCGCGTCAGTGGATTGAGAAACTTCACCAAATACTTTTTGCCGCTCTGCCGTTTGAAAATTTAATTCTCCATGTGATAAATCGGCAAATAGATTTTCCGGTGGTCTTTTCGAAGTGATATAATTGGATGTCATTCTTTGATTTCACTCCTCGCTCTCTCTGGCCTTTTCTTCCAGTCTGTTCAACACTTATCGGTGCCATCGCCTCAATTGCCATCTACTTCTCGGTCAGCCCACTCATGGTGGTCATAATGTACAGCCTGACCGTGGGCCTGAGTCTCTCCTCCCAGGCGGCATTCAGCAGCATCCTGTCCAACATCGTGCCAACCGCCTTCCGCTCCACTGTCATCTCAATTTCACTCTCGTGCGGACGCCTCGGATCGATGCTGGGAACTTATCTCTTCCCCCAGCTCATGGCCCAGGGATGCTGGCCGCCGTTTGTTGCAATTGGAGTGGTGTTTTTCGGTGAGTCTTCACAGCCGTCACGGACAAATAAGTCCGCAATGCTTTAGTGGTTGTCACTGAATTCCTCTTCGCTTCCTCAGCTTGTGCCATGCTGTGCATGTGTCTGCCAAGATCCACCCGGAAAACCCTCTTGTAGTTGACACAGAGCGGTTGAAGTGGTGGGAAAAGCCACCTTATCGCCTCAAGGCAGTTAAAGATTTACATAGAATTTCAAGTGGAACGAATTAAATTTAATATTTTCAGCATTTTTAGATAGTTTTTGAGCTGGAACTCATTCGATTCAATGGTTAGTCGCTGCTCAATTGTCGCTCTAGTCGGTTCGTGAGGTGGGAAAATGTGTGCTAAGAATTATTGTAAACGAGCAATTCTCACTATCGAATTTTATTACACACTATTTACAAATGTAATTATCACAACTTCACATGCAACATAATTTAGTATTCACTGTGAAAAACCACTACAGCATAATCATCAGTGTTTTTCCGGTGTGATTTATGTGCGTAATTGCTGTTGAAGTATATTAAAAAATGTCTTTTGTATACAGATTTATCTCTAAATCAGTGTATTTTCGCGGTTGCGGAATGGAAGCCAAAGTGGTGCCTTTCGCAAAGAAATTCATACACTGAACTTGAGCTTTTTACTCCATCTGTATTTGTCTCATCGTCGTGAATTGTATTTGCCCGCAATAAAAAGGTGTGATAAGAGTATTCAAGAAGATAGCCACTCTGAATAAATGTACTTCACTTTGAGCATTCACGCCTCAATCGCCCACTGACTGTCTGGACGGTGAATTGTGGGTGAAAGTTTGGGTGAAAGTGCAGGATAACACTCAGTGATCTGTGATGACGTCAAAAGGAGCTTCAGAAGCTGCCTCGGAGGCACAGAATGGTAATCACCGAAGCGTTTGAGGATGAATTTACCACTTTCATGTACAAAGCTTCCTATCAGATGAGGGCAAGGACTTTGAGGAAGCAATCTCAGCCACAGGCTTTGGCCTCTTCAATTTCCTCCTCCTGGGAATTAGCATGATTTGGTTCACTGCGTCTCTGGCCGAGACGACATCGCCCGGACTCATTCTATCCGTGGCGCAGTGCGATCTGGAGTTGGATCTGGATCGCAAGGGATGGATCACTTCCATCACCTTCTTCGGCATGATTTTCGGCGCCAATCTGTGGGGAATCGTGGGCGATATCTACGGCCGGAGGTTGATCATCAGCGTGGCGCTCATCCTGATGGGCGTCTTCAATGTTCTGTACGGCTTCAGCACGTCGTACTACATGCTGGTCACCCTCAAGTTCTTCGGTGGATTCGTGTGAGTTGTTAAGAATTCTCTCTCAACTCAAGTGGCCAATCATAAACACAGTCTTTATTGTCTGTCGATAGCGCAAGTGGACCAGTGGCAGCGTATATCGCTTACATTTCTGAATTCCATGGAGTTAAATATCGCGCACGTGTCGTCATTTTCCAGAGCGGCTTCATAAGTGTTGGTGGCATGGTTGCGACTATCTTGGGATTGTTGATTCTCCCGCTGCCCATCAGTTTCTCTATTGGGTCAACCGAGTATCACTCGTGGCGTGTATTCTTCTGGTCATGCAGTCTTCTGGGTAAATAGAGACTTTTTGTACACATTGATAAGTACATTTGAGACGTGGATTATTCAATACGCTTTCTTTTCTTGTATTTTCATACACAAAATGCTGTAATGCAAATCCTTGATTTATCGTCTCGGTCTTTTGAATCCTTTGAACTCAAAGAAAATGTCTTGAGTTTTGAAATATAATCGGATAGAATGATTTGTTTGAATTTCTTGATGTCTTTTCAGGACTCACCGGTGGTTTCCTCTCACTCTTCCTCCCCGAGAGTCCAAAGTTCCTGATGGCACTTGGCAAGAAAGACGAAGCACTCAAAGTCTTCCAACTCGTTTATCGATTAAACACGGGAAAGAGCTCAGATTCATACCCAGTGAGAGAAAAAATGTCATCAATAGCAACTTTTCCCAGCTTAACGATGCTTTCTCTCTTTGCCAGATTAAAAGCCTGAAGGACGACGTTGTGGATGCAAGAGTGAATTCTGCGGAAAGTGGAGGAAAAAATGCAAAATCCACAATTATTCGGAAAACTTTCTCACAATTTCTGCCACTCTTCAAGCCTCCGCATCTGTGGAAATGTCTGCTCGCGGGAGCAATTGAATTCTTCGTGCTGCTCGGGTAGGTTTCACCAGCTAAAACTCTATCCCATAAGCCACTTAGCGATTCCTCTGCACTCCTCTCCCATCCAGAGTCAATACCATGAGATCCTGGATGCCACAGGTATTCGCCCTCCTCTCCAACACCCACTCAGACGAAGGCCTGTGCGAGAGCATCCAACCAAAGTCTGCCCTGACCACCTTCAATAACGCCACGGATGACTTGGCATGCGAAGTGGTGAGTTTCAAGGGGGAGAGAGTGTGTCTGAAATCAGTACACCACTTCAAATGCTTAATGAAATGGAACTCTGAACGGTTTCATCAATTATTTCTAACTTATAGCATTCTAATAAGTGATTTTGCCTGAAGAAGAGGGTTTAGTTTTCTCATATGTATCTCAAAATCTTCTTGACAATCTGTTAGAAAAGCACTGTATACTATTTAAGGCCAACTTTCATTGGTGAATTGTGCTTTAAGAGGATCAGCAGAAAGTTTGAAAGCTACGTTTTAATTCATATCAGAGCCGAAGCGTTAAATACTAACTCAACTAACTCACACTCGGCAGAAATGTGGCCGTGAAATTCAAAGCCCATAAATTTTATGATGACATCAAATGGGAGTCGTTAAGTAAATTGATACAAATTAACCCACAATTGCACTGTTTGATGGCACAAAAGCCGGAAAATAGAGGTGTTATTGTGCACACAAGAGCTCAATCCGACGATCAATCTCACAAAAGCTCTCTGCGGCCGGGCTTTAATGGATTCGGTCACCCTTTTGCCCGGTGATTGGCTCACGTGCAAAGGATGTAACTCTAATTCCAGCTCAGCGATAAGAGCATCTACGTGAACTCGATAATAGTGCAAGCTGTCGGCATGATTGCTGTTATCCTGGTGGTGCTCCTCGTTACAATTGTGGGCAATAAAACTATCTTATGTGAGTATTTTCCTAATTGAGCACTTTTAAAACCATTCAGACACGCTTCATCCTTCTCTCCGGGCAGTTGTAACAACCCTCGTGGCGGCTGCGTCGAGTCTGGCCATCTACTTCGCCCAGAACTCCATGACCATCGTCATCATGTACAGCTTGGCCGTGGGAATTGGCCTCTCTGGGCAGGCTTCATTCAACAGCATCGTCTCCAATCTCGTCCCCACGGCCTTCCGCTTCACCGTGATCAGCGTCTCCGTGACGCTGGGACGCCTCGGCTCGATGCTGGGGAATCTCATCTTTCCAAATCTCCTGAAGCTCGGCTGCTGGCAGCCTTTCGCCGCAATGTCTCTTGCCTACGCCAGTGAGTGTGCTTTCAAAATTTTTTCAGCTTTTCCCGCTCTTCCTCAAACCTGTATTTCCTTGCAGTTTCTGCCGCCTTGTGCTTGCTTCTGCCGAAAACAACAAAACAGCCTCTGCAATAATAAAAAACTGTGCTTTAAATTGATGGTTTTTCTCAGTGCCGTGAAACATTCTTTGGCCACGACTGGTGTGAAGACTGGCTAAAAAGCTCTGCGAAACATGCTGCAGCGCAGTTTATGAAACATCCTTGAAACATGGACGCTTTTCTGACCAAAGAAACGGTAAATAATTTATTCATTTATTTATTAGATGCCTTTAAAGCATCATATAATCATTACAAAAATTATAGATTTGGGTGCAATCCCATATTTGAGTTCCTATCAGTCTTAATGCAAATTGATAAGAAAATGTCTCCTTGTTAACGGATGAGTTTCGGGCTGTCCTGAGAGAGAACTTTCAAGCTTACAAAGCTCAGTCATCGTCCAGGCTCAGCAGCGAGTTGCGCGCGGGATCCGCGCTCTTCTTCGCCATCGAGGCGCCGTTCTTGAGGCAACTGGCGGGCGCTGTGGTGTACACAGTGGCTTGTGTGATGTAGTACGGGCGAGACTCAATCTTGTGCGTCTCCTGGCTGGATTCCAGGACTTTGTGGTACCACTCGAGTGGGTTGAAGGGCGGTCCTTCGCCACCCAGTTCCGTGGGCAGCACATCTCTGGCGATGCTCTCGTGCAGCGTGGACAAGTTGCTGTGGAGTTTAATTCGCGAGCGAGTCTTCTCCTTTAGGAACTGCCTGATCACAGCCATTGCCGCCTCCAAGTACCACGCCTGCCCGATGAAGTGGATGGCTTTGAACTGGACCGGGAAGCAATCCTGCGGAGTGGAAAGGAGTGTTAAGATTGAGCTTTCCTTCGAGCACGACTGCTGAGCTCACCTGAAGACCCTCGATTATGAGCTTGAGTATCTTTGGGTTGAGGTGGGAAGACTTCTGGAGTGTGAGATTGCTCCAGTCGACGATGGCCACGAAGCCGTTGGCCTGATTCTGCTTGTCCTCGAGCAGCTTCTCCAGCGACAGCAGCATGGCGCGGTAGACGGTGAGCAGAGAGTAGAGCGCCGGCTCCCAGTTGGCCGTGAAGAAGACCAGCACCTTCCTGCCGCGGCGATCTCTCTCCGGCAGCACGCCCGGGAAGCCGTCGCGCAGCGCCAGCTGCACGCTCTCGTCGAACACGGACAATCTTTGGAAGAGAGCGTGATTCTTCTGCAGGTAAGTGAAGTAGTTGATGATCAGTCTGAAGGCCTCGTCCACGTCGAACTTCCGCGCGAAGAGGAAGCGCAGCAGGAAGTCGTTGTCATGATAGCAGGACTTGTCCTTGAGCGCATAATCCATGCTGGCGCCGATCAGCTCCTTGATGCGGAACAGCGCCTGGTTCCACTCCGTGGGCTCGTTGCACACGTTGTAGTACTTCTTGTTGCCCATCCGCACATCGCTGATCTTCGAGCGCATGTCCCACTGGAACTCGAAGTATTCAGACATTCTGGCTGCCGATCAGATTGCCGCCAACGCAGTGGAAAAATTCTACAAGTGCGAAACGTGCGGAAAGAGAAGAATTAAATCAGTGTTCGCGGGACTTTGCAGGGAATTATCATTGATAAGATATTGAATAAAGATTAACTCAAACAAGGTGAAAACACTGCTTAACGTGGTTGTTTTTTTAAGTTCAACAAATTTCAATTTGCATGCATTTTCACTGTGAATAATTCACAAAGTTATATTGCAACATTTGCGCGGCACAATTCTGTTCTTGCATTTCCTCTCTCTTGAGTGTAGTTTTCCCCGCGGGGCTTGCGAAATGGCCTGGAAGGAACGCCGCGTGCAAAGGAAACAAACGTCGACAGGTGTTCTTCTGATCAGAAACACCTGTCCCCGAAAGGTCAGCAATTTCGCACAATTTAAATGCAAAATTGGCGCGCATTTCGCAGATGCCGACGTGCATTAGAGTCTCCGGAGTCTTCTAAGGTGATTTTCCGATAACTTCTAAGCGTAGATTTTTGGGTCAACCGCGCTTATCGCGTCTTTATTCCACACTCGTGTCATCAACAGTATTTTTAGCTCAATGGAACTTGACTGAGATCCAATGAAGAGACGCACAGAGTCATAAATAGTGAAGCAAATGCGTGCTTTTATGAAAATTCATTTGAAAGTTGCTCTGATAAGACGAAAATAAATGCATTCCAAGGTTCTTCATTCACCGCACAGGATTTATTGTGGGCAAACAATAACAGTTTGTAAGATTGATCGTAAACGAATTCGATCCGAAATGGCTTCTTGCGGCTTTCTTATGGTGGAAATTCAAGGAAAGATCAGATAATTCTTCAGTCACTTTTCCAATTCATAAAAGTGGGGTTTTTCTTGCTTCACCGACAGACATTAATATCTATTTCACTACTGACCGCAATGAAATCAGAAACCGATTGGAATTTATCAATGTCTTGAGTGTCTCACAAAGATGTCTAGATTAGATACTTAATTAGACACGAAATTGCAAGAAAAGAAGGCATTTTGCGAATTGCTCGGCACGGAATATTGTGAAATAGTGTCAGAGTAATTTTGTGACCTGCAATTAGTCAGTTTAAGTGCCTTCGGGTCACAAAATGTCTTCAGAACATGCGCTGAGTCAGCGTTGAACACGAAAACTCTCTGGTGGTAAAAGGGAAATTTCCGCATTTGTACAAAACACAATTTGTTTACAAACTTTCACTATTATTTCGCATCTCACGATGAAAAGCACTCCAGAACGAATCGATTTAAAGAGATTTAAATCTGCACTTGAGACATAATCTCTCGTCACTTTCTAAATCAAACAACACTTCATCAATTGGCGGTGGATAAGAAAAATCCACTTCTTCGAGTGTTCTCAACTGATAAGCCGACACTTCACGTGAGATTTTATCACGCTTCGCATTCCCAAAATGACCACTGTGAGTTCCTGAGAGTGTCAGAGGGCATCTTCGTGAGTGAGAAATTGTGGGCGTGATCTTCGGAATGATGAAAATTACATATTCTCCGTGTGTCTGGAGATCATTTTCGTGGTCAAGAATTTGATGAGGAAGCAAAAGAAACTCCAATTTCACACAGGGTGTTGAGAAATTTGGAGTTTTATGTTTACATAATTAAAAATACATCAAAATTTTCCTTTTCCAGGAAATAAAATGGAAAATTTCATGTTAATATTGCTGAGAAATTGGCCAAAATTACCTTAAAAAGCCTTATCATTCATTAAATTGTTCAGATTGCTCTGTAAGAATTATTTTGTGAATATTTCAGTTGATTTATCTGGTATTTATTGGAACTTTTGACTAAAATATGGCAAAGTTGATAGAAAAACTGAAAAATTACTTCCCAAAGTCAATTTTTAACAGTCTTTGAGTACAATTTATCTAAACAAGTTCTAAAAAATCAAATTATCTTATTCAAAATGAACTTTCCTTTAAAGTTCTGAATCATTTCGACTGAATTTTGATACGATTTTTTCCATTCGAGTTATTTGAATAAAAAGATTTTCTTCCTTTTGCCCCATAAAATACAAATCTCAAAATTTCTTTAGTAACTTAAGAGTTAAAGAGCTTTTTTTAAAAATACACAAGACGCTTTTATAGTTTTCAATTCACCCTTCGACAATGTAAATGTGCTAAAACTCAATTTAAACTTTGCCTTAACAAAAAAAGTTAACAGAACTTTGAGCACGCAAAAACAGAATTTCCATGTTTGATTTCTCCACGAAGGCGTGCAAGAAAAGTGTCTAGAACGAATTTAAAACAAAACCTGGGCTAACATTGCTCAATTGCACGCGTTATTGCTTGTTTTGCATTTAATCCATTCTGCCTGTGAGTGACTTTGTTGTGTGAATTGAAGAGCTGAAATTGGAAATATGCCTATAAAATCCGATGGAAAAGGCATAAAAATCGGTCAAGAGCAACCCAATAAATTAATGCAACGGCGTTTTTTTTTCTTTCCTACAAAACTCCAACATTGACAATCCATAAGTGGGCAATATTCATCTCAAGAGACAGTCTCAAGAAGCACAATGTGTTTGTTCGGTTTGTTCCTGAAAGCGACTTTTATGGAAGTGTCCAGTTGAGGCTCTCTTGAGAGAGAGGAGAAAAAAGGCCATCGATGATGATTCTCACAGCGGATTAACACGCGGAGTCGCGCGCGAGAAAGGAGAGGAAAAGAACCTGTTTTCAAGACACTTTGAAAGTCTCTTCGGAAGATACATAAAAACGGTTGGAGGGTTTTTTTTTTGTTATCATTCCTCCAGCATACAAACTCTTCCAACCGCCGAATGGGATGGGAAATCGGTGAAATGCACGGGAAAAAGAAGGCTTTTACGATGGCAGGATTTCCGTTAGTATGGACAGAACAAAAAGAATTACACATTCGCGCATCTCTCTGGCAAAAGGTGAGTCATTTTGCAGAGAGAATGCAAATGAGGTTCTTTTCGCGATTGACGAGGCAGTAAAAATTATAGATTCGCGCAGTGGTGAAAAAAGTGCACAAGATTTTCAACAATTCATTACCGTTCTAACAGAACACGCACCTTCTTCTCAAATATGCACACCAAATTGCCTTAGATTAAGATCTCTCCTCGTGCTGAACTTCTTGCATTCTCACTTAACACAGCCGCGAACAGCTCATTAGACACACCAAATAGAGAATACTGAGGAGAATGGATGATTTTCACAGTCCGGATGGAGCAAATTGGCGATTCGCACACCTCAATTGATTCCGTGCTTCGCCCACGAAAGAGTCACAAATCTCTTCGATATATATTTCTGCGTGTGACGCAATTGAACTTCACAATCAAATCCGACTTTTGCATTGGGCGGCAGAACTTGCGATGACTGCGAATGGCGCCATTCCGTCGTCACGCGCGCAGAGCCAGCAAAGCAGTCACTTCTCCGCGAAACTGTTGGAGGCAAACTGACGCGAAGTGTTCAACTGAAGCTCTTCGGCAGCATCGAGACTTCACGCTTCAGCGCCGAGGGGCCAATCGCAGGTCAGACTCTGACCCAGTGTGTTGAGGCTTCACATGGTAAAAAATACCTTTTTCCATTTCACACATTTTATAACTATTTTACTCGTGAAAATCTCGCGAAAATTCTTCACTACTCTGAATTTATATGCTAAATATTAGATGTTTTGTAAGTCTTTCTATAGTTTATTTAAAATCAAGGGGGAGATAATACAATCAGAAGTGATGTATAGCTCAACAGAAGTACTTAAGAAGTGGAAAAATTAAAAAGCTTACAATTCTCCTTTCCTCGGTGCTTTTTTTTCACTGACAAATTATCCAAATTTTTTGAATTTCTTTCGATTTTCACGCAGAATCAATTATAAAAATATTTTTCTAGGTTATACAACAAATCAAGGAAAGATTTTATGAATAATTCGGATTCTAGCACATCAATTCTCATGTTCAACTCGGAAAGATTGTCAGTTTGATGCCAAGAAACACTGGAAATTGTGTAGAATTCGAGCATAACCTCAAAAATAGTCATTTGGACATGGAAAATGTTCATTTAAAAAGCTTTTTGGACCATTTTGTCTCTGAATTAGCAATTTTGAGTTCATTTTGTGATCTAGAAAGCTTCAAAAAGGAGTTTTTGCAGATCTTTGAGTGATATTTTTGAGGTTATGATCGGAAAAGATGTCCAAAAAAGCATTTTGAAATGCACTTTTGAAGGGAAATCGGATGGAAACCTAAGAAATTCATTGTAATTTGGGAATCACTGTGGAAACAGAAGTGTCAGAAAGTGGCGTACAGTTTCAAGGGATATTATCTCCCCCTTGTTTAAAATCAAGATCATGATATTTAATACAATTTGAGAATGAATTGTATCCTTTGCGCCCTTTTTGGAGCGCCGTGATCACTCTGACGGACTTCATTGCTGGCCATTCTTATTGTCCAGGACTTGGAAGATGATCTCTGCAGTGGCGTTTGGTCAGGAATTGACCATGTTCAGAAATTCTCTGCACTGTTTTTTTTTTTCTATAAGTTCTCTCTTTTTATTTATATCCAATTTCTTTTTCTTTTGTAAACATATATTTACAGAAAATAATAGTTTATAAGTTCAATATCTCAATTAAATGAATTTATACATTTTTTTCATTCAATTTTTTTTTATAGCGATTTGATATTTCCTCGAGAAAGACAATAACAGTAGTAACAAAACAAATCGATCCTGTTGAAAGCATTTTTCTCTCCTTTTCTCCTCGTTCGCCTTCTCGATATTCCCACAGAAGATTTTCTTTTTTACATTAGTCATTGAAATGAATAATTAAGCAATCATGACTAGGAATGAAGGGATTTGCCGAAGATTGTCTTTCTCCACCCTTTCTCGCGCCTTAAAATCTCTGTTACATTGCTATTGTAGTGATTAACAAAAATATGCCTTTTTCTTCTTTTCCATATAATATTGAAATACGTTAACATGAGATTAACAATATAGTCATAATAAAAAAGAACCTTGATGTTTAACTTATGATATAATTTACTTGTTTGCATGTGTGTTTGTGTGAAATGCTATCTATTGCGAATTTAGGAAGAGAAAGAACAAAGAGGTCAAATAAATAGCATTCAGCCACAGAGTGTCCGCCTGGATGGAGACACAAGGGAAAGACAGAAATGCCGATAAGCACTGCACAATGAGGCAAAGAGCATGACGATATTGTAGGGCTGCTGCGCGCGCGCATCTCAGGAATCTCCCCAGAGCGCCACAGTTAAGCCCAAATCGAAGCGAGGTCCCAGATTTTTATGACGCGATCCTGACCAATGCTCAGCAGTCTTTTGCGCCTTTCGTCCAAATCCATCGCCACAATGCTGTGCTTCGCATCGTGAAACATCGCCAGCGACGGTCGCCTAAGGATTGCCAAAGGAAGAAAGCAAATTAGTAAAGGAACGTGTCAAAAGATGAATTAAATTCACATTTTCCCTCCGGAAGCAAGATTTAAGGGCACTAAAATCTCACCAGGAAAAGACCTTTCGATCATTGGAATTCAGTCAATCAAGGCATTATTAACTTTTTCAATGCTTTGTATTGCATAAAAACTGTTTCAATTGTCCAATTTGTCTTTTAAGAAACAGTTTTAGGTCTTCAAACAACTAATGGAGCAATTCTCAGTCACAAAAATTCTTCCATTTGTGTTATTTGCTATTCTGGCCTACATTTCTTGAACCATTTTGTATCGCCTGAGTGTATATCAATCAGAGAAACAGATCAGAAAAACACCCTTCAGCCTTTTCTTAGCATTTTCTGTGAACTTACTCAATTGGCTGCAGAAGTTTGAAGCATGGATCACACACTCGCACGTCAAACTCAAATCCCATTATCGGTATGTTGATACGATTTGTCGAGCATTTATCACAAATAGCTTTGCCACAGTGACGACAGTGATGCTGTCTTATGCCTGCAAGGAAGACACAGAGCGGAATTAGAACATTCTCAGCGGTGCTAAATCGATTGGGGCATATTTTCGCCGCCACAGAAGTCTGCCATGCACAAAAGAGTCGCGATATCGCCACGTAAATATATCGTCTTGCGATAAGGCGACAAATTCCGTGTGACTCACCAATTTGTCGCTGATCCATCATGGCCTTCAGGTTCCAGAAGAACGGCCGGCTGCAGAGTTGGCAAATGTCCGATTCCACCCACTCGGGCACCTCCTTGCGCATCGCGTTCATCTCCCAGAACACGATGACTGAGTCCTCGCCGGCGGAGATGAGCTGCTGCGCGCCGTTGGCGTACGCCAGCGCCGACACCTTGTTGCTGTGGCCCTGCAGCTCGTAGATGGTGCCGCGGCGGCCGCCCACGTCCCACACGATCACGGACTGGTCGAAGGAGCCGCTGAACAGCAGCTGCGGCCCCGCCACCCAGCTTAAGGCACGGATCGAGCCGGTGTGTCCCTTGAAGGTGGTCACGAACGTGGCGCCCGCCGGCTCCAGGCGCAGCATCGTGATCTGGCCGGCGTAATCGCCCACGAAGGCGTACTTGGCCTGCGCGTCGTACTGCAGCGCCGTGCACATGGCCTCGAACGTGTAGCCGCCCAGGCGGTTGCCCGTGCTGGTGCAGTGGTAGGAGAAGATCTTGTCGCGTCCGGCGCTCAGGATCCAGCCACTGTGCTTCGCGAACACCACCGCCACCACGCGCGCCTGGTGCGCCAGGAAGTCGCGGATGAGCTGCAGGCTGTTGCAGTCCTCGGCCAGCAGGTACTGCGACACGGTGCCGTTCTCCTGGCCCACGAACAGGTGCCTCGTCTCGGGAATGTAGTCCAGGGAGGAGCAGCCGGACGGCATGTACTGGCAGATGCTGGGCCAGTACTGCCCCGAGCCGCGCTTCAGCCACACGCGGATCGTCTTGTCGTCCGACACGCTGATCACGCCGTCCTCGCCCGGAATCAGGCAGGCGGCGTTCACGTCGTCGCCGCAGCCCTCGAGCTTGCTCAGCAACTCGGGCTTCTTCGACGTGCTGAAGCGCTGGTCGTTGCCCGTGCGCGGGGCTGGTTTTATCTCTGCCGCCATGTCAATCACACTCTGCACAGCACGCACCACTTAGCCTTTTTCACCTGCTCCACAGCTCACCAGGAAGAGGAGATTATCCGCAGAAACGCAAAACTTCCCTTGACAGATTGCCCTTTTTTCCACGAATGGCGACGTCACTGGGTTGCCAGATCGCACGGCGAATTGGGGTTGTCGCTGTCGCGGCGAATTTCACACTTTGTTTACAAATACGACTGACAGAGACGTTTTTGGGGAGTTTTTCTCCAGCCCATTTTCACCGTTTCTCCACAATGAATCTCCTCTTTCTGGCTGTGATAGCATTCCTCCCATCCCCAGTGACTTTACTAGACCTCGACTACGGGAAGTGTGTGATTTGGGGTCCGGGTTTGGGTGAAAGTTCCCTGCCTGTGAAATATTTCTTCGTGCAGCTGGTCAACAAAGCCGGTGAAAAGTGCGTTGCTGTGTGGCTTTTTCCCATTTTCACTCACAATTCCACTGATATATCTCACTCTTCACCAGCATTACAGACTCACACAATGTCAGTCTAGATGTTCAGCTGAAGGGAGAGAATTGTCGCAATCAGCTTGAGCAGCTAAATGCCGGCGATGGAAGCATTATTGTGCGATACAGAATCCAGAAGGAGTGCAGATCAGCTTCTATTCACATCAAATATCATGACCATCATCTGGGAGAATCACCCTACAATCTGCCCGGAGCGATCTTCCCAGACGCCTGCTCCTGTCCGCTCGACATGGACGAATTCCTGAGTGTCTGGCAGTGTCCCAAAGATCATCCGCAGATTGAGGAAGATCTCTTCAAATTCGCTGGAATTAATTTCACTCACGTCCAGCGGAAGATGCTGGATCACTTCGCGCAGGCCAATCCGGGCACTCTGGCCATGTGTCAGTACGTGATAAAGTCCGGCAAAGTCTTCCGTCGATGCTTTGGCATCGCGGGATTCAGCATGTTCATGGACGCCATTCTCCTGTCCGTGCTGCGCAAGGTTAAGCTGCCAGACATGGAGATGTTCGTGAACTTGGGCGACTGGCCGATGAGCAGGAAGGGCGGCAGGAGTCGCACAACTGGTCCCTGGCCGATATTCTCCTGGTGCGGCAGCTCAGACTCTCACGACATCGTCATGCCGACGTACGACATCACCGAGTCCACGCTGGAGGCAATGCGGAGAGTCTCCCTGGACATCCTGTCCGTGCAGAAGGCAGAGAAGCCGTGGAGCGAGAAGATGCCCAGAGGATTCTTTCGCGGCAGAGACGCCAGTCGAGAGCGTCTCCTGCTCACGGATCTCTCCCGGCAGCATCCCGATCTCCTGGACTCTGCCATCACGAACTACTTCTTCTTCCGCGACGCGGAGGAGAAGTACGGGAAGAGCCAGCGCGTGCCGTTCTTCCGCTTCTTCCACCACAAGTACCAAGTCAGCATGGACGGAACTGTGGCCGCCTATCGGCTGCCCTACCTTCTGGCCGGCGACAGTGTGGTGCTGAAGCAGGAGTCGCCCTTCTACGAGCACTTCTACGGCAGCCTGAAGCCGATGGTGCACTACATTCCCTTCCGACGCGACCTGTCGGATCTCATCAGCAAACTCCAGTGGGCGAAAGCTCACGACGCCGAAGCACGCAAGATTGCCCAGAACGCTCGCGCCTTTGTCCGCGAGAATCTCCTGCCTGCCCACATTTTCTGCTACCACGTGCTCCTCTTCCGGCGCTGGAGTGAGCTCACGACTGCCCACGTCGTCTCAGTGACGCCCGAGATGGAGAGCGTCCATCAAGAGTCGCCAGAATGCTCATGCGACAGGAAATCCCCTCGAGATGAACTGTAAATGCAGAAATTTATTCCTTACTGTGACATATAAAACAATTCCTCTTCACTCTGACGCCTCCTTTGACTCCTCCTCCTGGCCATAGATGTGAAAGAGCTTCGCCACTTCGTTCCAATCGCTCGTGTCCACATCCTCATTGATCACTTTCCTGGCGATGTTGATGCGATTGAAGAGATTCCACAGAAGAACGCCCACAATGCGCTTCTCCTTCACGTAGAAGATCACGCCTCTCTTGTAATCCTCACCGGGATCACTTTGCGCGTTCTCAACCACCTTCGTGGCACTCTCCTGATCGCTCCGCGCGAACACGCCCACAGTCTCCAGGCCAGAGTCCACCAATCCGATCGCCTCGTAGCCCAAATTGGCGCCCAAATCCGACCAGAACATGCTCTGATGCGTGTAAGGCTTCTTCAGGCCCACCATGTTCTCGCCAGCCAGTCGTCCGCTAACCACCGCGTGATCGTGATGCTCCACGCGGCGGCGCCCCAGCCGCTGATCGTAGAAATTCGCCACATCGCCAGCCTGAGAAGTCAAGAGAAAGAAGATTAGTTCTTGTCCTCCCGGAAAGGCGTGTTTGGGAGGCAATAAAGTGGTCTTACTCACCACATAAACATTACTCCTGGCCTGCAGCTCGGAATTCACGATGTATCCTCCCATTTCCGGGTGCAACTCCAGCTTTGACTTGTCCGCCAGCTTCGTGTTGGGCTCCGATCCCGCCGCCACGATCACATGATCCACGAGCACGACTTTCCCATCGATCAGATTCAGCTTCACCTGCTTGCCACTCATCTCAGCGCTCACGACTTGATTCCCGCTGAACACCGTGACGCCCTCCTCGCGGACGCGCTCCGTCGTCCACTTGCTGAGATACTCAGGCAGAACTCTGCCCATGTTGCCGCGCTCGTGGAAGATCTGGAAGATCTGCGGGCTCTTGGCGCCGTTGTACTTGGCCAGAGAGCACGCCAATTCGCTGCCGAGGAAGCCGCCGCCGACAATTGCGATGGACTTGGCCTTGTCCAGCACCTTCAGCAGATGCTGGTAGTCCGCGATGGTCTTGAAGGTCGACACCCTGGCCTGCACGGCCAGCGGAGCGCTGGAGAAGACGCCCAGGCTCTTGGGAATCGAGCCGGGCGCCAGGAGAACCTTGCCGTACTTGATCTCAGTGCCGTCGCTCAGAACGGCCGTGCTCTGCACCACATCCAGTCTGTCGACTGTGTAGCCGCGCACCACGGCCACGCCGCCGTTGGCGGTGTCCGGCAAGTCCTTGGGATTGAGATAGAACTCATCGGGCTCGTAGAAGACGCTGCGCTCCACGCCGTTCCACTGCTTGAAGGAGAGCTTGCCGGTCGCGTCGCTGTTCTGCCAGATCTCCTTGGACAGAGGCGGTCTCATGTAGGGCATCTCGAGCTCATCCGTGATCAGCATGATCTTCGCCTTGGGCTCGTGAGATTTTATGGCACGAAAAGCGGCGAAAGCGGCAGTTCCGCCGCCAATCAGGAGATACGGCACCTCCTTGGGGATCTCACCCGCCGTGGCTGGCACTCGCCGCCGTTTCTTCGCCTCCTCATCCTCGGACTGCTTGTCCGGGACCTTGGAGTCGAAGACGCTGTAGTTCTGCAGAACAGCAGCTCCGCCGGCCAGCAGAATGACGGCAAGGAGCAGCCAATAGAGACGATTGCTGCTGTCCTGAGACTCCGGGGGCGGCTTCTCGCCGCCCGATGACACCTGTTGCTGTGCTTCCTGAGTGGGTTTCTCCTGAGACTCCTTGCAATCCTGCGCGGAGAGTGAAATCGATCTTTTCTCCGCATACAGAGTCTTCGTTCCCTCAAATAAAGGTTTCTGCAAAGGAAAACCACACACACAGTTATCCTTAGCACGGACACAGAAGGACATTTAGTAAGCGATGAGCTGTGAAATGAGTGAACCTTCTCCACATGAGCGCTTTCCGGAGGACAAGGTGTTTTGGGAACATCTTGACATTTTGTTAGAGGGAATATGAATTTGCCCGAAACCTTGTTAATCTGCTTCTCTTGACCCTTCTTGACTTTTACCGTATCATTTCGCACGTGCTTCGAGAAAAACCGCCTGGAAATTTGTGTTCCTGCGGAGAGAAAGGCAATGCAATTACATAATTTATTGGCACATTGAATTCATCCGCCATGGAAAGAAGTCCTCTTCTCCAGCCAAATACTCACTGGTGAGTGTAGTCACCGCTGGGAGACTCCTCCATGGCAGGGAGTAACACGTTCTTACGCCGAATTTCACTAAATTGGGCATTTTATCCTCTGTTTTCGGCTATTTTGCTAAACAAATAAAAAGGGGCAAAATAAAACTCAGCGGCTAACCTCAAATCGCGGCGGTGAGAATGTCAGAAAGCACACGAGTGCCAACTGCAGCGCACTCACTGGCATGCTGGCATGACATTCGGCAAGTCGGCCCCGTTTTATGACAACAATACGACCGCTCGCCACCGGGAAGGAATTCCTGGGAATTTCCTAGATTTGCTTGAAAAATGTTGAGTGTCTTGCTAAGGAACGTGATCAGCAGACCTTCGCTGACGCTCAAGTCTGCGCTGAGTGCAAAATACTCGAGATCCTATGGTGAGTTGAAGAGAAAATGCATGATTGAGTTTTCTAACCTCTGCTTTTTCAGGCACCGTGAAGAGATTCTACAGAAACACCAGCATCTCCTCCAGCGATGGCAAGTTCGAGGTGACACTGGACCAGAGGAAGCTGAAAACGCCCAGCGGGAAGGTGTTCCAGGTGGAGAGCGAGCCCCTGGCTATAGCGGTGGCTGCAGAGTGGGATTCGCAGAGGGAGACAATCGACAGGTCGAACATGCATCTCACGTCGCTCTGCAACACCGTCCTGGACAATCCCAACAGGCTGACGAAGCTGGACATGGTGAACTACATTGTGAACTACCTGCCCACGGACACGGTGCTCTTCCAGTCCGGCGAGGAGGACGATTTGGCGGTCACGCAGGCGAAGGAATGGGATCCGGTGATTGCGTGGTTCAACGAGCGATTCGAGGCGGATCTGCTGAAGAGCAGAGACATAAACACGCCCACAGTCTCGGCGCAGACGAGGATGAGCGTGAGCAAGTACTTGATGTCGCACAGCGAGGCTGCTCTGCACGGCATCACTTTCGCCGTGGACAGCCTAAAGTCGGTGCTCCTCGCGTTCGCCGTGATGGACAGATTCCTGACCACAGAGCGAGCCGTGCTGCTGTCGCGCCTCGAGGAGGAGTTCCAGCTGGGCTTCTGGGGCAGAGTTGAGTGGGCGCACGACTCGAGTCAGCAGGAATTGCAAGCCAGAGTGGCTGCAGCTGTGCTCTTCGTCTTCTTCCACTCCTCAGGGAGTCTGGTGAAGCAGAAACTCACAGTGTAGATTAAACTATAATATATTGTCCAGTCATTCTACTTCTGATTCTCCGAAATGCCCAATTTGTCGCGCGTGGCGAGCCAATGATTGACGAACTTCTCGAACTCGCGCTGGCTCTTGCAGATGATCACTAGTGTTGAGGGCACGCAGCCCATTTCCTTGAGCTCCGCCAGGCGCGCTTTGGTGGTGTCCAAGCTGTGGCAGAGGACTCGCGGCACCTGAGCGATGTCGTGAGGTTTGTAGCCGGCCTCGAGGAGCAGGAAGTCCAGAATCTCCTTCACTTTCGTCATCCGCACGCGCAAGACCGCCGGATGCTTGGACGCGATGTACTTGGTGGTCTCGAGATCGTAGCCCAGACGCTCGGATAGATAGTCCAGCGTGGTCTCGTTCGAGCCCAGCAAAGCGCGATTTTCCTGCTGCAGTTGGATCGATTTGTCGAAGATCGCCTTGGGACATCTCACCATCCACGGCATGGGCTTCTCCACGGCCGCCTGCTGAGCGCGCTGCAGGCGGAACTCGATGGACACGGAATTGTAGCGGAAAGCCCACAGATCTTTGAGGATGTTCATCGGCGCGATGTTGTACCTCATCATGATGTCCAGATTCTCAAACAGAGACGGCAAGGAGATGTAGAACATGAACTGGTGCGTCGACAGATACTTGGCCACGATCTTTGGCTCCACTTCGAGACGATCACTAATGTAGTACAGTCGATGTTTCCCAGGGATCTGGGCACTTTCCTGTTCATACTTCTGGACGAGCCGTGACAGTGCCAGAGAAGACATTCGCAGCAGCGGTATGAAGTCGATCAATTCCCTGGGATTCATGGCGTGCAACGAGAGGAACTTTCCCCTCAAGACAGTCTTACTCTGCAGCAGAAGCCAGGGATTCTCCATGATTGTTTGCGCGGGGGCTTTCCGGATCTGCAAATACCGCACGCTGTCCAGAATGCTGTTGTGCTCCATCGTCTTGAGGTACTTCGAGGAGTCTATGAATCTCTTCGCGTCAGTGTGGCTACATCTCATCAGTGCTTTCAGCTTGATCAGCAGTATGTTCTTCCGCCGATAGTCTTCAAACACCTGATTTGCAGTGGGATCCGCAGTATCATCATCCGCAGATGCCAGGTCAGGGCGAAGTGTGGAAAAACCGCATCTCTCCGCTTCGAATCTCCAGTATAACTGCGCGGAAGTGCGCTTGGATGTGTTCCTGAGGGTCCGCAGCAATGCAGGGATCATTGTCACTGGGAATAACAGAGATTTTCAGCTGAAAACTGGGATGTTTACCATTTCGCATCAGGCGCGAAAGGTGAGGTTATGGCAAAACTGCTGAGCTGTCAGTGCGTTCCGGAAAGAGGGCAGAAATTTCTTGATCGCCCCGTAAAAAGGCAATTTTCCAGGATGTTAAAGGAAATTGAGGATTTGGAGTATCAAATACAGATCGGTGATCTGTCAACGGGTGTGAAAATCGACGAATTCTGTGCGAAAATTGCGGAAAAAGAGGTAAAAAACACGGGGAAATATTTTAGTAGTCTTTCACTGATTGTTCTTGGATCTTTTCTAGGATGCCGTGAATGAGAAGTTGAGGGAAATCCTGTCCAGGCAGAGCCAGATAGATGCCAGGATGGAGGGAATTGTGCGTGGCATAAGTGAGATTGGTCTGGTGAAGAGTGACTCGCGGAAACTGTCCGAGGTGATCAACCATACGGGAGTGTTGGCGGAGAATGTGAGTGCCAAAGTGAGGCGTCTGGATGAGGCCAGGAGTCGCGTGTCTGAGTGCCAGCAGCGCGTCCACGATCTCATAGATCTCCAGCTGTGCAGCCAGGGAGTGATGACAGCCATCAAGGAGGAGGATTACGAGAAGGGCGCAGCCCATGTTCATCGGTTCCTGTCGATGGACGAATCCCTGCTGAAGAAGACGGCAGACGACGTATCAGAGTCTGTGTCGTCCGTGAGCAAGGCTGTGGATACGCTCCAGCAGGCGACAATGCAGCTGCGTCATCTCATCACACAGAAATTCGATGAGTCCGTGAAGAAGGACGATCTGGCGTCGGTGGAAAGATTCTTCAAGATCTTCCCTCTCCTGGGCATGCATGATCATGGGATTGAGAAGTTCTCCTCCTACATCTGTCAGAAGCTGAACACGAAGGCGCAGAAGGAGCTGAGGACGTCAATGGACACGGCCAAGGCGGAGAAGAGAACTGTTGTGGCTTTTGCAGACACGCTGACCATTCTGCTGGAGAACATCGCTCGTGTGGTGGAAGTGAATCAGCCCATCATCGAGTCCTACTACGGCACAGGTCGTCTGCACCAGATGGTGAAGATCTTGCAGCAGGAGTGCGACCAGGAGGTGAAGATTTGTCTGCTGGAGTTCAACAAAGGTCGCCAAATTCAGCGAAGAGTGAATCAGATCAACGAGTACATCAAGAGCAGCGGAGTCTCCGCCGCTGGACACTATCGCAAGCCGTCCGGTGGATCAGTGGACAAGCTGAATCCCAAGGATATTGACTCCCTGATAGGAGAGATCACGATTATGCACTCCAGAGCGGAACTCTATGTGAGATTCATGAAGCGGCGCGTGCTGAAGGATTTGGAGAGCAGCTCGCTGGACGAGGAGAAGAGGAAATCCGCGTGGGAGAGTGTTGAGACATGCCTGAAGAACTCCGATCTCAATCGACAGATGCAGGAGATTCTCGGGATTTATCTGCTCTTCGAGCGCTTCTTCATGGAGGAAAGTGTCCTGAAGGCGATCGCCCTGGATGTCCACGAGTCTGGGCAGCAGTGCTCCAGCATGATCGATGATGTCTTCTTCATTGTGCGCAAGTGCATCCGCAGGGCCAACACGACACAGTCTCTGGACGGGATTTGCGCTGTGATCAACAATGCTGCCACAAATCTGGAGAATGACTTCGTTTCTGCCCTCAAGACGCCTCTCAAGGCTGGCTATCCGTCGGGATATATCGATCTGGCGCAGGCCTACAATGTGCTGCAGAGCTCCATTCAGCAGGGGAAGATTCAGACGTCAGACACGGAACAGGCGAGAAGCAACTTCCTGGTGAAGCTCAACGACGCCGATGTGGCGACTGAGTACATCGAGACGCTGTGGACGATGATGACGGAGGAGATCAAGATCGCCTTTCCCAGTCTCTCGGCGCGCGAGAATGAGAAGCTGGAGAGCTGCACGAGTGGCCTGAAGTCTGTGGGTGACACGCTGAAGGCCGTGATTGACTTTGGGATGCAGCAATTGCGCTCCAGCGCAATGAAGCCTCGACTTCACCAGTGGGTGGATGAATTCCTCAACTTGAGCCACAATCTGACTGAGGAGGAGCTCGCCGCTTACGATGCCGGTGAGACATTCATCCAGTCGCTCATCTCGCAGATCGATTCCCTCCTCAAGTCCTTCGAAACTGTGCTGACGGCGCGCAATTACGGAATTCTCGTGGAGATTCTGGCCACAGATGTCACGGCACGCCTCGAGAGGGTGATCAGGAAGTCGTCATTCAACAGATTGGGCGGCCTAGTGCTGGACCAGGAGGTTCGCACGCTGTCCACCTATCTCACGGGAGCCACTTCGTGGTCCGTGCGTGATAAACTGGCCAGACTCACGCAAATTGCAACGATTCTCAACCTCGATCGCGTTTCCGAGCTCAGTGATTACTACAATCCCAGCGACACGAGCACCACGCCGACTTGGAGACTCACGCCCAATGAGATACGCACGATAATGGCTCTGCGGATGGACTTCCGGGTGGATGACATCAAGAAGTTGAAGATCTAGAGCGGATGTTCCAGGAAGTTAATAAATCGTTATTTTAAAAGTATTGTAGATGGCGCATTGATCATTGGTGTCTCATAACCTCAGAAAGTGAAAGGCATCGACGTGAAATTCTCAAGATCATGGACAATTCCGTGAAATTCTTGTGGCTAGCAGCAATTAAACTGCCCAATTCTTCACCGGGAATGCAGCTACTGAAAGCCCACTATGCGTAAGTGTAGGAATTCACAGTGGTTATCGCGTATTTGGGTCAAAATCAGTGCTTTTTTGCAGGGCAAAGTCAGTGGCTTTGGCTGAAAAGGGATGCGATTTGCCAGAGAACTTCCGCAGTGTCTCAACAATGTGCCCCAAATGCTCGAATCTGTGGTCAAGTGGAGCTTTGCATTTAGCCCTGAAGTCCTCCCGGAAGCGCAGGACTCGCTTCAGGAGATTCGTCATGAAGTACTACAGAAGCAAGAAGAACACGAAGCAGAGAAGACTTGCCCGGAAACTGATGATGCGTGCCTTCAACTCTGTGGTGAGAATTGTCTCGCAGGAACTCTCGATTACAGTGTGATTTTATTGATCTCCTCCAACAGGAATTCACGTGCAGAGTGTGCAAAGGAGTCACCAAAGTGCCTCTCATGAGGCAATCGAGGAAGAAGAGCGCTGCAAAGAAGGAGACGAAGATTGTGCCTGAGAAGACACGTCCGGATGTTCCTCTGGCGAATCCGTCCAAGAACAAGAAGAAAAGGAAGAAGGATCCCTTCGCCGGACTCAACAGGGAGGCAATTGTGGCGGCGCAGAAACCTCAGGCGTCAGTCCAGAAACCGAGTGTTGGGAAATTGGCGGCCATCCTGAAGAAATCAGTCTCCATTTCCAGCAATAAGCTCGACACGATGCTCAAGTGACTCTGCAGCATGGCTGGTCATGTGTGGTCAGTTGAGGGGAATATGCGCCTTGACGATCTGCAAGTGAGGAGAGAATGAATTGGGCAAGTCCGGGGAGATATTGAGCCTGAGAGAGAGGAGAAGATATGCGATTTATGTTATTAGTTGGATGGCGATGAGGAACTTACTCTGGGACCGCGTCGAGCTCAGAGAAAAGCAACAGAGAAATTGTAAGGACACACACAGAGAGAGAAAGGGTGGAAAGGATGAGTACAAACCTCTTGGCACATTCCACGGTATATTTCATCCGTGTCCCACGGTCCACGCTCGGGCAGTGGAATGCCACTTCGGCGCAACTCTTGGACACAGTCAGTTAAATCCAAAATGGGCAACGGATCGACATTGGCTTTCGCCACCGCACTCACCAAGTACTCGACATAGTGTGTTCTGGAAAGGGAAAGAGAGAAACACACGAGATTTAGACAAGACAGTCCAGCGAGCTCACCTTGAGCAATTCAACGCGATAGAGACCGTCGAGGACGCCAAAGGGGCGCGGCGGCATTCGCCTATTCTCGCGCCTCACAATATTCTCCAGATCGTCCGCCGTGAGGATGTCCAGCGTCTCGCACTTGTGCGTGCGAATCTTCACGCACAGATACTCAATGTAGTGATGGCTGCAAGGCAGGATCAGAGCGGCGCTGAAAGTGAATCTCTAGAGAGAGAGGACAGCAGAAGCTACTCACCGACACAGTCCGGCGAAGCCCTCCAGGACGTCTCCACTGCACACGGTGTCCACCAGTCCGGTGGGCGTTTCCTTCTGCAGTGGAATTGGACACTTCAGGACCGCCTTGGCGCCTTCCTCCGTCCGGAACTTCAGCGCATCCGCGGGCTCCGTGTCGTACGGGATCTTGTGCATCTGTCGAAAGGTAAGATCTCTTCACTCACTCACAGTCATCTTGATGTGCTTTGTGGGCAAACCTTGAGGAGCTTCTGCAGATCGTGCGGCTCCTTGTCGCGCAGGTAGAACAGACAATTGCGGGGATGGTGGGAATGGAGGCCCAGTTTGGCGCAATACTGCGAGATGGTGCACTTGGCGCCCATCATGAACGGTCGTCCACAACCGTAGCAGAATTCGTACTTGCACTGCGTGCAGGTGAAATGCATGCATCCGCCTCTGGCCAGGGCGTAGCGGAACTTGCACTTTGGGCAGTCGATGCCGTGGAGTTGCAAATGCTTGGTGACGCCTTCGGCTTGGCGATCGGGATCATTGGATTCCTTCCACTCCACAAATTGCTCACAAGAAATGCCCTCGTGCTGCTTCTCCCACTGAACAATGTGACAGATTTAATGAATTATACAGTTGAGGATCTTCTTGCGCATAAATACTCACCGGTTTCCTGCACGTGGCGCACGTGACGGAGCCACAGTCTGGACAGATGAGTCTCTTCTGTCGCGGTCTGGCGAAGAATCCCGATGAACACTGAACGCACCACTTGAAATTGGGATCTTGCATGAGTGTTCTGTCGCGCAGTTTGCGCTGGAACAGTTCGTGAACATCCTCACTCAGGATACTCTTGAGCAGGATGTCGAGGTTGGAGAAATACTCAAGGATGTCATCCTCAGAAGTGTCATTGCCGTGCAATTCGGGCAATTTGCAGAAGGGACAGACGCAATCCATGATAAGACGATCGGTGATCTGCAAGAGAAGAAAATATCCTTTAGAGCCTGCTTTCTCTCTCGCCCGGGGATTTTGATTTCAACCTGGATGGTGAAGTAGTTCCTGGCGCACTCGTGGCAGCAGCGATGAATGCACTTGAGCATGGAGATCATTTGATTCATGGGATATTTGCCAGTGCAGAGTTCACACTCTTGCTGCAGCAGAGAAATCGCGTGCTCCAGATCGCTGCACTCAGATGCTGCCCACAGGGAGACTTCTCTGGTGAATTTCATCTCAATGAGCGACGCAGCCAATTGGCCAGTGGCCAGGTTGTCCACTAATCCCTCGTCTAGAAGTCTTCTGGCCTTTTCCTGTCAAATTCAATCTCGATTAGAATGTCTACAAAACAACATGTCTTAAACATTCATCTTCACCTCAACTGACTGCGAATCCTCTTCCTCGCCGCGAAGCGAGATAAACTTCTTAATCACTCTAATCTCTGCTCTGTCCTTGGGCTTCTCATCCTCCTCGCTGGACTGGTAATCGTCACTGAAGCACGTTTCGTGGTACTTTTTCTTGGGAATCTTCTGAGATTGCTTGGAGATTGTTTTCTCCGGCGAGACACTGGATTTGGGTGATTTGCCATTAATCACTGGAGTCATCATTTTGGTCAGTTTGCTGGTGAGAGCGCTTATTCCGGACTTAAGAACAGGCTTTGGTGGTACTAATCTCGATGGCTTTGTCGGCTTGATCTCCAATTTGGGCTTCGAATCGACTTTTTGGAACAATTCCGCTTGGATTGCTTTGATGCTGTTCGATCTCTGCACTCTTGGTCCCGGAATTGACTTCTTTCTCACGGGAATCTTGCGAGTATCCTTCGGAGGAGAAGCTTTGGGTGATTCCTTGCGTTCTTCCGACTGTTCGCGATTGTCTGGCGGCTGAACTTCTTCTGGTTTCTCTTCTGGTGGCTGAACTTCTTTCGGTTTCTCGTCTGGCGCCGGAATAGCAGGAGTTTCTTCTTTAGGGATTTCTGCTTCTGTGACATCATTATTTGCATTCGCAAGGATGTTTTCAGATGCAATGACTTCCAAAGGAGGCAGAATATTCTCTTGTGGAGCATTAATCTCAAGAGATGTTTCTTCAATCTGCTGGTCAGAAGAAACTTCTGGCTCTTGACTGACTAATGGTTGAACTTCTACTGCAATTTCTTGAGTAATTACTTCACCATTTATTGGCAGTTCTTGAGATATTTGTTCAGTTTCCACAGAATCTTTCTCAATATTCTGAAGATCACTTGCTTCTGCCACAATTTCCACTTCTGGGACAGATGTTGTCACGGTTTCTTCCTGATTTTCTGGAATCTCAGCTGTGCTGATTTGTTCTTCAGTGGAATTGTCCTCCTTTTCTTTAGATTCTTGTTCAATTTTCTGATCACTCTGGACAGCATCGCTCTGTGAGGCTTCAGGAAGAGATTCTGTGATACTTTCTTCCTGATTTTCTGAGATCTCATCTTTGCTGACTTGTTCTTCAATTGAACTTTCGTCCTTTTCCGTAATCACTTCACTTTGACTTTCTTCTAAGGATTCTTGTTCAGTTTTCTGATCATTCTCAGTAGCTTCACTCTGTGAGACTTCAGGAAGAGATTCTGTGACGCTTTCTTCCTGGTTCACAGAAACTTCTTCCTTACTGACTGCTTCTGATTCCTCTGAATCCTCACTGTCAGGATGTTCTTCTGGCAAATCGACTTCTTCAGGCAGAACTTCACTTCCTATAATTTCCACTCTAATAATCGCCTCAGGCTCTTTGATCCCGAGTTCTTCCTCGAGAGATTCTCTAGCCTCAACATAATCGCTCTCTGGACTCAGACTCTCTTTGGCCAGCTGCACGATACTCACCTGGACAGACTCTTTTGGCTGCGCCAGTGATTCATGAGGGAGATCTTCAGTGGTTTCCGCCCACTCTTCATCATCACTCTCTGACTCCTCTTCCGATATCTCTTCAAGTTCCTCCTCTTCCTCGATCTCTTCCTCAGTCTGCTCCTCTTCGTCTTCTTCGTCCTCCGTCCACTCGAAGGAGTCCGCGTAGTCTTCTGAGCTGTACTCTGTGTTGTCCATGGAAGCGATGTCCGATGTTATCTCCTCTTTCATCTGCTTTATCAGTCTTTGTGTGGTTTCAACGAGTTCTGAGAGATTCTGGCTGGTTTTGGAGATAGCTTGACTTGCTTCCTGATGAGGAATTTCTGGTGATTCTGTCGTTGGTGTAATTTCAACGGTTGTCGTGAAGGTTTTCACTGAAGTCATGCGATTTTCCTCACTCTCAACATCTTTGCTAGAGTCTTTGCTCAAATCCTTGGCCGATGTTGAAGGATTTGGGACACTTTCCTCTGCAGTTTTACTCTTGAGAACGATACTTTTCGTGCTTATCCTAATGGGAGGTGAATTGATAACTTCCTCGTGATCACTAGAATCATTGATGTAAATGGCATTTCTCTTCTGATCACTTTTGGCTGGTGAGACTTTCTGAGCTCTTCGTCGTTTTATCTTTTGTCTGGACGGAGAGGAATTCTTCGCGGGAATCTTCTGTTCAGCCTTTGGAACATCTTCAGCCTCCTTTGGCAGTGATTCAGCCACACTTTGTCCCTCAGATTCACTCTTAATGTCTTCCGCGGTGATCTTAAGAACCTCCAATTCACTGTTGACAGGAATAATTTCATCCTGAATCGATTGCTTTCTCTCTTCACTGATTGGAATGAAGACAATTTCGTCGTTGATGGGATTAATGTCCAATGTTGGCAATTCTTCCTGGAGTTCCTTCTCGATTTGATCCACCAGATTTGGCACAATCTCCTGAATATGTTGCGACACGAAGAGTTTCACATCAGTTCCCACATCGGTGATGTCTTCGAGATTGGGCTTGGCTGAGGCCGATGGCAGAGGACTCTTGAGATTCAGCAATCTCTCCTGGTGACTCGACGTTGAGAATTCCGATGCCGCTGAATGTGGTCTGGAGACCTTGTTGAGGATATTTCCCAGGAGATTCTCAATATTCTTCAGCATGTTTTCATTCTGTTTTGCCTGATTTTGCTCCATGTTCCCAATGAGGATCTCAATGTCGCGCAAAACGTTGGAATTCTTTGTCAAGTCACTCTGATCGGCGTCAGACTGAGTTTCGCGATTTTCGAAGGAATTGATGGACAAACTGGAGAAGGAATTGTCTGTTCTGATTGGCGATTTTTGCTTGTCACTCACAGTTTCGCGCTCTTCATACATATTGAGGTAATCCTGAACGGTGAGATCGCTGAAGTCGTTCTTCTGCGGCACTTCCGGAGGTATATAGCCACTCTCGTTCTCCGCACCAGCTGGTGGTCCCCAGATCCGCATGAGGAAGGGCTTCAGCTGGCTCTTGCCCAATTCCACGAGCGCCAACTCGATGTTTCCGTGATGTGCCGTGAGGGCAGTGACAATGTCCTCGCGCGGATAATTTCCTCGACTTGAGATCTCGTGGTATTTCCTCTGGCGCTGCTCAATACACTCAGTCACGGCGTGCCAGACGTTTCCTCTGTGGATTCTGAGAGCTTCCCTTGCTTCAATGGCTGAAATGGTGCCGATGATGTTCTCTTTTCGCTCCTGGCCGTACTTTGTGGCCAGTGTTTGGACAGTTTCCACCAGTTTGTGCCAATTTTCACGCAGCCAAGAGACGGGATTGGAATCTCCACAGTGCGCCAAAGCGGCCTGGAGTTCTTCAGCTGTGAAATTGTGCTGTTCAGCATCCTGAAAGAGATGACAAAGTGTTTAAAATGTGTGAAAATACTTGAGGAGACGATAAAGATTACTCTTAGCATTCGTATGAGTTCCATTCCTGGACTCTGCATTGCATCTTGACGTCGTTTCACTTTGAGATCCTCCAATGTGATGATGTTCTGGTCAGGTGGCTGAGAATCTGCGCGTCTTGGAAGCTAGAAGAACATGAGAATATGGCTAGAAAGTGGCCAGTGTTGAGAACAAGTCTCTTCTCACCCTCTGATGACTGGGATAGTCGAGATAGGAAGGTCGCCGGGGTGAGTAAATGTCCGGTCGACGGAGATCATGGAAGCTCCTGTAAGGATCGCGCTGTTGGCTGTAGGACTTCTGCAGCTGCTGTGCGGCCAAATGGGTGGAGTTGAGGACTCTGTCGATGTAGGCGAGAGTGTCCTCTTCGAAGTAGTTGTCATTGATCCTCTGGCGAGGCGCTGGACTCAATTCTCGCGGTGGCGTTGGTGGCAAACTCTGAGTGTCGCTAGAGAAACTCATGTGACTCCTGTTCGATGTGAGAGCGCCGGCGGCAATTGAGTAGGAGCGCTTGAAGTCTCCCGCATGACTGGATCGGCCGCCGCTCGAGCCGCCCTGATCCTCGTCCTTCAGCGGCAGATAATCGTACGTCTGGAAGAGGGATTTTTTATTGTCTCTCGAACATCTCAGCTACACAATTGCACTCAATTACCTGCGTGGAGGCACTTTGAGGCGGTGGTGAAGTTCCTGTGGACGTTTTTCCTGTGTGATTCACCACGATTGGTTCAGTGGTGTTTGAGGGCACTTCAATTACTTCCTTGGGCGGCGATGGACCACATCCGGTGCTGACTTTGGCAGACACTCGCGGTGCATTCAAATCTGACAAGCTTTTTTCACTCACTGATTCACCCTTTGTCCCACTTTTCGATCGCGATGGCGATTCAGAGATTTTTTGGACGCCTACAAGCAGAAAGAGAAACACGGTGTTTATGTATGATTACATGATTTATTGTAATGTGATATTTTTGACTGGGGAAAACATCAAGAAATGCACTTGCGGGGCATCACAAGGGATAAATAATATGAACTATAAACACTACAATAATGTTGAGGGGATGAAAAGCGAGAGAGAGAGACTTTGTGTTGATCAGGAAGGGATAGAACTTTGACTATTTAGCTTTCGTGCCAGGCCAAAAGGATATTTTCTTTCTTATCCTACCTTTCTTGCTTCCTTTCTCACTCTTTTCAGTCTCCTTCGTCACTTCCACATTCTCTTTCTTCGCCACCACTTTTGGCTTCGCCACTTCCGCTTTAGGCTTCGCCACTTCCACTTTTGGCGGTGATTCTCTGGGCGTTATGTCGGGAATTGGATTGTTGATCATCTTCTGTGGCATTCTCGTTGGGGTTTTGCAGCAAATGCCGCAGATTTTCACGTTCGGCTCATTCACGTAAGTGCAGTACTCGCACTCCCACTCGTAGTCAGGAGCGGAGGGCGGAGGACCAACTGGTCCCTCTTCCTCCTCGGCTTCACTGACTGCTGCTTCTTCTGGCTCTTGAGGCGGCGTTGGCTCTGGTTTGCTCATGGCGTTGTTCAGATTGTTGATGATATCTTCAATGTCTTCTTCCTCTTCTTCTTGTGGCTTCTCCTCTGGCTTCTCTTCGGGCTGCTTGATGGGTTTCTCTTCGAGCTGCTTGGCGGGCTTCTCTTCGGGCTTCTCCTGGTCAGATTCTGGCGGAGTGAATGACTCTCTCTGCTGGGATTTCTTCCTCTGCAGCATCTCTCGCTCACGAATGGCATCAGAGACTCTCTTTGAGGGAATCCAATCGTTCTGATTGGACTTTGCCAGCGATCCTCCGCGGCGATCGCGGCCTGAGTGGCGCCTTCCGGGTCCACTGTCGGCTGTGTCATCGTCGAAATCTATACTGCTCTGCGTTGAGTTCTTTCTCGTGCGACGCGCACGATTGATGGCATTTTCTCTGCGACTGTGGCGATCATCGTCGAACATCTCCAGATCTGAATCCTCGTCGTCGGCATACTCCTGGCCGATGTAAATCTCTTGTCTGGCCATGCGTGTTGACATGGTAGACTTGCGCGATTTTATGCTGAGAGCCGGCGAAGCTGCCCGAGAGTGTGTTCTGGACTGAGCTCTGGAGCGTGGCGGATGAGGAGCTGCAAAGCAAGGTGAATTATCAGGTGATTGTGGGCGGAAGTGTGGCTTTTACTCACTCGCCATCACGGGAACCATGCCAATGGGATAGGGATAGACTGGCGGTGGTGCCCAGTGATTCATCCAGGCTTGTCTGCCGTCATGCTGCGGATGCGGATAGTAGCCCTGAGGCGGCAGATTGAGGCTCATGTTGGATCCGTGCAGGGAAGAGTCTCCCCACTGTGGCGGCGGAAGCTGCGGATTGCAACTCATGCAGTTCAGCTGAGCCATTGACTGCGCCTGATGCACCATTTGTGGGTTGTTCCATCCCGGATTTGGGTATTTTGGCGCTGCCATGTTCGGTTGGTGGTTGAGATCAAAGACAGAAGCGCTGAGATTGGGACTTCTCAGTCTCATGTCCACATTCTGCTGAGGATAGTTGAAGTGCTGCGCATGATTGACTTCTGGTGCAGCATTCATGCCAGTCATGAGACTTCCTGCCTTCCTGGGAGCGCCCCAGAAGTCTGTGGCATTCTGCACGGGAGTCTGCAAAACGAGACAGTCTTAGAAATTCCTTCTTGCTGCGCTCTTTGGCATCTTACCGCAAATTCCCAGTTGGACGTTGTGCTCGGGCGACGGCTACTGTCACTCCCAGACTTCATAGCTTCCTGGTGCTGGCGATAGCGCTGCTGGAGGAGCGTCATGCGATCCAGCGTGGCGCTCTTGTGGCTCTGAATCTTCCCCATCTCGACTGAGGGCTGTTTCTTGATGCTGTCGAAGGCAGATCCGGAACTCGTGACACTCGTCGGCGTCTGCGGTCGAGATGAGTTGGGAGTGCTGGGCAGTGGGCGATTGGATGGCGCTATAATCCTCTTCAGGCTGCTCATCTTCTCTCGCAGCGACAGTGCCGGACTCGGCGGTGGCTGTGGTCGTGGAGGAATCTGTGGATGAGAACTCAATTATGCTGACGGTTGTAAGATATCAAAAGTGGGGCTTTTCTATCCTTTGCGCCTCAGAAAAGACACTTGTAATTGCAGCAATTTTATTTACACGTTGAAAATCATACACAAATAATCTTCTACTTTAATAATGTAATGTGCGTTTTGTATTTGTTTGTTATTCTTGAGAGCGTGAAGCTGTAATTTGCGTGTGTGTGTGTGAAGCAAAAGCTCTTTCCCTCTTCTATATATTTGTTTTATCACACTGAATCACGATAGAATTTATTGGGGAATTTCTTAGGAGATGACGCAGTGTCGTACCTGTTCCTTGCGTCCAGGCACTGGGCTGGCGAGGCGGAAGCTGCCGCCTCTCTTGTTGCGCCGCGGCGGCGGCACTGGAACAAGGTGTTCGCCTTTCGGTGGCAACGGCGGCTTCACCGTCTGATCGCCGATCGTGACACTCTTGAGGGGAGGCAGGAAATTAGTGATAGAATCACAGCGCAAGGTCCGAATCTCTCCTACCTTTCTCATGTGCGTCTGTCGCTTGGGATGCCGATGGTACATGTCATCGCAAGAGGCGCAGAAGAGATGCTGATCGCACTGATCACACTTAATTGTGGGTGTTGTCGATCCGCACAATTCGCACTTTGTCATGGGGCTCTTCTTCAGATCTGCAAGCACATGGCATTAATTCACACTCCTGCGCGATTGATAAGGCGTGCGTGCTTGTCATTACCGCCGGGTTTTGCGGGAAAAATTGGCACAGTGTTGGAGTATTGGCCGCCAAACTCGATGATTTCATAGTCGGGCTCGTTGTTGGTGTTCTTGGGCGGCAGCGCTGGTGGGTTTCTGCCGTTCTCCGCGGGTGGCGGAGGCGGTGGCTTGGGCCCCACCTGATTGCTCTGCTCGTGCACCCACTGAGGCATCGTGCGAGCGCTTCGAAATTGGGGTGCAGTCTTCGGTTTTCCGTTCATGTTCTGCAATAGACAGAAGCACACAAACACAACTATTGCAGAAGAAATGCAAGTCCATTAATCACGCGAGAATGCCAAGATGAGGGTTAAAAGTGGGTGAGAAAAGAATGATGGATATAAATAGATATTGCGATAAATTGAGTTTGATGTTGAGACATTTTTAAAACAGTTTATACAACTATTAATAACCTCTCTGTTTCCGTATGATTTCGCTCACTCTCTCTCAGCAGAAATAATAATAAATTGCTCTTTCTCATTTCTCTTCTTGAGATTAAGGGGAGATTTTTTTGATTTTGGCGAGATGAATTTTATGGTCATTATCCTTTTCCTTTTATCTTCTGCCTGAGATTTTCTGCATAAACAAACATTTGAACTCAGCGTGTTTGTCTGGTTAGGAGTGAAGAATGGCAATTATGTGTTAGTTTGGCCCAATTTTCCCTCATACAATTCATCTCATTAGAGTTTTCGGTGTTTGTGATTCAATTCACAGCAATTGTGTGCCAATTCCACATTGATTTCCTCGGTAAATATAACGTGGATGGAGACGCCTGGTGTCGGCACTCATCACCAGGCGTCTCCATCTCTAAATTTACAGCTGAAATTGGCACTCCAGATCATTTTGTCGCCACTCCAAAGGACTTGTAATGTTATGTGATGGGAAGACGGTGAATTCTATTTATGTCAGATCAATTTTGGACGACTGTGTGAGAGAGAGAGAGAGTGAGAGACAGTGGAAGACAGGGTGAAAGGGAGAGAGAAAGAGAGATCATTTCGTGAAGTGATGACATTAAAATGAAAATTTCCAACATACACTCATGTTATTAAATCGGCGGCAATCCTATTCGACATTCCCCCGGGGAGAAAGCAAACTATTTTTGTGCACCAAACTCTTACACAATAAGAGTATGTCTCAAAAAATGTTATATATCTTGCGTGTGAGAAAATAAGACGATTTTCTCCGACACCTTTTCTCACTATTTAACACACACCTTCGATAGAGTCTTTTTATTCTTTTCACAATCGACTGTCTTTCCTCTGCTATCGTCTCACTTCTGATCACAATTCATCATATCAACTTGTGGGGATGATTGAGTGAAAAGAAAAATATATATGCTTTGCTGAGGTGAATTGAGCGGAAGAAGAGAGAAAAAGAAGATGGTGTGTGGAAAATGTGTGCTACATTTTTCCGCGAACTGATCAGGGGATTTGCGCCCGACGACGATCGAGTGAAGACTGAGATTTTCTCACATTCTCACCACACTCGGCTCTCGTGAGATCATTGGGAGGATCACTGAGATGGTGCGTGAGATGAAAAAGTGCCGGCTGAGCGGTGCCGAAATAGGTGTGATACATCTCACCAGGCGTCTCCATCACGTCAAGTGGAGGCGCCTGGTTATCTCTCTGATGCATTTTGCTGCACTTTTGCCACACTCTGGCAAAGTTTGCTTCTCGAGGGCTTTTCGCTCACATGCTCGACGCCTTTTTGCATCTCTCTTCCTTGCGTCGCTGCTGTATTTATTGGATTGTGGAGTGGAAAATTGAAAAATTCTTTCCACAGTTTATTCTTAGTGCTGTTAAAATTCTCAGTCTCGCACTCTCTTCTTGAGCGTGTGCCAAAATTTTGCTTCCTGCTCTCGCATGACTTTTTTTTCAGATCACAGCGTCGCACAGAACATGATGTCTTGAGTGAATTTTGGTATCACTTGGACATTAATCTGTGATGAAAGATGATTTCTAGCGGCAGAAATTGCATTTAACCCTTTTCTGTCTGACGCACAGTTGGAAAGTGCAGTTGTGACTCTCGGGAATGGGTTAACAATCTCACTGTATTGTTCTATATTACCAGTAATTTTGAATAGATGGAAATTTCTCGCTACTTCTCGCTCGATATTGCCAGCATTCTGTGTCAAGGTTTTGCAGCAATGCATACTTTAATGAGTCCTCGTGCAGGCAATTGTGTAGTCCTGGAGGAAGATGTGTGTTAGAGGGTCTTTTCCGTCGAAAATCCGGTCATTGGTTGAATTGACTGGTGTGATATTAATAGTTTGACGCACTTGCGGAGAAATTGATTGCGTATTTGCGGCAACGCTGATTCCTCATGATGTCAGAGAGGTGCCAATATGTGACGAAACACTGAACATCTGTTCGAACTGCCCTCTTTTCCTATGCTCACCAGCAACAGCAAAGCAGAGAGAGAGTGAGTGAGAGAAGGGAATTATCAATTGATGTCAATGTCAATGCTTCCACAATTTCCATCGGCATTTTCACACCGCTTTCAGATTGATGGATTTGGGCAGGGTTTCGTGTTTGTTGCTGTGGAAAATTCAGAAATATTATTATTAACAACTTTGTGGTCAATTCATGTGAAAAAATCACACAGTTGAGTGATGACAGCACGAGAGATGCATTAATGCAGGGATTCCGCGTCGCCTGAGGGACAATAGACAAGAGAAGAAAAATACATCAATTCATTTTATTGATTTTCCATACATTTCCACACATTCTTCAGTCATTCGCGTGCTTTGGCTCTTCGACATTTGATGTGTGTGTGTTTGAGTGTGTTTTGCCGTAGAAAATGTGCTTTCCGGGGGTGTTTTGTGAGTGTGGATTTGTGCATGAGCAGTGAGAGTAACACAACACACGCGCGCGATTTTCCGGTGCTTTTCGGCCAAATCTGCAATTCGTAGTGCGTCGAAGTCTGGAGCAAAAGGGTGAAACTTTTAGTTTGACTGCAACACAAGAGCTGTGAAGTTCGAATTTTACTCTCTTCTCTCAAAATTTTTCACACACTCCATCCATTATTGTAACTTCAGCCACAGCGAAATAAGCTTTCTTCTTCTCTCTAATGCAATAAGTCTGCATTTAGTGTTGTTTTGTGCATTTCTGGGACTTCAAATCGAATTTAAGCGGATCTTTGTTCTTCTTATTCTACAATAAAACCTGTGATAAATGCAATCGAATGTGTGTTTGTGTGTGTGTTGAGGAAAACTCCTTGAAAATTTGACCCCATGACTGGTGTATAGTTAAGTAACTGTGTTAAGGCTAAGGGTGGGTAAATTTATGGCAACTACTGACACACCGTGAAGAACACACTCTAGAGAGAGACAGAGAGAGAGAGAGAGAGAAGGAGTGAGAGATGAGGAAATAAAGGTGCTTTAGTGAATCGATATGAAGGGGTGTTTGCAAGTGTTCTCACATAAATAAAGTGTGCTAAAAAAGAGGCCTGAATTTCTCAAGTGAGAAATGGTTGATTTGCCATCGACGTCGCAGCGAACGAGTGGCGATGTGTTGAAAATGAAGCAATTCATGGGTCGAACGCCGGGAATAATTAAATCGAAATTTTTATCAGTAATAGGCAGTAGTAATGAAATTTTAAATGGCATTTCCAGTAAGGTGAGCGACAAAGCGTAGAATAAAGTATTTAGAGCACGCAAGATAATATTTTCCACGAGCGTATCGGGGAAAAGCACGTATTTTTCCACGCTGAGTTGTGATTATTGTGCCTTTCTGTGTGTGCCTTTCAGCTCGAGGCGCTGAGTTTGAGCTCGTCCACGGAGACATCGAGAGAGACTGAGGACGAGTACGATATCTTCAAGCCACAGCCGATTCCCAAGAAGACAGAGCCCAGTCCGCCGGATTCCACGAAGACGAAGATCGAGGAGGAGGAAGAGGACGAGTTTGATGACTACATGATAGACTTTGAGGCGCGCAGAGTGAAGGAGAGACGAGCTCACGAGGAAATCCTGTCAGGACGATATCGACATCCAAACATTGTTCCCAGTGAGTGAAGTTTAATCCTTACAGATGAATGAGCTGTTCTAAATCTCCCTTTGCTGGCAGGATTGACGTCGGACAACTTCGACATGGCAGATTTGAATCATCATGCGATTTCCTCCTCAATTTCCACGGATATCAGCAATTGCTCGATTGACTCCAAGTCACTGCACGTGGAGGATGAGGATGACACTGAGAAGGCGCCGCCGTCGAAGGGTGGAAAACCACTTCAGCCTCATCCGGCGATAGATATTCAGGCGCCCAGCGATCGGGCGACGCCTGTGGAGGAGAAAATGAAGCCGGAAGTGAGCAGTATCTCAACCAGCGAGTATGATCTCTGTCTGCCGAGTGGCGCGAGCTGTGAATCGTCTGATTTGAGGGTGTGGATTCGCTCGGAATCGGTGAATTCTGTGCCCTCGTGGGCTTCCTCCATCAGTCTCGATAGCCAATCGGAGGAAGTGGTGCTGGAATTCATGAGGCGCTTCCTCACCACACTCTTTGACAATTCCGGAGCGATAAGTCTGGAGTTGAAGTCGGAGTTTGGACAAATGGCACGCACTGAGGCGGGACGATTGTGGTTCTCACGACTCGTGAATGCGCAGCGCGTGAAGTCGAAGAGAGTGGATGAGACGACCTTCTATTCTCTCGTGCAGTACTTTGCCATTGTCCTGTTCGAGTGCCACGAGAGTGAGGATTTCTCACCGGCGAAGAGTCTCATGAACATGTGCTTCACTTTTTACCACGAGAGTGAGTAATTGCAGACTGTGTGTGTTAAAATGGGAGATTTATTGGTGTTGCTTTGCTTGTCTTTCAGTCACAGTTCCGGGGATTGAACCGTATCGAGAGTACTTGTACATCTACTTGAGGGATCAGCCAATTTGGCATTGTCTGCGATTCTGGAATGCGGCTTTCTTCGATGCTCTCCAGTGCGAAAGGGCGCATCGTCCGGTGCCGCAGACGAAGAGGCGGGGAAAGAAGGGTGTGAGCAGTTTGCCTCAGAGTGACTTTGATCGATCTCTGTCAGTGTCCTCCAAGGAGGATGAGGCAGTGAACGAAGAGGGCGAGCTAAATATCGATGAGGACAACATTGAGGATAAGAATCATCTGTTTGAGATCACGGAGGATGTGAAGTTTCAGCAAAACATCACTTTTGGCCAATTGGGGTGAGTGTTGTTTATAGAATGTGGAGCAGAAAATGTAATTGAATTTCTCTAACGCGCGGGGGGTGGGAAAATGCAGGACTTTCACATGCAACATGCACGCCTTTGGCCTGAGCAAACAGCTGTGCCTTGAATTTCTTCGGAAGCAATGCACCATAGCAAATCTGAGCAAGGAGCACGAGAAACTCCTGCGAGACAATATTAATCGCATGTATAGAGAAACGGAGCGTTGGAGCGAGTAAGGATTGACTTAATTGGCGAACTGAGAATATTGCGAAATGAGAGGAGAGGCTTTTAATTTGTCTCCTTTTCCTTCTTTTCTTCTCTTCCCAACAGACAGTAAGACACTCTCTCTGAACACACATTGACTAAACACATACTGAGTATGTTTAAGAGACAAATTTGTACTTTGCAAACCAATTCCAACACACTTTTTCAACTTACAGTCTCTCTTTGCGATGTTCACAAGACAACGAAGGCAATTGCGATGGTTAATTTTATTGCTGCAAGTGTACTTTAATAATCCTCTTAATTATGTATAGAGCGTTTGAAATTCCTCTCATTTTCCAATTTGTAGGCATTTAAGAGACACGTTAAGATGGTCTTTTAAAAGCGTGCATCGAGTGCGGTGCATGTCTCGGATGAAAATCTTTCTCCTCTTTTGTGGAGTTGATCGCGCGTATGCGAAAAGTATTTCAAATATAATTACTTTTTATACATTATGTGAAGAATAAACATTGCAATATACAAATGTGTGATTGTTTATTTGTCTGGCCACTATTTTGTTTGCCCTTTCTCAAGGTTCTCAACACGTTAATTTCGCAATTCTTAGTCAGACAAGCAGAATTTCTTCAGGATTTGAAGTGGTTTTTCTTTGCGAAACGCACTAAAATGTAGTGCTTGAAATTGAGTAATCGATTAGTGCAATATTGACTGGGATTTATACTTATCTTCTCACTCTCTTCGCTAATTGAATGTTGAAATTTCTCAAGAATGTTCTTCAAGACTGAAAAAAAACGGCAAAGAACTCGATGTTGAGTAATAAAACGCAGTTGATATTGAGGATTTCTTGTAATTCTCTAAAATAGCATGGAGTAAAGAGTGTTGTTTTTCATTTACTGTAATCTATTCAAATTTCATCTCTTCTTTATAAATAATTATAACTTATTATAACTTAAAAATTTCTTTACAGCCATTTCACTACACAAAAAGTTGTTCTCTCTTCAACAGATTTTGCCACCAACTTTTTTTTTCAAACCTATTATAATTCCACATCTCTTGTGGTTCAAGAGATTGTGTTTCAAAAAGGGGGCGAAGGAGGAAATTACGATTTTTATACATCATTTGTTGAGAAGTCAATCGGACTAATTTCTATTGCATAATTCATTAACTAACTTTTCAAATTTTTTTCTTTAAATTTATATTATAACCATTCCATTTAAGAGGTCCTCTCCAAATTGTCACCCGCACTAATAAAGTGAATCTGCTCTCGGCGCGCGCACGAGCGCGCATTTCAATTAAAGAGGGGAAATTTATGGGATGTGAAGTGATGAAAATAGTTCTCTTCTATCTCTCTCTCTCTTGGTTGGCAGATTTGGAGGCAATTGGAAGGCATTAAATGTCAATTTGTAGCTGATCCTAAAAACAGATTATTACACTCCCTCTCTGCCATTGTCTCAATCAATCATCAGCTCTAAATGCACCGATCCAGTTCGTTCTCGTCCACCTTGATAGTGAATATTCTTGGCCCATGCGCGGCACTCAATGTTGATCACTCGATTGACTGTTGGAGGAAAGAGAGGAAAAAAGCTTTCGTCAGGCATTCCCACAAATATGGATTGTGCGCGCGTCAGAGATACTCACGGCTGGGGCGCTCGAGGTGCACGGCGATCAGGGGACTCAGGTAGCCGGGAATGTTGGTGAATGGGTAGTAGTATGAGGCCATGCCGCGCTGGGGAATATACTTGAGCGGCCCGATGGACTCGCGATCGGACGGATGCTCACCCTGACACGAAATCCACACCTGCTTTCGCTTCTCCTCCGGCACCGACGCGATGTGCTCCTTCAGATCCTCCGGCATGTCCTCCGGCAGATCATTCACGTCGTCATAGTAGTCCGGCACCCAGTTGAAGATGCGATTGAGCTTGATGAAGATGCACGGCGCGGATTTGTTGAAGCCATAGCCATTCTCGCTGGTGCATTCGCCCCAATCCGACATGTCCACGGCACAGACGCGGCCCGGCTTCGGTGGTGAGTTGTAGTCGCAGATCTCCTGGTTCTTGCCTCCTCCAGCCAGTTGAGTCTTGTTCCGGTAGGCTGAAAAGTGATATTTTCACGATTATTTCCACTTCCTAACATTTTCGCTGAGCTGTACACCACTTCTGACTATATTATCTCCCCCTTGTTTTACCCTTGAGCCCAGAAGAGAGTTTCTGAACAAGAATAATTTAATTTCCAATTGAAAAATGTCCTGCGGATACTCACGAGCCAGGTAGTCATCGAGAAGGTCAGTCCACGGCTTTATGCTGGCCGGATCGGATGCCTTGTACCAAATGAGCGATCCCTGCGTGGTGTCTTCGGAGATGGGCCGGAAGCCCACGCCAGGATTAGTGCCGATGAGTGATCTGTCCAGCTGCCACTTGGGATACTCATAGGTGAGTGTGTAGAAGAGGACTTGGAGGCAGATAGCAAACAGAGCCGCTAATACTGTGTAGAAGATGGCATAGAAGACGAGGATTTTGGCTGGAAGAAGAGATACGCAAGACAACACAGATAAGAACAATGTGAAATAATTCAGTTTTTGGGAAATCTGAGAGAAAAACGTGTGACGATGATGTGACGGATCAATATTTGTATCATGAGATCGTCTGGTGGCTTTTATTTACCTCGCAAATTAACTTCTCAGCACGCAATTATTACCACCTTTATGCTCTTGACGTTGTCTGACGACTTTACTATCTAGTTTCAATTGGAATTCCCGGACCAGATCTCGCTAAACACCAACCACGGATTGTCTCTCTGTTCGACAAAACAGCACAACGCCAAGCAAATGGATCAGTGAAAAACAGATGATTTTCAAGGGAATCATCCATTATGACTTTTTTCTGCGACAGCTTTTCCCGTGAAGAGATTTTTTAGTGAGGCTTTTAGAGAATTCTTCTTTCTCACCCATTATGAGGATTATAATGAAAAACTTAAATATACACAGTGTTTTTTTTTCGGGTCATTTTTGCTCCATTGCAGTCCACGAGGTTGTCTGTTGGCTGTGGTTTCCTTGAAAACTCATTTACTGTCGCCTCTTTTTCCATATATACAAAACCCATTCATTGGGAGAATGGGAAAAAGTGTGTTCTATTCAGTCGCAGAATATTAATAATGAAGTGCGCTTGTAAAAGCGTCACGATTTTTTTGGAGAAAAACAGACATTGTGCGAACATAAAATTTATGTAAAATAACCATCAATGATGAGTGCCAGTGAATTTCCACGAGTGTGAATTCCCCGCTAGCATTTGTATTTCCTTCCCAAAACTCTTTTTTGAAGACACATATTTTTTTGGAGAGAGAGAAATGAAGACACTGTGCGATCGATTGAATATCAAATAAGAGCGCGTGTTTCAGAGGCGAATATGCGTATATATTTTTTGGGTTGAGACAAAAAGAGCGATCGTGAGCCAGCGTAAACTGCATTAAGCGGTTTTGTCAGGTAAAATCCCATAACAACCCATCATGAACATTTTAGAGGCACTTTGGAGCTGAGAAATCCACGATCATCCGAAGAAATTCACTCCGTCACACCGAATAAATAGCATTTTTGAATGTTTACAGGCATGACTTGGAGGGAGCTTTTAGTACATTTACTGCAAATATTGGCAAATACAATATCGCCTTTTCCATTGAAAAATCAACCTCTTCTTCTTCTTGCGTTGGCCTCCAATTTCACAAACGATCACTTGTTGCCATCGTGGATTGATGGGGAAATTCCACGCGAAAGCATCTTTATGACATCCATTAAGAAGGGCACAGAATTGCCCTGTCTTTACACGCATTTCACTTAGAAACCCAATCATTCCGCACACTTTATCATGAGAGAGAAGCTCAAGAGTCTTTGGGCAAATATTTGACTCGGTGGAATTTTTCCTCTGCAAGACAGTCTCACTGCGATAAAATGAGGATTGACAAATGGGATCTGCAATAGTCAAGTGCAAATATTGTGACTCCACATTAATTTCGCACTGTGTTTAATCACATCAAAAATGTAAATTTCATATAATTGCTCACTTCCAACACAGCCACAGAGTCTTGAAACGGGAGAAAAGTGGTGCAATGTCATCTTGATCACAGCTAGATTGGCTCTAGATCTAGATTAGAGACCAACTCTGGGGTGAATTTTGGTATTTTGCAATTATTCTTGAGGTCCTGCGTTGGATTGTCTTGGCATACAAATTGAGAAGAAATGGAGGCGAATTGAAGTCACTCAGTGAATCTTAACTAAAAGCCATGTGACTTTCTCAATCCTAAATTAAGTGTGGAATTCACAAAAAATTCACGTGAGACATCGTGAAAAGAAAAATCTCGTCAATCCTAAATATAATGCTCAAAGTGAGACGCGGATATTTTGCCATTTCTAGATCATGATCTATTCGGGCAGTCTGCAAAGTCTCTGCCAGAGGCTCGAGATGCTTCTCAATGATGGCCGAGAGGAAGAATGTGTGATCTACAAAAGCGAGGGATATTTTTAAAATCATTCTCACACTTTTTGGCACATCGCCAAAGTCAATTCCCGTCAGACTGAATTAATCAGTAAAAGAGTGTGGCGATCGAAAAGTGCCCCATTCCTCATCATTAACATGCTCTCTATTGACTCTCCTCCATCATCTCGCGATTTGCTTGATTGATCACCGCCAGCGCACAATGAGGCGAAGGTGTTGTGTGGAAGAGAAGAAAAAATGGTGAGTTTAGAGGTCAGAAACGCACTGAATATTACTCTGGTCATTTCCAAATCATTCGCGCGCCTGGAGAGTGTTTATTTATTTGTTGTGTGTGAGTGGCGAGGAAATAGCGAGTAATACGACGTGCAATTCAATAGAGACATCCAATTAATTTGCATGCCATTTAATATTTAAATGCGCCCCGAGTATATCAAATTCCCTGCCAAATCGTGACACTTGGTCAGCAATTGCTGGCCTTTTAATTAAAATATACATCACATGGATGCGCTATATTAAAATTACACATCTCTTTCGCTCTCTCTCTCTCTCTCTGGCTCCCTTCTTCAAGGCCACAAGACACTTCCTGGGCCGCCGAACGGAATGCGAGCACGACAGTTAAGAGCGACACCCGGAATTTGTGGAATTGTCCAATAAATTCTCCAATAAGGCGCGCGTCAATGGGAATTATTTAAATTCAATAGTGAAATTCCCGCGAGATTAAACTTAAGGAAAATGACAGTTTCAAGAGAAAAACACTCACCCCAACTCGTTGGTGTCCTTTCCATAAAAGTCCCCGCCTCGCTGTTGTAGATGAATTTCGCGAGGCTCTTCTTCTCCGGTTGGCGCATGTAGGGAAACTCATAAGTCACTTGACTCATGCCATTATTCTTGTCCTTTGAACTCGCCATGTTTGCGTGTGTTCACACCAAAAAAAACTTCACAACTTATTAACGGCACACTTTCTTATCAAAGACGTTCGATCGTCTCTATTTCTCCTTAGAAACACTTGATCCTCAACGCTTTTTGCGCTCTTTTATCGGCCGAGGAGTTTGCAAAAGAAGAGAAGAAATGGAAATAATCGATTAGACACCACACATTAATTAGAGGTAAAGTTTAATATTCTCTAAAACTGTGCGATGATAATCGAAACTGGTTAATTTTCTACGGTCGCTCGTGGTTGAAATAAGATAAAAAGATCTCTGGCTTCGCACTATTTTATCGGATTCACTTCCCGTCAATGAATTTTCTAACCCTCTCGGAGTGTTGTGTGAATCACGTGAAAAGCCGAATAGAATTCAATATAGTACAGAGTGTGCAGAAGATCACTGAGAATTTTCCCCTAAATAATGCATGCGCGCAAAATTTGCAAAAGAGAGGGTGGACAGAAAATTGAGGTGGAAAAAGAGGCACACACGAGTAAGAGAGATGAAAACACAGTTAAAATAGCAGCTGAGCAGCTCTTTGCAACTTCCAACTGGTTTACACCAAGTCCAGAAAACGACTGAATCACATTAATATAGCATTAAAATGTGAGGCTCCGATTAAAACTCTAAAAATATATGACACTCTATGCATTTACACACGATTTCCACTACTTTTACACCCAAACTGTATTATATAAAAGATCTTTTTCATTGGTTTTATCGGCGCTTGACGTCTTTCGGGGCGTCCCTGCTGAAAAGTTGCCTCTGTGTGTAAGAGATTTTTTTCTTTTTGTTTCTTTGCGTATGAAAAAGACACAAAACGCGCTCACAATGTCTTACTTCTCGCCGTTGATTATATACCGACACTTCTGTGGCGCTCAAAATGCTGGCCGACACAGTCTCTCTTGGTTTTAATAATATTGAGAAGGAAAATTTCGTCCACGATACGCGCAAACACAGACTTGCGGAGCGCACGTATTGCCACAGAATTGAGCAATGAAGATGAAGGGAGAGAAAAAAATGTGCGAGAAATGAGGAAGAAAAAGATTTTTCATTGGTTTGCGTACAGAGTTTCACTCTCTTTTTCCCTGATAACGCGCGCGTACACACATATCACTTCGCCTGCGGTATCAATTTACCTCTTTTATCAGCGATACTGATACCAACAGAGGTCCCACTTTGTTTGCTCACTCTCACAGTGTCTCATGGGCTCTGGCAGAGAGATAGAGTGGGAGAGAAGACTTCATATTTTTCGTGCCGTTTCGCCGCGAAACGAATTCATTCCACATTTGCCGTACAAAACTTTCGAAAAACCGACAGAGACTCTTTGCAAATTCAACACCTTGGAAATCAACGAACGAGGAAATCGCGCGCGCAGGAAATTCTACCGACTTTTTCACGCCAGCAAATATTCTTCAATTGAATTGATGTTTTTTTTTTACCTCAAAACAATTAATTTGTGAGTCAATTGCGATTTATGGTGGAAAAAATTCAAGGAAAAACACACAGTTTTGCTCATGAAATCTCAACCAAAAGATCCAATTAAAAAATCGCCCCTCAATTCAACACAATGATTGATAAGAACAAGTGAAGTGACGCGAATCGGTTTATATAAATTATCGAGGTAGATTCGCAGTATTTTACTGTAAGAATGCCTGAAATTCGCAATCAATGTAAAGCGATACAAATGAGAGCGATTAATCTTCGAGGAACAGGTTGCAAGACGCTTTTGCGTCATTCTGTTTGGGTTTGAAGCGGTTTTTATTGCTTAATATATTTGTAAATGCAAATTAGATTACATTTACACATTTGATAGAAAATATTAACCCTTCAGGGACCACAGAATTCTGAGCGAGAGAATTGGAAGAAGACTGTTTCTGCTAAGTATTTGGTTTGTTAACAATGTATTTGAGAGAATGTCGCGGAAAATAACTCTCCGGCGACACTCAGAGATTAATTACATAACTCAACATGAAGTCCAGACAGTGTTTGTGGCGAAGGAGTCTTTGAGACACATTGCTTTAATCCAGTACAATCCCGCGAATAAATATTTGATAGAGTATTTGTGGAAGATATTGATTTTAAATAGATGTGCAATAGTAATCAATAAGTACACATTTGCGTAGTTATTTCTTGAGTGTAATTAATTTGTTGTGCTCTCACACACACGCAAATTAAATTAATTTCTGCCCTGTCGCGTCAGACTTTCGTGCTGAGAGCAGTCAAAATAAAATTTCTACCTTTGCGCGCCGCCCAACCCAATCGTAAATTCTGCAACAGGCATTCAACTCCTTTTCCCACCTCCTTCCTCGTAATCCCTCTGGTCTCCTGAATTGTGTCTGCAGGAAAAAAGCAGCAGGGCGTGTGCCTAAATATGCTCCGCAAAATTACATGGTATTTAGCAAAGAGGATTTTCACTTGGTGTGTAATTGGAAAATTTTCCCCTGGCAACACACACAATTAATTGATGGTGAAACATCCACGAGCGCCTTGGAAGAGTTGGGAAAATGTGGTGCGTGAGGGTGATATTTTCCATGGAAATTATGTGACAGTGCTGGGAAACAATTTGGCCTATTCTCGGCCCGAGCTTCAAACATATCAATCACCGAATTACTCATTTGTGGGTGACTGACCACGAAGAGGAGATATTTTGCATAATTATGCGGAAAATTTCACCCCATTGTTCTCTCTATTTTCCAACCCTCTCTGTACGGCTTTCCACCACCCACTCTGCGCCCAGATCGCATGCACTTTGTGCCCATGGCTGCTGCACAGGTTCATAATGCGATGTCAATTGGGTCAATGAATAGTTAAATTTGCATTTTATGCAAATTTCCACCCAACACGCAAACTATAGACAGAAATTTTGATGGAAAATTGCACAATGTATCTTGGGAGGTTTTCCAGAATGCAACAAGAAAGTAAACAAGTGCGTTTAGAGAGAGAGAGAAAAGAATTGCACGAAGGTTCTGTGTGTGGGAAAAGTTCATGTTTACACTTTTAAGGGAATATGTTTCTATAGTTTTTTTTTTTCCACTTTGTGTGCAAAATTAACTTCATCATGAGGTGTAATGAATATAAACGCAAAAGTGGGATGAAAACTAAACTGCGAACACAATGTTGTTCTTAAATTATTCATATTGCAAAATACACACACTTTCAAACTTGTGTGAATCTCTATAAATTAATCAAAGTGAAAAAGTAGTGCTGAGATACCCCAAATTTCCCTGCTTTTCCCCTCCCCTCCCCCACCACACACAGCGCGGGCGAGAAGAATAAACAATAAATGTGGGTGAGTGTGTGAAAATCTATCTTTAGCATAAATTCTCTGAAAATGAGCCTTCGACGATATAATTTTCCACCTCTTCGACAACTTTTTCGCCATCGGACTTTAAACGCCTGTATTTCACGCTTATGGCAATTTGTCTAACAAATTATTGGCCGCTGGTGTGGGTGATTGAGCACTACATGGGCACAATGGGGCAGAAAGGGGGAGAGAGGGATGTCCTCCTAATGTATCTCATTTTCTTCGGTGTCCTGTTCGTCTCGGCGGAGGAAATTTATGTGACGTCGGCGCCTGTTGCTCTGCCCCACTCAATTCACGTCTCGTTTGGAGGACAAATAGAGCTTTTGTGGTGAACTTCTTTTCATTTTCACTACACCACAACTTTGTATGTGCGAAAAATCCACTGGGAAATTCATTCTCTTTTTCTGTGTAGCCAATTCCAGCGGGAAGAATTGTCAAAACTCCCCCACAATCAAATAGAAAAGCCGCCTTTCGCGTGTGCGAGATAAATTTTCGCGGGAGATTTAATTAGATCTTCAGAGGAGATTTTCTCTGTCGCTCAACATTTTAACCTTCGCACACGAAAGTTTTTGCCTTCAGAATCAGCGACACGCAAATTTTACTTTTTGGCAAAAATGCCTCGAGAAGAAGCCCAAAAAAAGAAATGTGGCAAGTTTGCACAGTTCAGATGAAGAAAGACAAAAAAAAAAACTGACTTGAGGGAAATGTGAATGACACTCTTCTCACTTTGTGACCTCTGGACTGTGGAGAGGCAAGAACAGGAATCACACACAATCTCGAGACACGAGCACTCGACAACTCAACAGTGTGGCTCTCGAGGCGCCACTGAATCCCAGAGATTAACTCTGGCCGCTCATCTCCCAAGCTCAGCCGAGTTTTCCCTCGTTTTTCGCCTTCGTTGTGGCATCCGAAGCTCACCAACGGCGTCTGGCCAGGCCAGAAGTCTTCGCGCAGTGTCTATAAACATTTTATGCTCGCCAGTTGCCAGTAGTTGATTTTCAGGCCAGGAGATTGAAAGGAGAGAGAGAGATAATTTTGTTATGAACTGCTGGAAAAATGCATGTAAACTTCCCAGTTTGGCGTTGTCAGGGGAAAGAAAAACATTAGAGCACGAGTGAAATTCATCAATTAATGAAGTATTTCAAATAGATATAAATATTTCAAATGGATAATTTCATGTGAATAAATCATAAACCATTGAAATCGATGGATTTGAATTTATTTTCAGTATTTGGAATTAATGAATTGCTTTAGGGGAAATCTGGCTGAAAGCAATTCCTTGATGTTTATAATGTTAATCAAAAGCATTTGGGCGTTGAATTGATTAAGAGATCAGTCCCAAATTAGGGCTAAACTCCATGGATGATGATGATGATTAAAATAGCTGTTCGTCTTTAAGGACATTTTTCAAGAACCTTCAGGCCGACCTTGTGTGATGGGTTGAATGGCAAATGAGATGAACTGAGATGTAATAATTCTATGTGGGAAACTTTGAGTCGCGCGGCAAAATTGTCTATTTAAAAATACCCTCAAGCATAGCCATCATTTCCACTTTCTCGCTCTGCATGCCGTCATTTCCACTGGGCTTTTTCCCCGCTCTTCCTGGACGGGGTGGAATGCGGAAAAAGTAATGTTTGGTCAATGGAGAGACATTTTTCTCCCCATTCTCTACCCTTGGCCTGTCAGGCTTCCATGTGGTGCCTTTTTTATGTTTCAATGAGAAACATCAACCCTCGCTCTTGATTAAATTGGCGCCTTGTGCGATGGAATTCTTCTCTGCGTCTCACTCTGCCAATCGTTTTTTTTGTAACAATCAACAAACGCCTGTCGCTTCCTGCAGGACGAAATTCCCCGCGTGCATTCGATTTGCAAAGGGAAAATGGGTGAAAAAGGCCATATTATTGACGGTGTTGGAATGCATTTGTCATGTTGTAACGCTTTGGCAACTGAAGACGCTAAATACCTTTGCGTAATGAGATAGACTGTGCGGTGGACGTTTTTTTTTCCACCAGACTCGTCGCATTGCAGCAGTTTGTTCAGGTGTAATCAGCCAGAACTGGATTGAACTGAAAAGATCAAACATCTTTTAAGATTTCCATTCATTCTCTTGGCCATTCTCGCCTCTTCGCCGGCGAACAGCATATTCTCCAGGCAGATGAAGTGTGCGGGATTTCCCCCCCAATGAAGAAGCCTACAAATTGACATAATTCTTGCATAAAAGATCAAGGATGAACCTTTTGCTGATCAATCATGTTACGCAACATCACTCCAGTTCTCACCGCAAATCATCAGGAGAGAAATTCGCCACACGAGCAGCCAGAAATGTGTGCAATTACTTTAGCGAATTGAAGCAAATTATTAAATTAAATATAAAGCCATTCATTGTTTATCAAAGCTCTTATCGTGCCTCTTTTGTTTCACTCATCATGCGCAGTGTCGTCAATTGTACACTCTGTCAGTGTCACTGATAGAGGCCCATGAAGGGTGAATAAGTGGATCAAATGGTTATACGATGGCTTTTAGGGATCAAGCAAGAAAAACCAGCACACAGAAGATGACTAAGTGAAGGAAAATTACTTAGAATGGAGAAAAACAACTCGAATGATAAGGAAAATGGAATGATTTTGATGCAAACAGCCAATGAAAATCGAATTTCATCCAGTTTTCAGCCCCTGAAAAGGTGTTGAGAAACGCTTTGCTTCATAAATCTTCTGTGGAGTCGAAAGACACTCGCAAACGACACAAGTTCAATGACGTCATATCGATAGATAGGGAGAAGTTTTGTGGTATTTGTACCGAGCTGGACAGAGATAAGAAAGACCGCATAGACAAGAAAATACACCAGAAAATTGATTAGGCGAGATCATGACACACATTTTTGCCTCAATGCGACACGAATCCTTGGTGAATTCCTCTTGGACGCCTTTCTCCTCCTTCATACACTCTGCAAATATTTGCCACTGACCACTTCTTCGTCACCTGATAAATCAAAGGAGATGCGAGCACGTGAAGGAGGAATTTAGAAGTTGAAAAATTCCTTCTCGCCAGTGTTTTTGCTTATCGGCCGGCTTTGCTTACGCAACGGAGAATTCACGTGCTTGAATGGCAATCTATCTAATTGAGGTGCAGAAGGATTTTGAGGGTGTGATAGAGTGGCGACCAAATATTTACGTCATATCAACATCACAGAGAGTTTTATCGCATCGAAGAAAAATTCTCCTTCGAGGAGAGAAACATCATCAGAGTATGAAAGGGGGATTAGAGGGATTTTTCCACTCTTTGCACCTCTTTTTTGCTGTCTTGAGAGCCACGAAATTAATTAGATAACTTCCAATGATATCTCAAACCCATTGACTAAGAGAGGATTAAGTCGGAATATTTCTTGACGTGAAGTGAATCACAATTTTTTCTAAAAATGAAAGCTTATTTTGGGGCTAGAGAAGTGATCTTTAACACTCTGAATTTGAATGTGATTTCACTATCAGAAGGAGGAAGAATTGTTGAGAACATTGCCAAATAGTCACACTTGTGTGTTTTCCAACAAATAACCACACAGCTTTCAATTGTGGATAATATAAATTGCTCAACATCATAACATAATAAATGATAAGGGTTCGTCGGCGGAACATTGATTGAAGAGCGTTCGTACTTGTAAAGTTTAATTCACCTCAATTGCCCTCATTTCTTCATGTGCTCGAGAAGAGAAAAAGAGGTAAAATTGTTATTTTCTATTTTATTTTATCATAAATCCTACAAAGAAATTGATTCTTTTCTCATTTATAATCTTTTGAGGAATATCATTCCAGGACGCAAAAATGTTCTTTTTTTTTAGAGAATTTTCATTCACAAAGTGTTCACACAAAATATATAGTCAAAAAAAAATGTGGTGAGAAGAGACGGATTGCAGAGTATTATAAATTTTTTTCTTCATCTCTGGAATATCTAATCTGTGCACATTTGAGATTCTCACTAAGATCTCTTCGTGATTGTCTTTTTTTCACATTGGTTGTAAGAAAAAACCGTTGAATCAACAGAAATCATAAAATTGTCAGCAGTTCTTCCAAAAAACGTAAACTCTACAAATATGCCATGGCGATAAAGCTATAATCTAGCACGTGTTCTTCACTACTGCAGGGCAGGAAAAGAAAACAGGGGAGGAAAAGGGGGAGAAAGTATTGAAAATATGGCTAATTGTCATCCTTAAATTATACATTCAATGGGTTTTTTCTACACATTTTGTCTTTTTTGTCACAATTATATACTTTCCTCAGCTAAATTCCTAACTCAAATCGCGGCATCAATACTACAAAATAATAATAATAATAATAATAATTCTGCCTTGTGTGTTTTTGTGTTTATCTGTGTAACTTTTGGAGATTCGTGATTTGATGCTATCTCGCGTTGCGACAGTTTTGTAATTAAATTATTTTAAATTCTTTAAATTAGAAAAAAAGAAGAGATTCTCTCAGCAGAACACGGAAGGTGTTAATCGATCATCAATTCAAAGTGAACCGATCCTATTCTCTCCTTTCGGTCGTGATGAATATTCGCGGCCCAGGCTTTGCACTCGATGTTGATGATGATGCCACCTGAAAGACAAGAATCGCGATTAGTCAAATGGCAGCTTTTCTTAGGCTACAGAGCGTGCTTTCTTCACTGCAAGACTTACGGACTGGACGAACGAAGTGCACAGCAACGAGTGGACTCAAGTATCCTTCGGAGTTTTCGTACGGATAGAAGTATCCTGGGAATCCCTGACGAGGATAATACCGCACTGGCCCAACATTCTCAATATCAGCGGGATTTTCGCCCTCGCAAGACACCCAAATCGTATTCAGCTGCAATTAAGGAGGCGAATTACTCAACATTTCACCAAGAAATTACATCAATTTCATACGGTGTGAGGCGTCTTGACCTCCTCCTCCTGGATGAGGTCCCTGAGCTGCTGTGGCATGCCGCCGGGCAGTCGGCGAGAGTCATTGAAGTACTCAGGAATCCATCCGTAGATCTTGTTGAGCTTCAGGAAGACGCACGGCGAGCTCTTGTGGTAGTTGTAGTTGTTCTCCTGCGTGCACGGCGTCCAGCTCTTGATCTCCACATCGCAGACCTGGCCGGGAGGCGGTGGGCGCTGGTAGTCGCAGTTGTAGATGTTCTGGCCGCGTCCAGGTGTGAGACCGGGTGTTTTGTACACTGCGAAAATTGGCGCGCACAGAAGGCGCGAATCTCAGTGAATCATGTCCTCAAATAGAATTCCCCTCAAAGTCACCCATAAAAAGTACCGTGGAGGCAAAATGTGTGGCAAGAGAGCGCGATAATTGAGTGATAAAATGGAGCAATTAAGCCATTGTACAAGGATTTTCTATTTCAAGCAAAAAATATCACGTAAATTTCAATGCAGATTGAGAACAGATCGTGAGACAATTTCCACCCCAAAACGATTATTAATAGCGAAGTGTTTTGCATTATTATATAATTTGGATGATATATATCTCAGAGTAGAGCTGGTTGTTTTTCTTTTGTGGCGAAAATAGAAGATGCATCTCGGCTTGGCTGATGTGCTCAATTGCTCTATCATGTGCACGCATTGGCCATTAATTTACCTGCCAGGAAGTCATTGAGGGCCTCCGTCCACAGCTTGTAGTTGTCATAGTCGGTGCCTTTGTACCAGATCAGCGTGCTCTCCACATTCTCCTCGGGCGGCAGCGGCCTGAAGCCCAGACCTGCAATGGAAATTCGCCCCGATTATTTATCTTGATGATGAAAATCGCCAATCATTCATGCACAATTGCATTTACTCTGACCCAATTGCACCTCAAACACACTCCAAAGTTAATCAATTGTGTCACACAAATCAATAGAGTCAACTATTATTAATTCTATTATCAGTCGCGCGTCCACTTCAGGCGCACCTGGATTTGTCCCAATCAGAGATTTGTCCATTTTCCACTTTGGTATGCGAGGATCGAGTGTCTGGAAGAAGACCCACATGCAAATCGCCACGAGAGCCGCCAGAACGCCATAGAAGATCGTGTAGAAGATGCCGATTTTGACTGAAAAGAATATGTAAACATTTTGAAGATTATTATCAACTGCAGTGACTTTTGCGCGTGCTAAATTTAAATTAAATGCGCGCAACCTTTTGAATTAATTTCACTCATTCATACATTGAGATTTTGTGTGTTTCAAGTCGGAAAAGTAATATTGCGAGCGCATTCTTGTGTCGCGCTCACAAAAGTCATTTTTTCACTTTGCACAATCTGTGTCAAGTTTATTTAATTTCCATTTAAATGCGGTCTCACAATGCAATTTTCCCGCATTTATTGACTAATTAATGTATAGCTAAATCACGTTCGAACTTTCTGTGAAGGTGACAAATATCGAGAAATGCAGAATTGCTGTTCTTTCAGCACTCTTAACGAGAAGATTTCTCACATATTTTTCTCGTTTTTGCAAATTGATAATAAAAATAGTTTAAAAGAATTTAAAATGAACTTCAGAATTCCTTAAATTCACACGTTTTTACATTTACTATTGACTACTTTAACTGTTGGCGTTTTCTTGACGAAGAAAGTGTAAATTTAACTAGATTAGAGTTTTTTTTTTAATGAACAGGTAAATTTTTACAGCAAAATTTAAGGATTTTCATGTCCTGATTAGCCCACTTTCCCCTATTCACGGGCTAGCATTTCTCAAGAAAGATAAAATACGGAGAAATCCATGGGACTCTTCCTCAGCTCGAGACTCTCACTGCGATTGCCTGAGTTCAAAGAGCTAATGCAATAGAGAGAGTGTGAGTGGCTCTGTCGTCTTAATTAATTGTTATTGAATGAGTCAGATGGGGTCTTCTTGCTGGTGCGATGAATTTCTTCGAGCGAAAACAGTTTGAATGGCAGGAAACCTGTCGACTGTCGCCCGACGCAGCACAAAGTTGTCTCGTTTGGCGCCAGAACGAGATGAGCGGTTGTGCGTGTACCTGGACAGGTAGCGTGCGAGAGGGAGAGAATGGGCAGGTATGGGGACACACCTGTGCGGAACAATAGGGAAGGAGAGCGAGAGGTCTCGCCGGAGACGAAAAGTTCCATTGATGCATCTCGGCGAGGCGCAATGTGCAATTTTGGCCAAATGTGTGACGAGCTGGCTAAAAATATTGCACATTAGCCAACAGAATGATGCCGCCAGTGGGCTTATAATCATAGGAGAAATGTATTTAGGAAATTATTGTGTGGCCTAAAATTAGCCACACGAAAAGTGTCACGATGTGTCGACAAAATAATGCCAACGTACACACAATTCTGCCAGCGCAAGTGCCTTCTCCTATGATTCACTCCACGAGCACACAACTCCTGGTCGCCTCGGCGGGGGGATCGTGTCCAGAGGGGCACTGGAAAGCGGGAAGTTGGCAGTGTTTTCCCGCACAGAATTTCCACAGCCAGTGTGAGTGCGAGCGAGACGACTGGAGGAGATCTCCAGATGGGCAGGGCACATCTAACAACAACACGAGCCCCAAAGCTGCGCATGAACTGGACACTTACCCCAAGCGGTGCCGTCGCGCCCCAAAACCGTGCCCTTCTCGCTGTTGTAGACTTGCCGCCAGGCGCTCGTGGGCGGCGGTCTCCGCCTCACGTAGAAGGGATCCTCCATCTCCATCTGGGGCAGACCGCCGTGCACTTTGGACATGTTGTCTGGCTCGCAGGCTGTCTCGTGGGGGCAACTCTGGGGGACTTTGGAGCCCGGGAAGACGCGCGCGCGCGACTGGGTGACCTCTAGGGCTGCTTCGCGCCTCTAACTCACGGAAGACACTGGCGAGGAGTGAGGAATTTCGCGACCACCAGAGAAGTGGTGTGAAACTCGCGTCAGTGACTGGGAGAGTCCATCCAGCACACTCGAGAGCCCAGCAAAACTGCCCAACTTCACCTCACGGATCTCACGGATTATGTAAGGAGCGCGCCTAATTATAATTTAGGGGATTAAGAGCGCTTAGAGGTCCCACAGGAGAAACTATTCCGACCCGAATGTCGATCATCGAGACACTGATCGCAACTCCCAAGCCATAGTTTGCTTGGGAAGACTCATACCGTGTATGTGCATGTATTCTGGCGTGCCACGCCGCCAGAAAGACGCACCAACACCGTCACAGCGGCGAAGGGGCCGCGCGCCCTCCCTTCGAGAGCCTCCAGCCGGGTGGAAAACACGTGGAAAAGCGAGTGGCCGCGGAGAAAGTCATTGACTCAGGCCCGGAGTTTCCCTGACTTCAGCCCCAAGTATTTTGGGGTGCCTCGGTGAAGTGTCTCTCTCTGAACTTTCACCTTTCGTCCCCTTGCGTGACCGCGCGCAGAGGGCGGAATTTGGCTGAAAGTTTGGTAACTTTCGAAATATTTCCCACCGAAAGGCAGTCAAATGCACGTGAAGAGCAAGACAGAAGTTGATGAACTATTAGACTGCAAATAACTGCAAGCTCTGGGAAAAACCACATAAATAATTTGTATTTTTTCTTGGAAAACTAGAAGACAATGAATTAATAGTTATTTTGAATAAATTGCTGGATTTTCTATGCCAAAGACATCAGCAAATGTAATGAATATGCATAAAAACTCATCCTAAGAACCTAATCAGACTTGAAGTATTTAATTCATTCACTTGAACGGCTAGAATGTGTCAAACGCTGTAATATTCTTATTTCTGCCCTTTCTTCGAATTCCAACACTTTCTTACCTCTGTGAGCGCTTTCACTCAAGCTTGCACAGAAATTTTCACAATTTCTGTTGTGAAATTTTCATTTCCTAATCATAACTATAATAGTTTGTCTGTATTAAGCGCGCATATTGTAATATCTGTCCACATGGTTTCAAGTTAATAGTTGTGTGAGGGTTTTGTGGTGTTGTTTGTGCTTCTTGGACACTGTCATTCTACATTTCCCCACCATGAACAACACTTTGGCTCTCTCTCAGAATGATTTCAGGAGACTTCAGCTTGAGAAGCGCGGCGAAGCAAGAAATTCCTCTACATATGTTGTTATTCAAACACAGTCAATGCTTTGTCTCCACATTACACTTCATTCACATCCATTAGCATGTGAGTTTATGCTTGTGTGCAGATTTGCAGAAGATGACGAAATTCAAGCTAATTTGAATATGCAAAATTTGCAAAATCAAATGCGAACCACTTTAAGATGCGAGCGAAACTTAAGGAAGTCCCCTCAATTTTGGTTGTTGTCCCTCCAACAAAGGGTGCGGACACAACGCCAGAAGGGTTGGCAAACAAAGGTGTGCCTCAATATATTGTAATTAAATACGGAGTGGAAGGAGAGAGGCAGAAGAAATCCATTCATACTTATTCGGCCACCTTTTCTTCGCAGTGTAGCGAAAACCATTCAAATGATCGCGTTCAGAGGTTGAGTCGTGTCTCGGCTAGAGTGTCTCGGCCTGAATTCTACACTTCAAGTCACTAAAATTGGTACATTTGCACTGGAGAGTTTTGGAGGAAAAAATGCCAAAGACGAAACATTCAATTTTTCAGATGCGTTATCATTATTTTGTTGTATGCTTGAGAATATTCCCGAGTTGTTACGTAAAGAGAATTGCTAATAGAGTTTTATGTTCCATTTCTTTGAATGAATCTCAAGGTCTCTCAAATCTACTGATAAGGAGATGAAAATCTGCTTCGCTACTCACTCCAGCTCGATCCTGTGCGTCCGAAAACGGACTTCTTCTTGGGATTGTAGATGAACTTGACGAAGGACTCCTTCTTGGTTCTCTGCACGGGTTTTCTGTAGTACTGCTGGAAAGCATCGATGGAGTCATCGGCGTCCGTGGGCATCTTGCTGCCTTGGTTATCCTTTAGGGAATCACTGGGATAATCACGCTTGTTCACTGGGAGTGCAGAGACTGAACTGTTTCACTGGGGCAGCGCTGGAGATTTAATCCGTTCGCGACGGAGTGTCTCAATTGACTGATCTCATAATCCCTCAGTCGCGGATCGTGTGGGGCTCAATCACTAAATGGGGACTTAATGAGTGGCAATTTAGCGGAGTAAGATTTCAATATACACCAGGAGGTCTCGCGGTCAGCTCAAAGGCCAGCACCGAAGGCTGAATTGTCCCTTTGCCATCCGCCTCAGGACACACAGCTCAGTCCTCTTGAGGACACCCAGAATTGCCTCAATCCCGGCCTGTTGTCTGTGTCCATGTGACAATGAGACCGATTTTCTGATTGAATCTCATTGCAATTGTTCTACTTTAATGTGTCTCTGGAGAGGCAATTTCCGGCACCGTTTTGTTCTGCCCATTCCGACCATTCTGGCCACTGCATCTCTCACTCTCAGTTCCTGGTGTGGCACCTGAGCCCATTCAAGGCCCGATGGCCAATTCATTGATCAGCGCGCACTGCAAAATTCAGACCTCGCGACTCGCAAAGGGGGAGATAGTGTGGCTGAACTAGTTGCTGGACATCTTAGGAGAATTTTAGGGAAAAATCTGCTTTTTAATCAAAGAGTTAGTCTTTTTATTTGCTACATTGAGTCTATGAGACTTCAAAAATAGGTCAGAAAGCTTTGAAAATAGTTATTTTTCAAATTTGAATTACGTTTTTGTGGTTATGATTGCGTTTATCTGTATTTTTCATCTCTTTAAGATTGATTATAGCAATTTTCATGGTGCGCAAATGCTAAATTCTTCTTGTACACAAGAATATTTTAGGTTTTGAGGGTACAAATTAATTACAAATTCATCGCGTAACCTAGAAAAATGTTATGATTATTTATTTGATTAGTTTTTCTTGCGAAAAATGAGAAAAAGCCTTTGAGAAGTGACACAATTGGTACAAAAACGAGCTAACAAGAGCTTACACCACTTCTAGGAACAATATCTCCCCCTTGGCGACTCGTCATGTGATCCAATTGAGAGCCGAGCGTGGCCAAGCAAAAGGCAGTCGCGTATAAATTTTCGTGGTCGTAGGTTGAACGGAAATTACCTATTGAAAGCTGTGGCTCGCATTATGAGTGACATCCTGCATCTCGCGCTCATCACGCTCTGTCTTGACACACATTCGGGTGCGAGGGAGATGGCACACGTTCTCCAGGAGCTCCGCATGCAAATTCGTGACCGTGGAGCGCTGCTGGTGAGCCAAAATCCGCCCCGGAGACTCGCGGGAGGTTCGCACTCCAGTGCTTGGCGGTGTGCAATTGGCGAGGCGCGCGGAAAAATTCACCACAAACGGAAGTCATCATGTCTCAAGTGTGTGTTCTGTATCAGAATTTGAGCAATAAATTAGCTCTAATGAATCACACTCGCGACATCCAAATCACTCTCGCGAGAGTCTTTTATGATTGTTGCTGTCGAGAAGATCGCGAGGAAAAGTCCTTGTTTTTGGGAGTGAAAATCCCTTTTTTGGCAAAATGAAATGGATAGAAAAATGAGTTGAAAAATAAATAACAGTATATTATTTTTTTCATAATGTTAATGAGTGCTTGTATAATTTATTTACAGTAATTGTCATTTTATACTGTTTTTTTTATCTGCATTCTATTTGATATATACTTAATACCTTTATTTCTATAATTGTGAATAATTTTGGTAAAATATTTTCCATATCAACTGTTTGAAGGACATTTTATGGCCTTTCTCACAATTTCTCACTTCCATTGTCTCAGCCAAAAAGATGGGGGAGGAAAATAGTTTTAAGGGAAAAATCAGTCGACTTTTAATTTATACTTCACGCATCCTTTCGTCACATGCATCAATATATATATAAGGATATCTTTTCAAGAAGTTACACATCTTCCAATATTTCACGTTCCGGAGTGTTATTTTCAAATAGATTTGTAGTGATTTTGTGGCAATTGTTATCATCTATTCTGGGGATTTGTAGAGTGCTTAAAGATTACACATTTTTTTTGTAATTTGGATTCTCACCTTCTCCGCAGTTCATTCAACAAGTACTTATATTTCACTACTTTTTGTCACTTTTACAGATATCAACGTGATTGCTGTTACACCGCCTCGCCATAATCTTACGTTAGTACATCATTAGTGATAGAAGGAAAGCTTCATTGCAATTAATCGATCTCCTCTTCCGGAGTCACTCTTGTGGGAGTGGGAAAGAGATGAGCTACAACTAGAGAGTCCGTCTGTAAAAAAGTCTACACCTTCTGTCAATTGAAATATAACACACTTTTCCACTGTCTAAACCCTTAGGATCGTCCAATTTTTGGCCTAACTACACTCCAAATACTCCATCTTACGCTACAAGAACTACTTCTGGGGAGATTTTCGTATCATCGCTAAACTCCTAAATGATTCTCTTATGTACAATATCTTCACTCACACTCTTCAACGGGCTTTTATCATTTACTTTATTCATCAAATTGTTTGCATATCTATCGAATTGAATTAATTAATCTTGACAGAATAAAAATCGATTTAACTTCCTGCTGAGCACGCAATTTTTCTTCATCTCCAAATTGTACATAAATTTCGGTCTGTCAGTAAAATCATTGCAATTCGCGGAGGGAGAAAAATGGAATTATATATACTCTGTCTCTGCTGAAGGGGAGGATTTTGTGCGTTGAGGGGGAAGAAGATTATAATAGAGAGTGCGAATCGAAATAAAGAGAAACCTAAATCGATATTGCTTTATGTCACAATCCTTTCCACAAAATTGAGATTGATTTTGATTAATATTTACAAATATTCAATAGATGCTTTGTGTTGTGTGTGTTTTGTGTCCATATTTCATTATAACTTATCCTACAATTTCTAAGAAATATCTCTTACTGATTCATTTTCTTCTCACACTTGTTCAGGAAATAAACTTTCACAATCTATAGAGATATGATTTTCTTTTATACACATTCTGACCAAATTTCATGCGCGCCTCTTTTTCTCCAAGATCTCAAGCACACAGCCGCAATTTTCTCTCTTCTTCTTCTGGTGCCCTAAAAATGCACTTTCTGGCCAGAGCATTCAACGATCACTCCTCTGCCTTTGGCTGGCTCTTCCTCCTTGTCCTTAGTGGAAGATGTTGAAGCTGCAGGTCTTGCAGCACTGCTGCTGGAATCGGTGCAGACGACACAGTCCCATGCCTCGGGCGTTCTTGCAGTACTTGGAAGTGTCCCTGCACTCAGTATCTGCACAGAGAAGCACAAATGTACAATTAGACAGTGTTCTCTCCGGCGGCCAGGAAATTGTGGGCTGTGATTTGCGACCAGAGAGTCCTCACTTGTGTAAATTTTGGCACGCTCGTGAGCTGTGCACATAATTTGGTTGATCATCCCAGCCAGGATCTCACACTCGCGAGGCTCAGCATGATGTGAATGGCAAGTATGTGAATGGGGCAATTAAGGTAAAGAGATAATTTACTGTTTGCAATGCACGCCGCTGCCCGGCAAATCCTCATCACCGTGGGACGAGGTTGGTCCTTGCACGCGTCGCCGGCCGGCCGCTTCGTGCCTCGCCACACACACCTCAGGATGCGATACCGCAGACCCTGAGTGCCGCACAGGGCGTTGCACTGCGGAGAGGCGAAGAGGGCGGGGATTAGTTGCATTCGCTGCCAAGGAGTGCTAATTGCTCCTGATTCGCAATTTACTGTGCGCAGAATTCTCGTCTGGTATTTCTAGTATTTCTAATCTACTCCTTATCTGCACGAGCAGAGGATTTACTCATCCTTCAACTGCTCTAAAAGTTCTGTTCTGCTTTGCATGCAGTTTAAGTCAGTATTTTCTCAAGAAAATGTCAGCAGAATATTAATTCAGTCTGTATATTTTGTTAAAGACACTTCAGTTTTCGGTCAAAATTAAATTAAGACTGTTTTAATTACTTAAAACTACTGGAAAAGACTCTTTTCTACATAAACTTTACTATTCTCAACTTACTGATCAAAATATTTTTTTAAGCTCTGTAAAAATCATTATTAAATTTTACTTTGTTCAGCATAAAAGTGATAAATATGGCTGTTCATTAAAAAATGATTGAAATATTTGAATTTATTAACTGTGCAATGGAAATTTATATTAAAAATCGAGTTATTGCTCAGAAATTCCCAATATTTTACAATTGTGACAACTTTTGAGAGTGCATGCAAATAAATTCTGCGATCTTCTGGAGGGACAACACGTCAGGTCTGCTCACCTCTGACCACGGGTCGACCTTCCACACGCCGTGGCAGTCTTCGCTGTAGCACTCCTGCTTCGACACTGGTCGCTCGGCGGCCGTGCATTTGCTGGCAGACGTCCTGATGCCGCTGATTTCGCATGTGACACGTCTCCTCTGGATGGCAGTGTGCCAGCTGAAGCACTTGGAGGCATTGCACGGACTCCACTCCCCGGCGACCCACTTTGGGCAGTCAATGGCGCCACACTTCTGCACGCCTTCCGGCATCCGCAATCCGGCGTCCTCGCACAGGGCGCTATCCACGGTCTGGCTGGCATTCCCCAGGACCACCATGCACTGCACGGTGCGGGTCTGCAAGGACATTACCATGGCTTATTACTGCGCCGCAGACAACTTCTCATATTTGCATCGCCAGTAATGCCACTGAACTCCAGTAATCCTCGCACCATTTCTCACAAATATAAATCAATTCGCTCGGGCGGAGCACTTTTTCCACCCAGATTCCATTTTATGATCAAACAGACAATTTAGGGAATTGAAAATGTTCGCTGACAAAATTCTCTGAAACTCTTTCTCTCAATGTGTGAGTGATATGCAGTGAGATTGCAGTCTCAGCATTAATTGTTATTGCAAATTCTATGTCATGTCATGTGGAAGAATTCTCTGCTCTGACTTCAATGACTGTCTGAGAGATTATATTGCATAAAGTGATATTTGCCGGCATGACAGAATGTATCCTTTCTGGTTATGACAATTCAATTTGGCAAAACATATATAATCTTTAGTGATGCAACATGTGGAGATAAATGAGATGTCAATGTGAATAATTCATTTCTGATACACAATCTCTCCGGAATTAATGTGCCTAAACGTCTCGATGTTGTGCTTGAGCAATTTGCACCCCTCAACCCCTCATTGCGACCTGATAATTTGCCTCAATTATGCACTCTCTAGACTCACCTTTATGCCGAAGCCATTGCCGCACGATTGCGAACAGTCGGACCATGGCGATGATGACCACTTGAAGTGCAAATTGGTCGGCGAGCCGTGTCCCAAAACCACCGCCTCTGAGCTGTTGGTGTCGCCGAAGAACTCGGCGGCTGTGATGTGGCGATGCGGCGCCTCGTCGTTCAGAACTTCCCCTTGGCCGCTCTGGAGGGCATTCAAGTGGTGGCGAAAGTTGGCGTTCGGCTGGATGAGCGCTTGTTGCTGCGGTGCGTCCACGCCCATGTCCAAGTCCGGGAAATACTGGCCGTTCCTCATGAGCATATCGTGTCCCTTCGAGTGACTGAAGCTCTGAAATGGCCACAACAGCTGCAAATCCAATTATTGCGGCGATTCTCAGTGACAAATCCGATGTGGAAATTTCACTTAATTGCTAAGCACAGAAGCTGGTTAAATTTTAGCGCGATTTTGTACTGCAAAGCAAGAGAATGTCGCAATGATCAAATCAGCCCTGAAGAGACTGTGAAAATAGGTAAAACTTATGCTCTTCAGCGGCATTATTTTGAAGGGTGTTTTTTTTTGGCAAAAAACTCATGCAACTTATAAATTATTCTCTTGCTTTTTCCACCGAAAATGTTATGAAAGACTGTGTGCTGGAAAGTCAGGTATTATGCTTTTCACGGGGAAAGCACATTACAAAAGCTCATGGAAAAGCAGGAAAATATAATACTGAAAATTAAACTCCTTCTGAAAGCGTGTGTTTGTTGTGTGTGTTGCAAAGCTACAGAATACAATCTCAGAGAAATAACAACTTAACAAAACGAGAATTTTCACACAAAACAAAAACTAAAGTAGCGCACAAAACAGAAAAAAAACTGTGTGTATATTTCTTGAGTATTGAAATGTTAATAAATTGCAGTGAAATAATTACCTATTAAGTGTCCACAAGTGTGTGATTAGAGTGATTTTGTTTGCGTGTCATTAGGAAGCGAGACAGAGAAGAGAGAAAAGAGTGGAGCGCAAATAAATCTGTTCTGAACTGATTTTCTTTTCACAAAAAAATAATGATTATATGATGAATTAAAATAGGGAAGGAAACTTTTCAATTGCATTCCTTCTCGCGCCGAAGGAGAAATTCACGAGACTGCAAAGAGTTTCAGCTCAACATGGAATGTGTGATGGGAAAAATCGAAAACTTGCGCTACACAGCATAAAGTCTTGTAGAACTTTTCACTGTGCAGCACTCAAACATTCCATAACGCGCAGTGAGTGGGAAAAAAAGCATCCCGGCAAGTTTTCAATATATTTATGAGTGCGAGTCTCTTCGAGTTGCTCTCCTTTTTTCATCCTCCCTGGGCTGTGATATATAATTTTTCAATTAAATTATATCCAGCGAGATGGAGAGAGAAAGTTAGTGAACTTGCGGTGCACAGGAACAAAACATCGCGCGCGCGGCACTAATATGAAAATGTTGATAGAATTATATTTGCTGAATTGGAGAAAAAAACTGCACATAAATCACAATAAATAGAGAAATATTGTGCTACAAAGGAGAGATAGAGAGTGTGTGTATAAAATCACTGTTTGTGGTTGTTCTTATTGTGTGTTTTATGGCGGAGGAAAAATATAAATTCAATGAAAAGCCATAAACACCAATATAAAATGTGGGATGTTGGAAAATTGACACAAGGGGTGGGAAACTATGTGGAAAAATTATATTTGCCTCCTCTCTTCCTATTCGCAATATATATATAACTGTGTGTGAAGGGCGCGTGTGAAGGGGTTTTTATTGTCGCGAAAAAAAGAGTCAATAAAAGTTGTGGGAAATCCGTGATTTATGCATAATGCTGACAGAATAAAAAATGTTATATATTCTCTTTGCAAAATATTGCATGCTCTCAGTATTGGGAAAATACTGCGTGAATATTGAAGATCTTTGTGTGGTCTCACGGAGTCTTGTGTGTTTGTGTGCAAACGCTAAACTTGTCCATCTCACCTGAAGACTGGCCAGGAGGTGCTTAAAGTGTGGTAGAGGGATTGCTCTTGAACCAGAACTAGCTGCAGAGTTTGTGGTCAAATCTGAAGCGGTCAGTTGTGAGCGAGATCTAAAAGGCTCCTACAGAGAAATATTAATAGCCATTGTAGAATTAATGAATTAATAAAGGCAAACGCTTAGCATTTTCCCCGCACTGAAGGACTTTGAACCGCGCCTGTTAAAGGTCAAACACTGGCGAGGAATAAGGACTGTGCGCGGGGAAAGTGAGACTGAACTTCAACCCTTTCTGAGTGTGGATTTGTCCAATTTTCCCCCGAATGCAGTCCTTATTCGTCAGTCGGCCGTCAAAAGTTCAGACTCTTCCGCTGTTTAAGGGAGTTAGAAGGAAAATGCCAAGAAGTTCGGGTACAAAGGAAAAAGGGGGGGTTGAATGTTAGTTTTCGTGTGAAGCAAGGAGGTGGAAAGCGAATCTGGATGTCCCAGGAGAATGAGGGAAATCTCTCAGCAGCTAAAGTGTTTTAGGAGCAAAAGTTGTCGAATAATTATTCATTAAAATAATTATGATAATTAAATGTAAAACAAGATTTCTGCCATGGGGGCTGAAATCCTCTCCAGTTTCTCACTCATCCATTTTACACATTACAATTTAACTTTGTTGCCTCTCTCACTACATCCAGCGGCACATTATCTCACTCTATCTCACCCACTTCGCCCCAACTTCTCAAGGGGCTCTATTGCGCCATTTGCATTTAAGCTCCTCCCGAGCATCCTCATCTCACCTCCGCTGGTGGCGAAGAGGGTGAGCTTCTAATTAGAGATGACTATAGTCAAGCCCATCTTGTGCATTTGGATTCCAGCCCCCGGAAAAGTGTGTGAGTGAGTGAGTGTGTGTGTGGTAATAATTGAATATGGAGCCCAAAAGAAGGTTTCCCTGGTGAGTGAGTTCTTTTCCTCCTCGTCCAAATGCCATTTAGTGCTACGGTAATTACCTCAGACTCGTCGTCTTCGTGGTCCTCCCCCAAGACACCGGCGGAGCTGATTTTGTGCCTATTTCCGCCCTTGTGCGAATCACGCGATTTCCCCCTAGAACTGTAAAGTCAATTTAATAATTAATGGTGTAACGTGCTAAATTTTTCACACCCAAGTGTGAGTGAGAGAGATGCGTCGAAGGGGAAATCAGAAAATATTCCTGTTTTTCCACCCTCGGGACGGCCCGGGGTGACATCTCGCCGGAGGGAATGTGCGGCAGCTTAAATAATTTATCGCGACAGGTAGGATCGTATATATGTGAAAAAATAGCTCCATCCCCTCCAGGAAAACCCTCACTCAAACCTCAGCGCGGCTGCATCGTGAAATATTCACGAGCAGATTCGCCCAGGAGCCGTGACAAGTGGGTAAAGAGAGGGTTGTTGAGACGTCGTCCCCAGGCAATCACCACAGGTGGATTTTAAAGTGTCTGCACTCACTTCTGATCTCGAGATCGTGCCTCGGAGGAGCCTAAAAAAGTCGATTGCTGTATATCTGGATTACTGTGAGTCCTCAGCGCCTTCAGTTCTGCGAATGGAAGAGATATTTGGATGCAATTTGCCTCAATATGCTCAATTTCTGAGTCAATATTGCCTAAGATAAATGTCTCACAGACCAAGGAGGAGATATTGTGGCCAGAAGTTTGGCAGAAGTATCAATTTTCTCACATATTATTACATTTTGAAGGATTTTTCCCACCAATTGTGATTGATGGTGTACACATTTTAGCCATATTATCTCTCCCCCTTGTCACAGACGCCAATTGCTTGTTTGGTGACAAATATTCAACTCGTGCAACTCACCAACATCCTCTCTGTACTTCTCGTATTCCTCTTGGGAGGGAAAATCTCCCGGTTTGGGCTTCACTGTGAGCTTCAAGTCAGCCGAGCTGAGACTGGCGTGGCAAGTGTAGATGCCAGTATCACGATATGACACGTGAACTATCCGAAGAGCGCCCTTCTGGGAGATTTTGAACTTCCTCGTCTTCGTGAGGAAGACATTGTCTTTGCTCCATCGGATTCGCGTGCGATTGAATCTGCTGAGGAGAGTGACAATGCAGAGACGTTATCAAAGAACATTCTTTGCCATTTGACTGGGAAAATTGCATGAATTGAATTGTCATTAACCAAAGTTATTCCATTAAATTCACTCCTTGAACATTTCGCACACAATTCTTAAATGACGCTTAATGAGATTTCACGTGAAACATGAGGAAAATGAGATCGTTCTGCATGCACATTTCCAAAGAGTGCTGCAGCGCAAGGTGAACGCTTGTGAGTGGAAAAACGAGGGAAAATTGCAAAAGTTTTCCAGTCGGAGGTATTTTCAGAATTTACTGCAATTGGCTTAGAAATGCGAGTATTTATAATGAATGCGTTTCCATTAAATAGAATTGTTTCCAGTGCATATAGTTGGAGAAAGAATGGAGTGCATTTTCTAAATAACTTCCTCATCCGCGAATTGCACAACTTTCCACTCAGACTAATTATTATTTTAAGCGCAACACTCAAAGTATTTCGCATTGAGTGAAAGTGTGAATTACCTCTTGACCGGGCACTTAATCTTGATCTGCGTCCCGAAGAACACCGTGGCCGCGCCGCCAACCTTGAGAGTGACCTTCTGGCGCTTCACATCGTGCTGAATGTACGTGCTGTTGTTCACCGCAATCTGTGGCCTCTGGTCCTCCGGGGCGCACGCCTTCGTGTTGCACGGCTTCCTGTCCGGCGGCTTGGCGCTGGGACACATGGACACCGGTCGCTCCACCTTGTGCTCCTGTGCCATGATCTGCTTGCACTCCACGCGACGCTCCTTCGCACCTCCGCCGCAGGGCCTGTCGTGGGAAAAGAGAGGAAGAAAGAACACAGGAAAAAGTTGGCGAGTGTAATTTCACGGCTGGAGCGTTGTGGGGCACAAAATTAACGTTCAGCATGAGCTCCATCACTGAAATGCCACAAATCCCCGGAGAAGCGATAAAACTGGGAGAAAGAATCTCAAGTGTAAAACTTGTGGGATTTCGCTCTGCATTTCAAATGGCACGTAAATGAATTACCAGGAGGAAAAATCTCATTAAGTGTACATCCCCACAACAATCAGGGCGGGAGCACACTCTCTTGATTCCTCCCCGATGAGAGGCAATGATGGCGAATTGACTGCCACTATGGCAATTATTGGACTCTCTTCCCTCCGAATGCTTCGCTTAAGGGGGAGACATTGCAGTATGAGGAGGAATTCGTACTCACTTGGAACACTTGCTCCACTCGGAGACTTCCCACCTCACCGGACAGTCCAGCACATTGCAGTACTGGCGGTCGCTGGGCGGCGGCTGAGGACACATGTTGTTGGGCACAATCATGATGTTCTCCGGCCCACGAGCCACTTCGTGGATGCACTGCACCTCACGCGTGCGGATGCCGATGCCGCAGGACTTGGAGCACGCGGAGTATTCGGAGTAGTTCCACCGCGGCGGACACTGGTGATCGTTGCAGGGACGCGATCTGGGCTCGGGCTTCGTGTCCTGCGGACAGAAGAACGGCGACGCCACTTTGCCCGTGTCATCGCGCACGCAGTTAATGATCAGCTCCTCCACGCCGCCCAAGCACGAGGCGCTGCACGGCGTGTATCCCTGCTCACGCCACGAGTACGTCTTTCCCGGCACCGGCGCCTGAGCCTTGGAGTCCCTGCCAATGGAATGCAATTACTTTGTGGCGTCCCAGCAGATGTGCGCGGATGACATTCAATTAAAACAGGCACTTTAGTCATTTTTGCTCTCTCTCTCTCTGGTGTGCGCCACAAAAGCGACAGAAGCAAATGTTTTATTCAAATATTTGTTGCTCTTTTTGCCTCTCTGTGTCGCGTTGTAATTCAATTAGGAGTACAGAAAAAAGCGCCAAACATTGACTTACTACCATGAGCCTCTGAGAAGAATTTCAAACAGGCCCAGAGCAAATAGAGGAGTTTCATGTTTGCCCAACGCTTCCGATTTAGTAATCCATCGCATAAGTGTGAGCGCTGCTCGCGAAGTGCTCCAAATTTGCAATTTCAGCTGCTGAAGAGCATCACGGAACCCAATGAGATTGATTTGCACTATGTTTTTGCTTGACGATGATAAATTCTTCATCATTCACTTCAATTTAATTGCTATATTTCGTCACGTTTGAATCTCCTCAATCGTGTGCAGAATTTAGGTCACTTTTGCCACGTGCGAATATACTCAGCGATGTCAATTTGATAAATATTTATAATGGGAATATTTTAAAAGTCACCAAGACAGAGCTTTCATTTATAAATTCTTTTGATTTAAAAATTCCTTTGAAGGAAAATATAATGATAGCGTCTCTTAAGAGAAATTTATCAAACGCTCGTCTGTTTTCCTCGTAGACATATTTAATGCAAATTGAAGATGGAAGGAGAGTTTTTTATAGTACACTCATGTCTATATGCATGCGACAAAGCTCTTTAGAGTAATTGAATTACCTTTTGCTCGTCAATAGAGCTCAAGGAGTAGAGAATCTATCATGTCGAGAAGCTCAATATATAAAAACCACTCACTTTTAACTCGCAATACTTGTGCTGAATTTATTAGTAAAGCAAGGACTTTTGTCCATTTTTCGTGATAAATTTTATTTAGATATTGTTAGGATCCTGAACAAGTCCTTGGTGGATTGCAATTGTTGTCTGTTCTCATTCATTTCTCAATAACCAGACAATAAAGTGGCACAGTGAGGTGAATAAGAAGTTCTTATCTTGTGAAATCACGGCAAGAGTAATACAAATGGGCGTGGCAATCGAGAGGGCGGGGCTTCCGAAGCTCCTTCTTCGAATGATAAGCATTTCGACTCACCTGGAGTACGACTGATCGTAGCCGTAGAAAGTGGAGCAGGGCTCTAAGTAGCATCGCTCCACTTGATCCGCCGGCTTTGGTCCCGAGCACAGGGAGTCATTGAGGGTGGCCATCGTCCTGGAGAACTCCAGGTAGATCTTGCATCGGTACTGCTTCCTCCGCGTGCCCTCGCCGCACGTCACACTGCACGGGCCCCAGTCGGTGTCCTTGACAAATCTGCAGGAAGAGGAGAGCTTCATTTGCGTGCGGAGGGGCAAAAAAGCCGCCATTGTGAGGATGATGTGGGAAAGAACAGCAAAAATCACTTTTTACGCGGGACACCAGTGCGCGTGGGGTTGGCAAAAAGGGGTGAAGCAGGAAGTTGTTGGTTTTGTAGGGTTATTCAAATCATCAGGACTTTTTTCCACCCGTGTTTTGCCGCGTGCTTAATCCCCCCGCACAATAATGCTGAACTATTGTGGGGCTTTCGGCATGTGTGTTATACCGTGAAATATGTCAAAAGCATATAATGAACCCCCGAAAATGTGTCTCTCTGCGTGTCTCTCAATCAATCCATCCACCGCCCTCAGCACAACTGTTACGGGCTGTTTATTTGCTCTGCCAATACAATCGCGGACGACTTTCTCATTCATCCGCTTTCAAAAATTGACATCATCCACTTCAGACTCACCCGTGGATTGTATTTTATTTATACACCCCTCGATGTTCTGACTCTTCGCCTCGCCAACATCAATTTCAGATTTCATCTGTGGGCATAAATTTTTCCCAACCCACAATAATCACGCGATTGACTGTCGCTGTTCAGCAATCACTCATATTCAACGATTGGGGAGAAGCTGACCACCCGCACTTCCACCCCACAAACTCACATCCCGTGCTTTTACTCGCCCCATTTGATTGTAATGTGAAAAATAGCGAAACTCTGGCGCACTTTGTTCACCCCAAACCGCCCCAATTCGCACGGAGAATCCACGGGAAACCACATGGTGGCCGGAGGTGAAGCAAAAAAACTCGCCACCACGTGGAAAGAAGGTGGAATTGAACTTTCTGTGTTGCACAATTCCACTGAATATTCATTTACTCTCTATCATTCAATCAATTTCCACGGCGAGCTTTTCCCCGCACCGCGCGCCAAACGTTTTGCTGGTGGTTTTGTGGAATAAATGCAAATGTGGGATATTTTGCCACTTGAAATAATTGAAAAATGAAATGTGCGCGCTCTCCAACAAAAAACAGAGCCACAGAATAATCCATTTCTGTGGTGGTGGGAAAAAAAAATTAATTAATTCAGACAGAAGCGAGTGTTGTGCAGATCTCAATGGTTGTTTCTCGCATTCAGTCTGAACTCCCACCGGATCAACTCCACTATACATCCTAGAGATATTTCATTATTTGCATGCCCTTCACAGATGGGACAGTAATTTTGCGCTCTTTTGCCCACATTGTGAGATTATTGCGGAAAAGTAGGTGAAACTTTGCACAGCTAATATGGACTTTGCTGCAGACAAGGCTCACAAGGCTCACAAGGCTTCTCAATGGGCAAGGATTAAAGAATTTTCGACCTAATCACTCTTTCAGCAGGCTTTTGGGCAACTAAACGATAAAGTCTCTTCTGTACATGGTAAATTCCTTTTATGCATATCAACCTGATTAGCCTCAATTTGGTGGTGGAAAAGCGCTTGCCATTGAAATACACTATAATACAGAAGCTTTGATACGCTAAAAAGACTCTTTGTGTGTGTAATTTGTCTGAAATAAGACAGCTATTCAGTTCGCAAAGGTGGTAATATTTCATCGGCAGATAAGAGCAGTCACGCGGCTGCCCTTATGATTATCCCCTGGCATTCAATCTCGCTGATATGTCGCCTCATTTTGCCTCATTTGCCCCCTGAGGCGTGTCACGAAGTGTGAAAAGTTCAGTGATCACTTACGTGGCTTCGCTGGGCGCGCGTTGATCACTGGCGAGACGTTCGCTGGGATAATCACTCTCGTGGGATGCGTAAGAGTCACGTCGCGAGGTGAGCGCGGCTGTTCTCGGCTCCAGGTAGTACGGCTCATCCGCATGGTGTCCCTCCATGTCGTCCTCCTCCTCCTCCTCCTCGCCGTCCTGCAAGGAGAGAAACGCTAGTATTTTTCTCTTCCGCCTCTCTCTCTCCATGTCTGCCCCACATTGTCAAATGTCTCCCAGCCACGATATCAACTTCCTCCGTGGCCTCACAGGAAATTTCCCTACAACTCCCCCTTATCGCTATCTATACGGCAATTTATCTTGCTGTATTGCAAGTGCTCAATTGATTTGTACACACATATATATGTGGGTGGTTTTTCTAAGGCCGACTCTCTCTCTGCAAAATTATATGTATCTTATCTTAAGGAAAATGTGGAGGAGACTTTTTTGTGCGCGCCTGACAGACGAGGAAAAATATCTGTTTTTCTTGTCATTACCTCTGAGTGTTCTTTGGAACATGAAATACCCGTGGTGCACGTCTGAATGGCAATGGGTTTGTCATTTGGATCACATTGGGTGCTCATTCCACCACTTGTCTCCATGCACTCCACGCTTCTCACTTGAATACCTTTGCCACAGGACACGGAGCACTATAAGATAGGCAATATAGACGATCTTGAAAACACAGAGCATAGCGCAAAGGAGAAGCGAAGGTATGAATGGGGGAAATTTGCGCGGAACACACACACACCTTTCTATCTGGCAACAGCGAAGGATGATTGAGAATGATGGCTCAAAAATATGTTACTTGCGATGGAGAGAGCATAAAGTTTCAAGCGTCAAAATTATATTAATCTCCGAGGCGGACAGAAGTTGTCTGGCGCAAAGCGAGAAGCATCATAAAGTATACAAGCAAAAGACTACAGATTCTGCCAAGAATGATGGTGTGGCGTGTTATGAGAGAGATCTACAGTGAATATTATCAGACACATTCACACCGGTCGTGATGCAAATCCCACTCGATTGAGCGCGCGAGATGTGAATGATTTTCAACGGGGTGAAAGCGCATATTTTCGGAAAAGAGACAGGGCGGAAAAGGGGCGAAAGTCAAAAGCGTGTTTATTTGCGCAGATCTGTGCAAGAAATGCCACTGCAACTGTGAGCTATTTATCGGGGTGACTCAGAGCATCACATTCGTCAACCATGGAACTGTCGGTGCGGTGCAACTTTGTCTAATATGTGCTGAGCAAGTCTGGAGAAGGTATAAGTAAATAAGTTGCGATGCTCCATTTCTGGCGGGAGATCTCTACTTGAAGATTAAACACTAAAACGAAACTTTTCACCCAAAAGCAAATTCATCAAGTGCACACCAGCCATATCCTGAAATTTACCATCTTACCATCAGCATCCTTGGCATCCTCGCGGTTGCCGAGTGTGTATACTAGTTTTGTGGGGGGGTGAAAAGTTGCCCATCGTGTGCAATACAACTTTTCTCTACTAATTACTTTTCTGCTAGAAGTGAAAATGAAATAATTTTTGGTATGGAAAAGTGGGAAAAGTTCACTTTGACGACACAAAGTTTCGAGGTGCATCTCATTGAGTGACACACATTTATCGGGCAGAATCGATGCTGCACTCTTCAAAAAGTCCGTCCAAAATTTAATTACTTCGCCACTTGAAGGAAAAATTTAATTACACCCAAAAGCTCATCACCATCAGAGTGAATTTTCATTAATCTTTTCATCACGATGGAATGTTGCAATTCTGGCTGGAGAGCCAGAAAGTTCAATAGGTGGAAAATTCATTTAAAATCCTCTGCTGGAGGATTTATATGTCCAATTTAGAAACAATTGTGAAAGAAAAATTCCACAAAAGATCGAGCTTAATTGAAGCCAAATACTCTTCGCCCTCAACACTGTTTGACTTCAATTTAGAATCCATCTTAATTAAGCAACGCCGCGCAGAGAACCTCTTGTGGACAGATCACTGGGGAAGAAATTGCGAAAAAGAACACTGTGTTACGCCGAGTCTCTTCCTCGGCAAACACGGCACTTGATTAAAGTCAAATTTTCCCCGTGAGATATTAAATCTCGGCAGAGAATATAATCGCCATGTGATTTTGCATTTACAACTCTCTCTCTCTCGCTCTGTGTTCTTTATTTCACTCCCACCCTTTTGCTTGCGCCTCCCTGAGCGAGGGGCGGAAAATTCCGGGGGAGTTTTAAGCTCCAAATTGTATGTTTTACGGTCAAATTTATGATGGGTGGAAATATTACGCGAAACATACGCCACTTTTATGCTTTTAACAGTGCCTGAAAACACTTCCTGGTTATTCTACACTTCCCAGAAGTCGCACAGCTCCTGATGAGGAAGATATTTCAGAGAATTTGCAATGATCACAGCCAACAGTTTTAACACTCCAACTTCCAGACATTCAGTTGTGTCCCAAAACAACATTTTATAGTGTGTGTTTTAAGTATAATTCTGGCTTTTTAATCCTTCTGGGTGAGTTTAGTGTTGAGAAACACATCTTGCCTATTATAATAATTCGCCAAATTTATAGTGGCAAAGATACACAACAAATTAGCATTATCACTATTGATGTGGAAATATCGAAAAATTATACATTATTGCAAATGTTTTGGTCTTTCTGTTTGCATACGCAAAACTCCTCCTATTTCGTATGATAAACGAAAAGAGGATTCACAGTATCATTTATCTATCGTGTAGTGATTCAAACTGGAAATGTGCCATCATTTTGCTATCAAATGTTTGCAACATTCAACTGACAAATTGTTGCTCAATATGCAGATCACTTTGATAGTGTTTATTCCACATCCATGTTGGCTTTTAGTGTAAATTTTCATAAAATGAAAGCACACCAATAAATTCACAATTATGTCGATGGCGCAGAGAAAGCAGGAAATCTCTTGGCGATGAGAAATCTTTGAAGTTTTGTACTCCCCAAAAATCGACTTCGAGGCACACTTGACTCTGAAAATCAATTTAAATTTAACTCTTGGCATTTGCAGAGCGCTTTCCGCCTAGATTGCACTCCACACACACACGACGTCTAACTTTCACCCCAGGCAGCAATTGATATGTGAGGCAAATCCCCCGGAAAATCCCATCGATATCAATTGGCAATTCAGTGGAAATCTTAAAGCTCTCTCGATGGGATGAATATCAATGCAAATGCGTCTCATGGCGATTGATTGCTGGGGGAATGGCAAGCATGAGGCGAATGCCTGAGAGCATGCGGATGCGTTGGTGAAGCGGAGGACATGCAAGGCTGACGGGACACGGCGACTCACCCCAGACCAGTCGGAGGCCACCCAGTTGGGGCAGTCGTGCACGTTGCAGATCTCCTGGGTGTTGGGCTTGAAGCTGCGACAGTGCTCGTCCGCCACCTTGTTCTTCACGCCCTGGTTCTCCTCCACGCAGATCACGAGGCGATCACGCACGCCGCCGCCGCACGTCTTGCTGCACACGCCCCAGTCGTCCGCCACCCACTTGGGCGGGCACTGGTGCGTGTTGCAGTGGATCACGGCGGGCTCCGGGCGCGTGGCGGCGCTGCACAGAGACTCCTCCACTTCGGCGCCCGTCACGCGGTTGCGACACGTCGGCCGGGCCATCTTGTATCCTGCCGGGAAAAGGCACAAAAGCGAGGGGTGAAAACGAGATTCCTACCGATTCTTTTGAGTTGCAAAACTACAGAAAGATTGGTCAACTTGCAATTTACGCTATTCTTTTAATACTAAGTATTATTTTTCGTTTCTCTGCTAAGTGAATTTTTAAAAGTTAAGCATTGTTCGAACTCACAGAATTGCCACTGTAATTTATTTCTTGCATGAGAATCTCATTAACGAGCTGGCATTAAAACAATTCAAAAGTCCAATTGCCAGAAAGTTCTCCCTCACAAGTTACACTCACGAAACTACCACACATTTTATCAGAGTTCCAAAAGTCAGAATTTGAATTAAAAGCGTCTCGTGAATAGATTTGACTTGTTCACCCACTCTTGGTGATATTGTGAAAAGTTTCTCTGTTTCTCGTTGTGCGGAAAGTGGTGAAAAAACCATAGATTCTCTTTGTGCACATCAAGGATCTATCAGAGTGATTTTAATCACCGGAGTGAGTTTTAATAAAATCTCCGGATTCTTTATCGTGCTTCCTTTTGTCTCCGGAGGTGAAAAAAAAGCTGCATATAAAGAGGAAAAAGTGGAGTGAATAAAAGCGCTCCGACATTGAGCTTTAACATCCCTGCTGGGTGGGAAATTAAAACGTTCCTCCGTGCAGATTAATATGCAGATTAAATATTGTGAGATGCAATTTGTGTGGTGGGCAAAGAGGAGTCTCGGGCGTGCTTTATGGCAGCCGGGGACTTTTTATCGGGCGTCTGGCTGGAGTAAATGCCGGAGTAAATAGGAGATAAAGAGCACCATCACTCCGGACGGATAAGAAGCAGATGAAATGTGTTTTATCCCTCCGCACAAGCGGACCAAATTGCATTTGGCGATGCCATCGCACTCACCTCCGCCGCATGTCGCAGAACAGAGCGACATCGCCGTGGTGTCCCAGTGATAGAGAGGTTGACTGCAGGAGCTCCCATCGCCGCCGCACACCCCGCAGGCGTCCACCTTCTTGTTCGACCCGATTCGCAGGTCACAACCGACACGCTGCAAAAGAGACACTATTATTTACTCCGCCACAATCGGCCATCGGAAATGGTGGCCAAATGATTTGCTTTTCCGAGTGGCTGCTGAGCTCACAAAGGACTTTATGCATTTCAGTCGAAGCGAAGTGTATCAGAAATCTTTCAGTTGCCATTGTTCAGCTCAGCTTTATTCACGGCTTCTGCAGTTTGTGCAATAAGTACCAAGGGGGAGATAGTACGCTCCTAATCTGTACACAACTTCCTAACACTTCCAGCACTTTAAATTTTAGACTGTTTCCACAAAAATTCGAAAATGATATTAATTATCTTAAGGTTTCATGTGATATTTCTGAAAAAATCTACTTAAATCCGCTTTTTTGGGTGTCTTTTCCGACCATAACCTCAAAATTATCAGTAAGAGGTCTTAATAGACTCCAATTTCAAGTTTTCTAGATGATAAAATTGCTCTTTCAGAGTTAAAATCGTGTGGAAAGTGTTCTAAATAAACATTTTCCGAGGCCAAAAGACTATTATTGAGGTTATGTTTTACTTCAACACAATTAGCGGTGTTTTTTGGCATTAAAATGCTTAATTCTGCCAATGATTAGCAATCTTGTTGACTTTAGCATAAGAATTGATGTGCTAGAATGTGACATATTCAGTAAATCCGTCCGTGAAGAAAGATTGTAAGTTTTTAAACACTACCGCTGAGCTGTACACCACTTCTGACTACATTATCTCCCCCTTGGCTTAGACTATTTGCTGGCGTAATTTTCAACACGACTTTTTAACAAATCCAGTTGATGAGCTCACTAACTTGTCACTCGTTGGCTATGATAATGGTAATTGTATCCCGAGTCAGTGTTGCGTGCGGCTGAACCGCAAAATATCTCACCTTTCCTGTGCAATTTAGTAAAATAAATCCGCGCGGATTAGTGAGTCAAGCTCTGAGTTGTATCCCAAGACGCTAAATCAAATTTTATGTCGGCACACCTCCTATTTTAATACACAAATTCACACTAATCCCCCTGAGGTGGCTGAAGAGATTCCCATGAACACCTCCGCAGTGCACATTTTGAGAGAGTTGCGGGTGAATTTATGCTAAATCGAAAATTCACCCTCTGCCAGAGCAGCTTCTGTCTGGTATTTTTGTGCTTCTCCTTTCCCACCTCATTCCTGCGCCACCCTCTTCACCGCCCGACGCGGAGGGTGGCTGGGGGGTGGGAGTGGTGTGGGGATTCTTGTGAATAGGTGTAAAGTTAATTTGTGCTGCGGAAGAGTCACTCAATGGACCAACTTTTTCCGTCTCCGCACGTGAAATTATTAATGTCGTTCTGTGGACTCTTAACACTGGCTGTCTCTCGTCCCTCTTGAGCGTTTTTTGACACATTCCGCAACGCAAAACTTCTTAAGTCCCATGCAGAAGAGCAACTTTCCGTGACAATTCGTCTTGCAACATTTTCTCCCCGTCGCGCGCGCGTCACAGCATAATTGTGTGTCCAATGGAGAATTTTCCTTTTTTGCGCCGTGACATGCTTGGTGGAAAATCAATGCAAAACGGCAAATCGTGGAGGTGGAGAGATAAAAGAGCAGAAAATTTAGCATATTGTAGTACCACTGATACTCTCTCGCACCCCCGCGCAAAAAAACAGCCATGAAATTTGTCCCATCTCCTGAATTATTCCACCCTTGGCGAAATGGTGTATTCACACAATCAACTTTCACCCAGCAAATCCAGTTGAGATTTCTTCCACAGGATTTCCCGCGCCAACGCGAAAAACTTTTATCCTCCACTCACGCTCAATCACAAGCAAATTTGTACAGTATTTATCTCCACTTTTGCCGCCACGAAAAAGTATAAACGCTTAAAAGAGCGTTTCAGGCACACTGTGTATGTTCATGTATGACATTTTAGTGCAATTTAAGGATCTCAGCCACAGAATAGAGATGTATTCCTATTGCTAGAGGGACTCACTCAAATGTAACATCAATGCGATGGGGTGAGAATTGAAAAATATAGAAATATAAAATTGAAATTGCGACAATTTTGCCATTTTCAACTCGATTTCCGGGAATTTATTGATATCATTTCCGCCCCAATGAGTCTCTCCGTGGCACGAATCGATTTATTCAAATGCACCATCGAAAATCATGCTGTTAGCACCCCAAATCCCTCTGCAAACCCAAGGACTCCCAGATCCTTGGTGAGCGAGAGGAAAATTATGGTTATTTCCCCACCATTATACTGTATTTTGTAATCGTCTTCCCTCCATTTCCAGTCCATATCGTGAGCCTCTGCAAGAGGATTTCCCATACTCTTCTTGTCTCCCTCTCTCTCTCTCTGTCTCTCTGGCTAGGTCTCTACAATGTGGGTCACAGACTGTTTGCCGAGTGACCTCAGCTATTCACCCTTGGGCCTTGGTCTCTATAAACATAAACAGGCAAGAATTGGCCCACAAATCGGGTCCGCGTGAACATGTTAATTCCCACGGGGAAGTTGAGCGGGGTCTGTGGGAATGTTCGGGGATGTTTACAGTAAATTTACCTGGCACTTCCCTTGGATACACATATCTAAGCTTCCGGGTCGACACCGCGTTCCATCCTGAACTCGCGGTGAGAGTTGCACGATCACGCTGGGCTCATCATCCACGCCCGACTCATTTTCCACACTTCCGGGGACAGTTTCGTCGGGCAGGTGGGCTGGCTGACCCCTGAAGCGAGACAGGAAGCATGAGTACATCTGTCCACCGTCCACACCCCCGCACTTCTCTACAGCCAATTAACTTTTCAAGCAAAACGTTGGAGGTTTTGAAGCGACCAACCGTCAACCGCACTGAGGAATGCCAGAAACATTTATGGAAAAAGAAACTCCTCAGCGACGAGAAATGAAGCGCGTTCCTGAGGAAATGCATTTTCTTCGTTCGCCAACCATTCTTGATGGACAGCGAGAGTAATGAGTAAGACAGATAAGCTAACGCGACGGGCAGAAAAAACGCTCTGCTGAGAAACATGACGGGATAATAAGGTGGAAATGCCAGAAATGTTCGCTTTTCTGTGGCAATATTTAATTTTATACCATTCTAGAGTGAGCGTAAGCTTTGGTGCACGCAAAAAAAAAGTGGAAAAGCCAAGGGCAATTTTGAACAAGGAATATCAACAGAGGGATAAAAGAGAAAACATCTCATTTTGACCCAAATTTCAGCGGAGCTTTTCATAATTAAGGAGGATTTTTGCCTTGATACGCCAAGCAAATATTCCACCGTTGTCACCTCTTTTCTGCCCACCCTTGAGTGGGGATCACTGTCAATCCAGGATGGGCGGAAAGTGTGTTTAGATAGGAAAATTTGCCGCTGAAGCACTTTCAAAATCAACCCTCGGCAGTTCTACAGCATGTATTGAACTCTTAATAGGTTTGAAACACATTGGACGGTTGTAGCGCTGGTGTCAGAAGTGGGATTAAGCAGATTGCAGATTTAAAAGATACTTGAGATGATGTGCATGGGGAAGTAAGTGGAGTGATGGAAGCAGTGATATTCCACTGTTGCGACTGACGGTGTAATAAAGAGCAGCTCGGAAAAATGCAATTTAGAGAAACTGTTGAGGGTTGGCAAGAGCGGCAGGAGAATATGGAATATGTCGCAAATGGGTTCGGGCGGTTGGCTGTGGATAAGCTGGGGAGTCGTGCACGAGGGAGGAAAAGTGCTGAGGAGTTAAAAAATATTCCTAATGGAGGAATGTGGGAGGGCTCTTATGTCGGCATTATTTGGTGGCTGTTGTGACAAACAAGGAAAAACTGGGCACAGAAGTGCTCAGGATGCAAAATTCATTCGGCAAACCTGCACGTGAGGGCGCACGGCTCCGTGTAGTCGTAGTGCGGCGTCCATTTGAACAGGGATCCGTCGTAGGGCACATCATCGTATGCTGCACACTGATGAGCCCGGAAATCTTGTGTTTCCGGACATGGCTGAGTGGATGAAACATGAAATTGGATGAGAGCTTTAGCATATTAACTGTTTATTTGATTTGTGCTCTGTTTGTGTGGCACAAAAAAAGAGTGGCGCGTTCTTGGGAAAGACAAACAAACACTCTGCAACATGATAGCCATTTCGTGTGGGTGAGGGTGTGTGTGTGTGTGTGGGGTGGTATTTATGAGGAACGACTGAGGGGAAAAAGTGAATAAATTTTATGGTAAATATGGATGAAAATCTACCATAAAAATTTAACAGCTATAAATTTTAGCAAATGTTGGACATTTACGAGACCATCCCTTCCCTCACGCCCCAGTGGGAATATGTGGTTAATGGGCGATTCCCTGCGACTCTCCTCCTGGCACCAGATACATTCTCCCCCCGTTCTCGTGTTGTTTGTACTGCCAACAAATGCTGCACAGTGGAAATTTGTTCTTAAATATTTATTTGGACGCCATCCAAACTCCTCATTGCCACCCATGGAGCCCATCTCGTGTTTGCTATCTTTCGGCGGGGATCTTCGCGCACACAACTCACCTGCATGTTGCAGATTTTGTAGCGAATCGGATCACCCCGGCAGCCCTGGGGTGAATGGCACCGTCTGAGCTGCTGAGCCACGCCACCGTCGCACGATCTCGAGCACATGGACCACTCTGACCACGCGGACCAGCCCTGATTTCGGCCACGCTTCTGTGTTTTTTGCAAACATATATTTAATAAATCCCTTGTGGGCAAAGGCGGCAATAAAAATCTCACCCCCAATTCCGTCTCAGAATCCGTCTCCGTGGGCCAGACATCGGCACTCTCGCTGGCGTTGGATGGATGCTGGATTGTGTGCTTCAGTAGGAGACTCTGTTGGTTTGGGGAGAAAGGAATAAAATTCATGAATTATACACACGCATTGTTGGCAGAGGATCCGTGCACGAGGAATATAAATTGGGTTCGACACCCACAAAACACAATCGCTCCAACTCTCGAGGAGGGAAAATTGATAGACAGTTGCGTCTTAGAGTCATATTTCACATAAGGAGGCTTCCCTGCTCTCGATTCTCCCCAACAGCACAATATTCCCCACTAGAGCGCCTTTGTCTCTCCCAAGCTCACCGTTTGTGAAATGTGATAGTTTTGACCTCAATATCACCTCTCCTCCCCGCACACGCACGTCATCTTGGGCCGAAGACACTGACGAGGATGCGAAGGGATTGTATTTGCTGAGAAATTGCCGGAGTCACCCCCGAAAATTTCCAAAGGTATATGATTGACTATGTTTCTTCATTTACCCATGAGCATCTGGTGTGAGGCGTCTCGAGCCGGTGCTATTGATTCTATCGCATGAATTTTCCAAGGGGCGGATAATTTGACTCTATTTGACCCTAAAGATTCACTCAAAACTAACTGACAACTCAAATACTGAGGTTTTTAGTGTGAATTGTATGATTTTCTTTCTCTAATGTACTTTTAACCATTTCATTCTGCCGTAATATTTGAATATCACTGAATGTTCTCAAAGAATCTCGATTAAAATCTTTCTTACTCAAAAAATTAAATTAGCCACTTAACCTAGAAAAACATGTTAAGAAAAGACGTGAATAATAAAAATGAATAGAAATTCAGAGCAGAGAACTGCTGAAAATACTTGAACACATTCCTCGTACATTCGCTGAGTTCAACACAAATTGTATTCATTTTATCTCCCCCTTGGAATTTTCGTCAATTTTCCCTCTCAATATCTTCAGGGCAGGAACTCCGCACACCACAAGTGGAGTGGATCGCTATGTGCACTTGTCTGGAAATGGGGAATGATATGGAGAAGGAGCGTGTTGGAGTGAATTTAGTGGCCCTGTCTTCACACACAAGAATCCATTATGTAACGTTGATGAAATTATTGGTGCACAGGGCATCTTTCTGCTGCTCTTTCACTTGGTCCACAGCACAACTGCCTCAAGAGCTTTCCGCTTGAATATATTGAATACACACATAATTCACCCCAGAGAGCGACGAGAGGGTTTCCTTTGAGGCCAAAAGGAACCCTTTTGGTCAATAGTTAAGTGAAGCGCACGACGAGAAATTGTTCAACTCAATTTCTGCATTTAATTTCACCTTAAACGGCGAAGGAGTTAATTAATGGAATTCACAGAAAATCAAGTCAAACGAGAGAAGAACTCAGGCTTCTTTTTATCCGACAAAGTGTGGGAGGAATTGAAACTTTTTTACGCTAACCAGCATGAAGACTGGTAAACACCGATGCATATTCATGGTGAGTCAATTGTGGGTTGTTTAAGCAGAAATTCCACTGAATTTCTGACCGAAAAAACACATAAATTGCCCTCATATCATTGAGAAACATTGCAATTTTCGTTATGTTAAAGCTAAACACGCATTTGCTCGCCTAAACGAGCTTTGGTTAATGAATTTCAAGCTCTTCAAGTGTCTTTGAAAGCCAAATTTAACCCATTTCTTCGTGTGCCATTCAATTTCATTTCACCCTTTAACATTTTTTTCCCTCTATTGTGGCCTTTTCCACGATCCTTCACTCCACGGATAAATGTAATGTTAATTGGAATATTTTCGTCTCATACAATTTACACAAAATTCTCGTCCACAATAAGATTAGATTAAATTAATTGCGCGAAGAAGGAATCCTTTGAATTTCTTCTTTCTTTTAATTTCTTCCCACACCACCGACTTTGCCAAATGGATAGAACAGGCGGGCATTATAAGAAGATTTTCCCAAGGAAAACACACACACACAACATAAGAATAAGATTGGGGGGAAGTTGTTCAACAATCCCAACAAAAGTACGTTCAAGAATGTTGGAGTTTCGCTTAAAATATCTGTGGCCTTTGGAGGCTTGTTTGAAGTGGAAGAGAAAAAAACCGTGTGAAATATTCATGTTTTTCGATGTTTCTACATTGAAAATTTACACACTTCTCATGTCAACTCTGTGCGGTCGCCTCACACTTTAAGCCTCTCTCTCTAACTCCGCCCAATTCTTGCGTTTTACAACATTTTCCGTATTGTTGGCACCGAAGGAGATCCACTCGATTGAGTGAATGATTCAAGAAGATAACAATGGTTATATACATTGATAGATGTTGGGAAGTTTCTCGCCAACAAAAGAGAGTCAAAAGTATCGTCAATTTAATGCTGAACTTTTCTCCTCAATCTCCCATGTTACTCCTTTGGGTCTCCTCTATTTATCCGGTCAAGTGGATTCTGCTGTCATTGGGCAGACAAGAAAAGGGGTGGTTGAGCACCGCACAATGTCGCTGGGATGGGAATTCTCCACCCCCAAATCTACAAATTTATGTCCAGTTGAAGTGATTTTTTCCCACGGATTTTCCCACATCGCGGAAAAAAAGAGAGCAGAAAATATTAAGCAAATATCAATGGGAAATTATTGAATAATTCATGCAATTTGCTTCCAATTTGCGTATATAGAATTTTTCACCCCCAGAATTGAATTCGAGGAAAGGCAAAAAAGCTCCTCAACTGCTATCATTTATTCATGCAATTTATATGCATTTTCGCCGTATTCTCATATTTTTCCTCACTCTCTGTTTCTCTACAGCTTTTAACGAGCACTTTCTCTTTAGTGCAGAACATCTAAACTAACGCGAGAGGAGAGAAATTTAATTCTTATCCACCAACTATGGCTCGGTGGAAATTTAAATTGGTGGAAATATAATAAGCGTTTTATTGAGGCGCAGCTCAAAATTCTAACGCGGTGTATAATTACACTTTCGACCGCTGATTCGAAGTCATGTGTTTGTGTGTGTTTGGTCGGCAGTCAACAATAATATTAACGAGAATTGCATGATAAATTATATTTTGGCATTTGCCCCCTTGTCCACTTTATTGTATAACATGTCAATCTTGAGGGGGAGCGAGGCTGATGAGAGCTTTTCACAGTGGAGTGGAGCTTTCGCTGGGTGGCTTGTGTTGTGTTGTGTGTGACAAATACGGAAAGCAGCGTGCGTTTGACGCTAGTGACACCGCAACCAATTCACATTAACGAATGTAAATTAATTACGCGCGAACGGAACAAACCTAACCAATTCCCACTTTCTGGTAAATTACACGCATTCATGATTGATGGTGAAATGAGCAACAATCGCGTGGTGTAATTACTGTCCCACCTTTTATTCCACATGATTTAAGATAACATCCACTCTCTTGAGGGGAGATTCGAAGGTCGCGCGCGTATCACGGCATTAAAATCAATTAATAAGAGGCCACTTTGGCGTCTTCGCAACAAAAACACCACCGAAGCAACTGCCTCGAGTGGCGATTGCAAATTGATGGGAAACTTCTTCGTCTTCGAGTGGATTCTCGTCACTCTTGGTCAGTGGCTTTGCTTTTTTTTTTCCTTTCCCTCCCCATTTTCTGCCAGACGTGCGTTCTCGTGCGAAAGCGGGAGGAGCTGATGCTGGTCGATAGGGAGTCCGACCGAGATTGATATCTCGGAGGATGGACAAGAGGAGAGAATCTTGCAAATTATTTTTGATGAATATACTGACAAACAACTTTCCACTCACAAACTTCAATTAGTGAACTTTTCACCCGACACTTGAGAAGCTTTAAGCTGGATTTATGGGCTCTCTCGCAAGTATTGAGATAATTACCTCTGGCTCAAGAGAAATTTCTGACTCTTCAGAATATTTTATTTATGCTACAGTGAAATGTAATGTGGAATAGTGACGCACAACATCATGATATTTTGCAGCTATGACGCAATAATTCAGAAGCTCTCGCAATGCTCTTATCCCTAGGGAAGAAAATTCATTTACAGAGCCTAAAAGAGCAGGAAAGCGAGCGAATAACACCTCAAGGGGCGGAGCGTACGAGTGGGCGTGGCGTCTGCAAAGTCTCCCTCTCAAAATATCTCGTTAGGCTGCGAACAAGAAGTCTTTAAATGGTGAAAGTGCGCGAAAAAAGAATGAGGATGTTTTTTGCTCATTCGCTTTTTGTTTTTACGCACTCCTTTTTGTCCTTTTTACTTTACGTTGTGGTAATTCTTTGTATTCACTCACCAGCAGCAGAAGTATAATCTTATTTGCCATCTTCATCTCGGGCAGCTGACGACCATCTTTCTCAAGTCCTGCAAAGAAAGTGGAGAGGGAGAAATATATGAGAAGATGGACCTTGGGTGGCAATTAATTGATTTTGCGACAACATTAACAAGGGCTCTTTGCGGCAGATACTTAATTAAAAGTTCTCATACGAAACCCTCACCCAAGTTTGCCACCCTTTGAGTGGGAATAATAAAGTGAGGTGTTTCATTTGGATGATGAAGCGTGCGAGAGACTAGAATGCTTCAGTCTAATTTCCCTAGACCGCCTCATTTCCTTCCATTGGCGAGCAAAGTGAGTTCCAGCATGAAATGTATCTCTGGGAATGTCTATTTTGCTTCTCAGTAAATGTGAACAACCATCGGAAGGGGTTGTATCGCATGCAACCATTACCGGGCGATGGATGAGGGAAAAAACCGCCCGTTATTCAACATATCCTGACCAATTCCTCCCATATTACGTGATATGTGAAATGGAGATTTCAATTAAACAATCCCACATTGAGTGCAGGCGAAACCCTCGTCTTTTCCGCACGTTGGGCCACTCTGATGGGTGGAATTACACAGTAATTAATTCGCAAGAAATCAACCACAGAATTAGTGAGTTTCCATTGCCCGTTGCACTTAATAATTTACCATTTGTATCGAAAGTTCCGGCCTGCGAGTGAAAATGCTCGCACAAATCGACCCATTGAACGTGAGGGTGGAAAAACAGTGCAAAATTGGGTGTTATTAGTTGGAGAAAGGACGAGGAGAATTTCCTTTTCTTAATACTTTAAGACTTGTTTCAAGAGAACCACGCCACCATTGGATAATTTATTGCGCCCACCCACGAATGTGCGGCAAAAAAGATGAACAATGTGTGTGTGTGGGGAAATATCTTCACTCAAAGCCGCGCCATCGGAATTTTCCTGACGCGCGGCGACTGTGAGTGAAATGAAATGGAAAATCCCGACAGATGTTCATAAAAGTTCTGACATCGTTTCGAAGCGAGGAGCTTTTTCCATTTAATTAAGAAATAGAGTAAAAGTTTTTAGCACTAAATTAAGGGACGCACAAGGACGAGAGTGTGAAAATATACTCCTCAGCTGGGCTGATGGGGTGGCATTTAATTTCAACGCAATGCCGCGTTGTTACTCCAAGTGCTCCGCCAAACCGCCCCATTGTTGAGTGCATCATGAGAAATTTCATCGTCTATAGACACTCCATTTGCCCGAGGGGAGAAAACTCACTCGTGATTTCCCCTCGAGTGCCGCACAAGACAAGTGTTTCTTTCATTCCGACACTCAAGGGCTTAACAACACTTAATTTGGGGCTTTCAAGGGGAGATTTGCCAGCACCTGAAAATCACTGGGCTCTAGCCTAGAGTAAGTCTTTCTCCACTTCCGCTCTCTGCCACCGCAGAAGTCAAATCACGAGGGTTGTTTGAAAATTGAAAATTTCCCCCCTCACGTCACATTTCTCAGTGGCGAATGTAATGGGAATTGCTTGTGGGTGCATTAATCCATCAATCCATTATCAATCTGCACCGAAACCACTTGATAAATGACTGGTAGATTCATGCTGAGAAGGAATACATACAGCATATCACATGAATATCCCATTTGCCCCTCATTCACGTGATCCAAAAAGACTCTATTCGGAAAATATTACAGCACGAAGCCATTCACTCTCATGCTCTCCATTCCAAATGGTTGCAATTCCTTCAGGAGCGATCATCGATTATCGTAGATTTTCAACTAATTCGCGATGTCATTGTGATGGCAAATCCCTGTGTTGGCTTTTGCCAGTGAATTTATTATAACACTATTGAATGGATGTGTGTTTTTGCACATTTACTGACATAGTGCAATAGTAAATCCAAATTTGTGGCTATCCATTGAAAATTCATATCAATTTGCGTGTTTGACTCTCACGTTAATGAGTATCAGAGCTCTTGAAAAGTCAATAAACACCACTGAACGCTATATTGTTGGGTAATTGCATACCACATGAGAATATTGATGTTTGAATTGACATCGAAATGGAAGGATTTGACGAAAAATAGCACACAAACGCCACACTGGAATATGCAAAATAAGCTGAAGTAGTGAGAAAAAACTACTCTATTCACGTCCTGAATGAGTAATCGTGGAAATATTGTCTGCTAAAAATATCCACGGGAAAATTATTATTCATTGGTGACACACGAAATCATTTTGGGTGCTTTTTGGGAGATATTAATAAATTTAGGGTTGAAATCATTTTGGCATTCGTGAGTATTGTGGGAAAAAAACCGGACATTTGGGACATTACAGATGAATTGATGGAGTTAATAGATTGTTCAACTTGCAGAAAAAGTCCATCCATTGTCAGCCTTTCCGTCCTTTCAGACGCCTGAAAGTGGAATAAGAGGTGCGAAGAGGCCGCAAAAGAGTCTCCATTGAGGTTACAATAAAATATACACTTCGCATGGCTGAACACAAATTCCAAGCCCGTGAAAAGGACACAAAGAAGTGAAGAAAGTTAGCTCGCTCTAAGTGTGATTCTTAAGCAAGCCAATGTAGGAGGAAAAAAGGGAAATTCTTTAATGTAACTTGTGATTGTAAATTTCATAAGTCTATTATTAGAAATAATTCATGAAAAAATAGAAATGTCTCGCGAGTTTTTATGCCTTCATCTTAAGTCCACATTACACTCAAATTCGATGACAATATCACTGAAATTCCCACGTGAAACGTGAGTAAATAAGCGTAGCGAAGATTTTCGCTCGTTTTCCCTTTTTCTTCAGTTCCACCTTTTCGGCTGACACAAAGATTTATGGGGGAAAAAAGTCAGACAGATACATTTCCCTCGAAGGGATCAATTTCAAATATTAAGTGGAGTGTGTTCCACCAGCAAATATTTGTCACAAGCAGACCCTGCGACTCAAAATCTCCCTCACACACACACACACACACAAAGTGTAATTGGTGAGACCCAAATCAATATTCGAGGTATGGAAAATTGTCTCTACGTGGCACTGGCAATTGTCTATGGCACTCATCCCCCGCAGGCCATGCGAAGGGGGTGGCATTTGGATGCTAAGGACGAAGATGGAGTGAACAAATAAGCCCTCAGGGCTGCGATGTACATTTTCCGCAGCCATTCGCATGATATTCACGTTTTCCACGTTGGCTTCTCAATTTGCCAAGGAATTAACATGCGGTCAAACTGTCACCTTTTAGGTGATATTTTCGCCACGCAAATTTCAACTTCAACCCCAGCAAAGGCAGTCGTCTGCCATTGTGAATAGAAATTGCAAAATTAAATGCCTTCGCCACCAATTCCATCGCGAACAATGCTCGTGCTGTGCTGATAAAAAGCGCGGATCATGTATTGACTCTCCTTTCACTTCGTGAATTGAGACAAAAGCTCACCCAACCCCCCTGAAAAGAAAGAAGGGAGGAAGGAGTGGAAGTTTGCCCCCTTGGCAGAAGTTTCATTGTTGCCATTTTAAAATTTTTGCCAAGTCACAGAAAGAGCGCAAGATCTCGTCAATGGATAAATTTAACATGAAGCGTCAATCTATTGTGCTACTAATTCCGAATTTCCGTCTCCTTTCTCTTCCTCCCCCTCTCGCCCAGAATGTGTCCTGTTTCGAGAAAATTCCACACCCCCCGTTCTCAATTTCTCTTATTCGGAAAATGCGAGAGAGGGAGAATGTCTTGGAGCGAGAAACAGTGTGCAGAGCAACTAATAGAGTTGTCAATACATGTGACGGAAAGCTTAATTGTTCACAGTTTCCACTGCATTTGCAACACAAACTGACTTTCCACCGGCAAAGAGCATGAGTGGAGAAAATCATGGGAATGTACACTCCTCATCTCACGTGTCAAGTGCATTTGTGCATCCTGGGCAAAAGTCACTAACTCGGAGAACGCACGACTTCAAAGCTGGGAAAAGCTCTCCAATTTCTGCGCGCACTTCATTGAGTGACTTTAGCGGCAAAGAGTGACGCAGTGATTTTTTCTCAAGACGTCGGATGTCGGCCAATGTTCCGCGCGGCCGTTTTTCCCGGGCGGATTGATGGACGGAGGAGAAAAAAGGGGTTCTCCTTCGCATATTTTGTGGTATATTTCATGTCTTGGCAAATCCCCAAAGTGGTTTCTTTGCTAACGCACCTTCCCCAACCATCGTCAGCGTCTCTCACTGACTTTTTATTGAGCTAATGATAATGATCATGTTGAGTGGGTGAGAAATGTTTCGCATATTTTATCTCTTCTTACAATTGTAGCAATTTCCTTTTCTGTGCTCAGCATTTTTTTCCGCGCGCGCACCAAAAAGCTCTCACTCTGTCGAGAGGAAAAGCATCGCGCCAGAGCATCAAAAAAGACCGAATGCGATGGTGAAGATAATATCTTGAAATTAGCAAGTTGTCGTTGAAGATTATGGCCGCTGCTTCAAGACAAAAAAGACATCCACCAAATGAGAGATTATTTCATTTTCTTTCCACCCTCACAATTTACATTTGTTGCCGCTTCTCTGGCCACTTTTCACCAACCACACGAATTGCTGTGCAGTTTCCCAGAGAGAGAGCCAGCGAAACATGCGACAGCAGTTTAACAATATATACGGATTTTATTGGCGAGAATCCTCGGAGGCGAACCTCATCATTCCCGATCCAAAGTATCCCCTTGTGTCACACAATGAATAACGCCGCAAATCTAATAACACTTTTCACACTGTTTCTATATGAATAAACCATAAAAATGGATGATGATCAAATGAAAATACGTTCGAAATAGCACACCAAGTGGTTGTTGTCCTTATAATGTGCAGCTGAAATGAGCTGTCATAAAGAAAATTGACTTTATATTAAATTCTTGGGGGAAAGTGTTCAAACCATCTTTGCCATAAGTCGCTGAATTTTCCCTTCAGCCCCATCAGATTTTCACCATTGAGTGCTGCAAGCTTTAACACATTTTCCTGCCACCAGAGAGAGAGAGAGCGAGAGAGAGAAAGCTCTTTTAGAGCAATGAAGCACTTGGCATAGATGATAAATTGCATCG